CAAAACTATTCAGCTTTCTTTGGCAGCCAGGTGGTAGATGAAATGAAGTGTGTAGGCTTAGGTGTGACAAACCTCCACCATCTCCTCTATTTGCTCTTCTGGGAGAGATTATGGTTAGTTAAATTGGTTTCTTCTCCATGAGATTCTCTCTTGGTTGATAGACCCTCAAAAAAGGAAATTGGAGCTTTATTTCCTTTATTTCATCCCCTGCTCTGGCTTGACTCTCTTTCCTGGGATCTAACACATTTCTAAGAAACAGGTATTCATTGAACTCTGCTATGCAGAAGGCACAGTTCTTTTTTTTTTTTTTTAAAGGTGTTTTTTTTTTTTTTTTTAATAGAGGCATGTTTTATTTATTTATTTATTTGTTTGTTCGTACATGCACTGGGTACAGTCAGAAGCGCGGGAGGGTGAGAGAATTCACCAGAGCCAGAGCGGGGAGCAGAGCAGGCAGAAGGACCGAAGTACACTGCTGAGGGGAGCAGCGGGCGGCAGGAGAGGTCTGCACGCCATGTGGGACCCTCCTCCGGTGGCCGGGGAGCAGCCGGGAATCGAACCGGCGCCGCAGAGGCAGCGGGCAGCCTCGCAACCCAGCGCTCAACCGCTGCGCCACCGGGGAGGCCCAAGGCACAGTTCTTGATGCTTTCATGAAAATTATTTCATCATCGTTTACTGGTCTACCCCAAAAATTGACTTTATTATTACCAATTTAGAGATGTGAAAACTGTGATATAGATATTAGATCACATAGCTAAGGTAACACAGCAGTATAGTGATTGAACCTGGATTTAGGATTTGATCATTGAAAACTTCACATCCCAAACACTTTATGTTCTACCCTATTGCTTGCTCCTTTGCCTAGACCATGGGTGTGTCTCAGACTGACTTGTTCATATGAATCATCTAGTGGGCTTGTTAAGATTTATATCTTATATATCTTTATATCTTAGTATGTCTAAGGTGAGCCCTAAGATTGTGCACCTCTCTGACAAGCTCCAAATAACGCTAATGCTGCTGACTAGGCAGTCTTTTTTTTTTTTTTTTTTTTTTTTTTTTTTTTTTAGATTTATTTATTTATACAAGAACTGGGGTACAGGCCAGATGGCCAGGAGATACTCTCACCAGAGACAGAGTGGGGAACAGAACAGGCAGACTGACGAAATACACTGCTGAGGGAAGCAGTGGGTGAGACAGGAGAGGTCTGCTGCACCGTGTGGGACCCTCGCTGGCCAGCTGGGATTGAACCGGCGCTGCAGAGGCTGCGGAGAGCTTCACAGTGTGGCACTCAGCTGCCTGCGCCACCAGGGGAGGCCCTATCTCAATTATTTTTAGTAAGAGGGCCAAGACTAGAACCCAGATTTTCTTTTCCTGGTTCCAAATCAGAAAAGTGCTTTGTTTTCTGTATTACTAGGTAAACTTATCCTAACTAGAATTTTTCATATTTTAGCCTTTTGAGCAAACATATTAATGAACTGCTAACTTTAAAATCCTTCTGGTTTCTCCTGAACTGCAGGGTTAGATTAAAATATGACTAAACTTGACACTGAAGGGTACGGGAAAGTCACCATACTATTTAATTTGATGTATTTATTATATAACAGACATGAAGCATTTGCTGTGTGCCAGGCATGGTTTCAAGGGCTTCGTAAATACTGACTTCATTAATCCTCATAGCAGTCCTCTAAGGTAGCCGCTATTATGACTCCCATCTTACAGAGAAGGAAACAGGCACAGAAAGGTTAATGACTTGGCTAGGGTCACACAGCTAGTAAGTACAGATAAGTGTAATAGAAACAGATTCTACGACTAGATACATAGCCAAGCTCTTGACAGACTTTGCCTTGCACATTGGAGATCTGACTAAGTGTTGCTGATGGACATTAGGGACACTTTGTTTAAGTTGCTCCTGAGACTCCTTATTAAATGGCAAAGAAGGTCTCTACGAAGGAAATTAACACTTTGCTGATGGTGGAAGTGCGGTGCTAGTTTTGTTCCAACTTCCTCTTCCCTAACTATTCTCTTAAAATGTCATTCATGTAAACAGATCTGCAAAATCACTCACTAAGCAGGAGTCAACCGATGTTGCATTCTTTTTTTTTTTTTTTAATAGAGGCATTTTTTTTATTTGTTTGTTTGTTTGTTTGTTTTGTTTATACATGCACTGGGTACAGTCAGAAGCGCGGGAGGGTGAGAGAATTCACCAGAGCCAGAGCGGGGAGCAGAGCAGGCAGAAGGACCGAAGGACACTGCTGAGGGGAGCAGCGGGCGGCAGGAGAGGTCTGCGCGCCATGTGGGACCCTCCTCCGGTGGCCGGGGAGCAGCCAGGGATCGAACCGGCGCCGCAGAGGCCGCGGGCAGCTTCGCAACCCAGCGCTCAACCGCTTCGCCACCGGGGAGGCCCCGATGTTGCATTCTTAAAGCCTTATAGTTCCCTCCCTGCTTCTCATCTTAAATGAAGTAAAAGGAGAGTGCAATTCATTGATTCTAGCAGTTCTCTCTTAGAAGGGGAAAATAAACTTTGATTTATGTTCAGTTGATAGAGGAAAGCCTCCATGCTGAGGTTCTTTTCCATTTTCATCATCTTATTAGATCACATGTGCACATCAGCTCTCCAATGTGCTAGGCAAAGTCTGTCAAGAGCTTGGCTATGTATCTAGTCGTAGAATCTGTTTCTATTACACTTATCTGTACTTACTAGCTGTGTGACCCTAGCCAAGTCTTTAACCTTTCTGTGCCTGTTTCCTTCTCTGTAAGATGGGAGTCATAATAGCGGCTACCTTAGAGGACTGCTATGAAGATTAATGAAGTCAGTATTTACAAAGCACTTGTAGACTAGACTCTCATTCTGTGTGGAGCTTGTATTTTTTCCCTAAGATTTAACCTTAATCTGTGCTTACAGTCTTTTATCTTGCTAATGAGATAGCCAACCATTCTAGAAACTTAAAAATGGCTTAGAAGTGGAAAAATTATTAAGGAGAGATTTCAGCTTATTCTCTCAACTGATATGTTTGTTCCCTGTAGCCTTCAAAAAAAAAAATATCAAGCCACCACAACCACCAGCAACCCACAACTATAAGTTATGCTTCATGAGAATGGTCTCTGGGTGATGAGGCCTCAATTATAGTTTGTGGGATCGTGAACATGGAGTAGCTTGGCCAAGGCTAGCTCTGTAGAACAATAGCTTGAACTTAGTCACGTGGCTTCCCTTGTCCACATTTTGGCAACTAATGAGAAAAGGCAAAGTTTTTCCTTTAGTCCTGGATTGACTCGCATTTGCACCATGCAGGCTAAAGAGGCTGAAAGACTGTACTGCCCCATGTTGTACTTGTGGCCAAGTCATCTTCAGTGAGCTAGAGGAGACTCTAGGGAGAGAAGAAATGAGTTAATGAGGCTGGTTAGCAAGCTGCAGCAGTCCCACTTTGCTTTGGGGGCATATTTGTTTATATTTTGCTCTTTGAGTTTAGCTTCTTTGTAAGAGAAGCTTTTTTCAAGGGTCTCTTAACCTTTTTTTTTTTATTATTATTATTTTTTATTTTTGAGTAGAAGAACTGGGGTACAGGCCAGAGGTGTGGGAGGAGTGAGAGGATTCACCAGAGACAGAGTGGGGAGCAGACCAGGCAGATCTACTGAAATCCACTGCTGAGGGGAGCAGCAGGCAAGACAGGAAAGGTCAGCTGCACTGGCTGGGTATCAAACTTATGCTGCAGTAGCTGCAGATAGCTTCATGGTGCTGATACTTAACCCCTTGCACCACCAGGGAAGCCCCTCTTTTACCTTTTCAATCCTCTTTCCTACCCCAATAGAAAGAGGATTAGTAAAATTTAAAATGCCCTCAAGACCCTACTGAACTCTCACTCTACCTAGACTTGAGATTTTCAGAATTTATATAGTACCATTGGTTCAGATGATTTCAGCACAACCAGAGAATGTTGCAACAGTTACTGGAGAAGGTCTCTGGCCTTTTGATAAAAGGAGAAAAGTTGTAAATTTGATCTGTGATGAGTTTGTATGTTTAATCTTTGTTTTCAAAGTGCTTTCATATCCATTAGAGTTTAATTATCACAAAACAACCCTGTGAGATGTATGCTGGGTATTAGCATCATTTTATAGATGAGGAAACTATCTCACTTTATCTTTTTTTTTTAAGATTGATTTATTTATGCATACAAGAGCTGGGGCGCAGGCCAGAGATGCCGGGGTGAGAGGATTCACCAGAGCAGAACAGGCAGATTAATTGAAATACACTGCCGAGGGGAGCAGCAGGCGAGACAGGCAAAGTCTGCTGCGCCATGCGGGTAGCTCCCTGGTCAGGGATCGAGCTTGTGCCACAGTGGCTGCAGTCAGCTTCATAGGTTGCGTCCCAACCCCTTGGCACCATCAGAGAGGCCCACTTTATCTTCTTTTTTTTTTTTTTTTTTCCAAAGATTATTTATGCATACAAGAACTGGGGTACAGATCAGTGGGGAGGGGGCAGGGGATGAGAGGATTCACCAGAGACAGTGTGGGAAACAGAACAGCAGGTTGACTGAAATACACTGCTGAGGGGAGCAGCGGGCAAGACAGGAGAGGTCTGCCGTGCCATGTGGGTAGCTCCCTGGCCAGCTGGGAATCAAACCCATGCTGCAGAGGCTGTGGACAGCTTTACAGCGCTATATTCAACCTGCTGTGCCACTGAGGAGGCCCAACTGGGTATTTTTAACTGCTTCTCTGATCTTTCCTCTGTGCCTGACAAAACACAGGCCTGAATGATGAACCTAGACAATGAGAAAAGTTTCTCTTTAGGGAATGCTGAATGAGATTATAAATGTAAGAAGCAGAGTTAAATCTACTGCGTCCAGTCTGGTAACTCCTTCCATGTACTGCTCATAATCTTTTGTAGCTTTCTGATGTTAAACTGACCTTAGAAGCTCAGGTGAAGAGTAGGGCTGAGTTACTGTAACTCCTGTTAATAAATAAGAAGGAGGTCTAACTGTTTCCTTGGATTTGTGTGTTCTTTGCAGAATGCGTCCTGTCTTGTTCTCGCTGCCCGGCATGCCAGTGCTTCTTCCACAGTAAGATTTGGAAAAGGGAACTGAGAATCACTGAGACATCCTGACCCTGGGACCCAAAGTGTGGGTGGGGGAGTTGGCTGCCGCCTAGCCTCATCGTTATCCTGAGTATCTCCTGGAGGTGTCCTTGTTGTTACTATTATTGTTAATAATAAAATTCTACAGCTACTTTAAGAAATAATTTTACTCTATAATGCAGTAAAGTGAGAATATCAAATAATTTTGTCTAATCTTTTTAAATATTTTAAATAGTAAATTATACATGACATAAAAATTACTTTTTTTTTTTTAAGATTTATTTTATACAAAACCGGGGTACAGGCCAGGCCAGATGTGCGGGAGGATGAGAGGATTCACCAGAAACAGCAGAGAACAGAACAGGCTGAAGGACTGAAATACACTGCTGAAGGGGAGCAGTGGGTGAGACAGGAGAGGTCCACTTGCCATGTGGGTTGCTCCGAGGTCGGCGGGGATTGAACCGGCACTGCAGAGACTGCGGACAGCTCCACAGCACTGCGCTCAACCGCCTGCGCCACCAGGGAGGCCCAAAATTTACCATTTTTAAGTGTACAGTGCAGTGGCAGGAAGTCCATTCACATTTTTATGCAGCCATCACCAGCTGCCATCTCCAAATTGAAACTTGACTAAACTCCTCATTACCCTCTCTGCCTAATTATTTTACCTTTATCTGTACAGAGTAGTTAACCAGACTTTCCTAGCAGACTGCCAAGATCTAAAAAGCAGTCTTAATGTACTTTGCAGGAAATCTAATGAGTCTCTTACCATCACTTGCCTCTACTTCTCTTGTTAGAATCTGAAAGATGTATTGGCTGACCTGATACCTAAGGAGCAGAACAGAATTAAGACCTTCAGGCAGCAACATGGCAAGACAGTAGTAGGCCAAATCACTGTGGACATGGTAAGGATTGTGGGGTTTGGGCTAGAAATGGTAGCTCTATACTATGCTTCTACAGAAGTGCTGTAGCCCTCACTGATGCTTTAAAACATTCTGTCCCATATAAGGAAATGTTGGCGCTTATGCTATTTATTGGAAATTAAGGTTGTGCTTTCCTACAAATTTAATAGTGGAGCTTAACCTAAGTCACCTTTCAGAGGAATGAATGAAGTTTCTATTCCTGTTTCTAACCCCTCAGCTTTTTGGGTGAGGGCGCTCTATCTTTGAGTTGATACTGTTCTGACTAACCAGTTAAACCATAGCTCTGACATATCTTCCAGAACAGCTTTAGGATGATTTCTTCCCCAGCCCTAACAGTATGAACAGCTTAGATAATAATTCCTTATCTTTGTTTACCATTGGTTTCCATCTCATTCAATGTAATAGGTCTGTTCTGTTTCCTTTGGTTGGAGGGGGTAAGAGTGGAAAGGAGAAAGAATAAAATACAACAAGAAAAGGAAGCAAAGTGACAGAAATATTAAATACAGTGATTTCTCAATTAAAATTTTTCATTTCCAACATTAGCAGTCTTCCTTGCTACAGTGTTCTGTAGTATAGTAAGTTAACTCAGAAATCTTCCACCCAATGAAGTTTTGCAAGAACAGGATTAAACTTCCTCTCCAGAACCCATGAAGCACTAACAAGCCCTGGCCTGAATGGTTCTGACTGTGGTTACATCCTCTTTTTTAGATGTATGGTGGCATGAGAGGCATGAAGGGCTTGGTCTATGAAACATCAGTTCTTGACCCTGATGAGGTAAGAGACCCTTATGTCAGTTACCAATTGTTACTGTGTTTTACTGAGTAATGTGCACACCATGGATTACACAAGTGAGGGCAAAGAAAACTAAAGCATCTACATATTTTGGAGGGTGGGAAATAGGCACATGTGGAATAACTGAAGAATAAGTTTATCTTCTTAATATATCAACTAGTAAATTAAAAGTACAAAGAAGTTATGTGAAAACTTAAGGCTTTAAAAGTTCTAATTTGTTGAAAGGTCTAATAAGGTCCTGGGACCAGTAAATCGTGTGATGTCCAAGCTAATAAATTTAGGGGTTGTAATTCTTATTTCTCCCTTGAGGGCATCCGTTTCCGAGGCTACAGCATCCCCGAATGCCAGAAACTGCTGCCCAAAGCTAAAGGAGGGGAAGAGCCCCTGCCTGAGGGCCTGTTCTGGCTACTGGTGACTGGACAGATCCCAACAGAGGAGCAGGTAAGAAAGTATAAGGACCCGCTTGTGTGCCAGAGGTGAGCCTTACTTAACTTCTCTCTCTCTTTTAGACACTTAATCCTGATCTGGCTGTGGGTGGAATTTTCTAGTGATGTGCAGTGATGGGAAGAAATCAGAATTCTGCTGTATTAGTGGGTTGGGTTGAATTCTCTTGGAATTTTTTACTCAAAGGTCACTTTTTTCTCCCTTTTCCCTTTCTAGTGTTTTAAGCAGTGTCTCTTTTTTTTACAGGTATCTTGGCTCTCAAAAGAATGGGCAAAGAGGGCAGCTCTGCCTTCCCATGTGGTCACCATGCTGGACAACTTTCCCACCAATCTACACCCCATGTCTCAGCTCAGTGCAGCAATTACAGCCCTCAACAGTGAAAGTAACTTTGCCCGAGCATATGCAGAGGGTATCCACCGATCCAAGTATTGGGAGGTAGGAATTTTGGGTGTGGTAATTGATATATGATAGTCATCCAAAGGACTTTGGAATTACAAAGATAAATAAAACCAAAACCAAGGTTATTGGTTTGGTCAGAGTAATATACATGTAAAAAGAAACTATAATTCAGTAATCTTACTGTAATAAAGTTATATACACAGAGCTGTTGGAACACTGAAAAGGATGTGACTTCATAATAGAGTACCTAAAGAAGATTCTGAGTAATCACACCCTAGCCCTGAGTCACACCCTAGATCCCTCTCTCTTTTTTTTTTTTTTTTAGATTGATTTATTTATGCATACAAGAGCTGGGGTATAGGTCAGAAGTGCAGGGGTAAGGGGATTCACCAGAGACAGAGTGGATAGTTAAACAGGCAGATTGACTGAAATACACTGCTGAAGGGAGCAGTAGTCTAGACAGAAAAGGTCTGCAGAGCCATGTGGGTCAGCTCCCTGGCAGGGATTGAACTTGTGCTGCAGTGGCTGCTGTACCTTCATAGTGCTGAGACTTAACCCCCTTGTGCCACCAGGGAGGCCCACTAAGTTATTTCTTGCTTCAATTTTACGTTTTAATTTTGGCAGCATTCTCATTGAAGTCTGGTGGTGTTGACAGAATTCATTGTGTAGTTGCCTAACAGATTACTTCATAGGGATTAAATCATTTAAGCTAGGTGTTACGGATTTTGCTTTTCGTTCCAATGGTACTGCTGAAACCTTGTCACTTACAGGAACACTTAGCCAGTAAGTATTTACTCAGTGCTTTCTGTGTACCTGAAACTGTGGATGAAATCAGAACTTTTTAAAGTTCCTAAAATCAAACTTAAAATGTTGTCCCTTCTCTAAGGGAACTTAAAATTCCTTTCAGAAAATAAAATTGGGATGCAAAAGTTAGTAAACTGTTTAACGTCACAAAAAAGAGAAGCAGGGGGCCTCCCCGGTGGCGCAGCGGTTGAGTGCTGGGTTGCAAAGCTGCCCGCAGCCTCTGCAGCACCGGTTCTGCAGTGCCGGTTCGATCCCCGACTGCTCCCCGGCCACCAGAGGAGGGTCCCACATGGCGCACAGACATCTCCTGCCGCCCGCTGCTCCCCTCAGCAGTGTATTTCATCAGTCTGCCTGTTCTGTTCTCTGCTCTGGCTCTGGTGAATTTTCTCACCCTCCTGCGCTTCTGACTGTACCCAGTGCTTGTATAAATAAATAAATAACTCTTTTAAAAAAAGAGAGAGAAGCAAGCAGATATTTTTTATCAAATAATCTGCTCAAGCCTATAGAGCTATACATTTATAAGAAATAGAGTGGGCAGTGTCTCCCCGTTGGCGCACCAGGTTGAGCGCCGCGCTGTGAAGCTGTCTGCAGCCTCTGCAGTGTGGGTTTGATTCCCGGCCGGCCAGGGAGAAACCCAAATGGTGTGGCAGACCTCTCCTGCCTTGCCCACTGCTCCCCTCAGTAGTGTCTTCTGCCTATTATGCTCCCCGCTCTGTCTCTGGTGAATTCTCTCACCCTCCCGCGCCTCTGACCTATACCCCAGTTCTTGTATAATTGAATAAATCTTAAGGAAAAAAAAAAGAAATAGAGTGGTAAATGACATCACAGCTATATAATCAGCGAAATCTAGGGGAATTTTTACAGAACACATGATCCAGTTTTCCTAACTTGCAAGTGAGAAAGGAGAGAAGGAACTTAAACTGATGAATAGAAGCTTCAGGGAAATATCAGACAATTGCTTTGTAGGCCATTTTTGGTCCTGACTCAGACAAATGAGGTGGAGTCTTTATAATCAGAGAAACTTAAATATTGAGTAAATATTTAATAGTAGTAGCATTTGTTTCCCTTTTTAGGTGGGATAATGGTTCTTCATTTTGTTTCTGTTTTAGAGATACAAACTTAAATATTATATATTGAGGTATATAATGTCCAGAGTTTGCTCAAAATAACTTGGCAAGTAAGAGGGAAAAGTAGGGGTATAGTTGAAGTAAGAGTGGTCATGAGTTAATGATTATTTGAGCTAGATGATGGCTTGGCTGAGTAAATAACCTTGTGTGAGTTACTTAGCTTCTCTTGACTTAGTATATATATGGTGAATTTTCTTTAAAAGATGGAGATAGAAATAATTACTAAGACTGAATGCTTAGAGCCTCGGTTCCCTCATTTGTGAAATGGAGGTTACATACTTTGTAAAGCAGTAAAAACTAGGAATAATGTTTTAATGTACATGAGAGTGTGTGTGTAAATCACTTAGTGTAGTGCTTGGGTCGTAATAGTTACTTTTCAGTTAATTATTGTTACTATATTCTATATTTAACCACCCAGGGTGTAACTAACCATCAACCCAAAAAGCTTGATCCATGGAGGACAAACAGCACCTCTGCTTGATTCTTCTTTGCTAATAATTCCTTTTCTTTTTTTCTCTATTTTCCTCTTCTGATCAGTTGATATATGAAGATTGTATGGATCTGATTGCAAAGCTACCTTGTGTTGCAGCAAAAATCTACCGGAATCTCTACAGGGAGGGCAGCAGTATTGGGGCCATTGACTCCAAGCTGGACTGGTCCCACAATTTCACCAATATGTTAGGCTATACCGATGCTCAATTCACTGAGCTCATGCGCTTGTACCTCACTATCCACAGGTGAGCTACATCCAACAACCATAGCCACCAAGTGACTAGATTTGGTGGGAAATTTTAGGAAAAGCTGTGTAATGTTATCATTTTCTGAGAACAAGTGGTAGGCAGCAAGGAGATGGGAACATAACGTAAGGGATGATATAACACAAGAAAGAGATCTAGTAGAGGTTGGATCTAGCGAGTTACTATAACCACACTAAGAACAAGATAGTGCTTCTAAATGGGGAAAAAAGGGTACTATTGATAGTTGTTCCATTGGGTGGGCCTTCAGTTTTCCAGGAGCTCCCTCTTCTGGCCATTAATGTTACAGCTGGGCTGAGCGTGAGGGAGCTTGGCCCCCAGGAATCATCGCTCGGTAGCCTCTTCAGCTCAGTGGATTAGTGGCAAGGACTGGTCATGAGATTGGAACATCTCTTGTAAAGCTTAGATATAACTGACTGGCTGTAGGCTGGTATGAGCTCAAAACTAGGCAAGTATGTGACAAATCATCTGCCCCCTGTAGCCCTCACTCTTTCTTACTCTCCCACAGTGACCATGAGGGTGGCAATGTGAGTGCCCATACCAGTCACTTGGTAGGCAGTGCCCTTTCGGACCCCTACCTGTCCTTTGCAGCATCCATGAATGGATTGGCAGGGCCCCTACATGGACTGGCAAATCAAGTAAGACTACTTTTCCTTTACTTGCTCCATGTTTTCCTTATTCCTATGCTTTGTTTCTGATCTTGGGATTCTCCTCTGGTGTATTTATCGATACTCTTTTTATTCCCCAAATCTTACCCATAGGAAGTGCTTGTTTGGCTGACACAGCTACAGAAGGAAGTTGGCAAAGATGTGTCAGATGAGAAGTTACGAGACTACATCTGGAACACACTTAACTCAGGACGGGTGAGCAAAAATGTTTAGCAACTAGGCAAAAGGCCAACACCCAAAATATTTTTCTACCCTGAAAATTTTTAGAGACAAGAAATTTTACTTGCAGATTCAGCAGACCTTTCCCCTCTCTTTGCAGGTTGTCCCAGGCTATGGCCATGCAGTGTTAAGGAAGACTGATCCACGATACACCTGTCAGCGAGAGTTTGCTCTGAAACACCTGCCTCAGGACCCCATGTTCAAGCTGGTTGCTCAGCTGTACAAGATTGTGCCCAATGTCCTCTTAGAGCAGGGCAAGGCCAAGAATCCTTGGCCCAATGTAGATGCTCACAGTGGGGTGTTGCTCCAGGTGAGTCTTCCTTTTATGCTTTCACTCTAATTTGTCTCAAACCTTGTTGTTTTCTGCTGCTATTTACAAAATTAACTCCCCAGTCACAGTAAGAACTCTCTTACCTCCTCCCTTACCTTTTAGATGGTGGGGGGCCAGGGGATAGGGAGAAAGAGGTGCTCTCTTTTCAGAATCCCAATTGCTATACTTTTCCCAGTGTCTTTTCTATTTTTTTTTTTTAAGATTTATTTATTTATTTGTTTATTTATACAAGCACTGGGTACAGTCAGAAGCGCGGGAGGGTTAGAGAATTCACCAGAGCCAGAGCAGGGAGCAGAGCAGGCAGAGGGACCGAAGTACACTGCTGAGGGGAGCAGCGGGCGGCAGGAGAGGTCTGCGCACCATGTGGGACCCTCCTCTGGTGGCCGGGGAGCAGCCGGGGATCGAACCGGCACTGCAGAGGCTGTGGGCAGCTTCGCAACCCAGCGCTCAACCACTGCGCCACCAGGGAGGCCCGTCTTTTCTATTTAAGGCAACTGAAATTAAGGTTGTTGTTGCCCTGGACTTGGACCTGCCACTGCCTTTGGACCTTTAACAAAGTATTTTTCTCTTACCTTACAGTACTATGGCATGAAGGAGATGAATTACTACACAGTCCTGTTTGGAGTGTCACGGGCACTGGGTGTCCTGGCGCAGCTCATTTGGAGCCGAGCCCTGGGCTTCCCTCTAGAGAGGCCCAAATCCATGAGCACAGAGGGGCTGATGAAGTTTGTGGACTCTAAGTCAGGATAAAAATGGAGAATGAGGGGAAACTAACTACTAGAAAGTGAGGGAACTTAAAAATGAATACTTTTTTTGTTTCATGGGGCCTTTAAATACTTAAGATTAAATTGTATCTGAGGCACTGATAATAAGTTTGAGGTTAAAATATAAATTAAGACCTTAAAAGATAAAAAGTTGACCCCTTCTTCCCTAACTAGCTCCTTTCCTCTGCCTGGTAAGAGTTGTCCATCAACTGTAGGATGATCAGGACTAATTAATGCATGTGGTATGAGTTAGGTTTGGCCCCCCCCTTCGCCCCCACCACCGCCGCCATCCTAGGGTGAGAATCTGACTCTTCCTCCCCTGAGTCAAAGCCGGTTGCAGAGAATCTGCAGTCGTGTCAGAGCTTTTGGTTCTACTCTGCCCAACCCTTAATAGGTCAGCAAATCGGGATTCTGCCCTTTGTTTCCATAGGAATCATGTTGGATTGCCAGCTGTATACCAAGCCCCTTTGCCGTCTCCCAGGCGCACACACTTCCTATCGAGACCTGTTGATTAGCTGGACATGCTTTGGCTTTTTCTTTTTATGCTACCAGGTGATCATAAAGGCCATGGCATTTGCTGTGATTGGCACCTAATGTTTGTCTTTTTTAAATCCTTCCTGCAAGTTAAGGTCTGGGAGTGTTCTATTCCTCATTACTTTAGTACTCACACATTTAGTGATTATCTATACCTGCTGTACCTCAAGCTGAGGATGCTCTGGACTTTCCCCTTTTGGTTCCTACAGAGACCTCTTTCAGCAGGTTGTACATACCACTGTCTGGCCTTTGATCTTTCCCAGTCACTTGACTTTATCACTTTATCAGTGCTTAATGTGAACTAAGCTTTTTACATCACAGAACACAAACCACTACCCTCTGACCTGGTGTATTTTTGGTTTTCTTTTCCGCTTTTAATATGTTGTGGGCCACAGAATAGGGACTTGGAAATGACCAACGTGGTAAATGACCAACATGGTATCTTCACGGTCTGGCCCCAGGATACCTGCACCTCTTTTTGAGCAGGGAAATAATTTAAGATTAGACATAGTCTCCTTTGAATAGCAGGTCCTGGGGTTGAGGGCATTAAAAATCATAAACCTCCCTTTTCATCCCCTGCCACAAGAAATTGTCCCTTTATTTATCAAGGCAAATTCCTTGTCCTGACCCTTCCCCAAGAGCTCACAGTACAGAGTCTGTTCTAGAAGCCCAATTTGCACAGGTTTTCAGTGACTCAGAATGCTCTATTGCCTTTTCTTTAAGAAAGGATTGAAATACACTCCTGCTGTGCCCCTTCCTCCCTCGCAACCCCTGCCTGTGTTTGTGTGGATCCCCAATACCCAGAACCACGCTGTTGAGATGGACACACTGTAAACCCCTGGATAACTGTCAAGTCATGATGCAGACTTCAGGTTGTTCTGTATAAAATGCAAAATAAATGTTTTTATTAACAATGGTTGGGCTTGCTATTATTAAATAAGACCTGGAAGAATCTCTGTTACGAGGTGAGGAATCTGAATAGCAAGATCCTGGACTTGGTGGGTATAAATTAATCTTCTGCATCCCTTCAGGCAGGTTTAGCTTTCGTTTCCCCTGCTCAGAAGATAGGTTCCCTGTGAGATTGGCCACGGAAATTTGTCTTTTCTCAAAGTTTAAAGTCCTTGACCTTTACTCCCCATTCTTCCTAATTTTGTTCTTAGAACACTCAGACTGTAGCTGAGGCCTCACAACTGTTCATGTGACAAACCCAAGGAACCTGGTCCAGCCCACTGGGTGAAAGGAACAAACTTAATACCAAGGACAAAAAGGATAGGACCGCTAGCTCAGGAGCTGAGCCATCAGAGGGCTCTGGTATTTCATGGAGCACCTCCCACAAAGAGATCCCCCAAGTAAGAGGTGATTCTAAGGGCATCAGTAATATGGAAGATCTGACACCAGATTGTTTTATCCTGAGATTTCTGCTCCAACTGACCTTCTGAAAAAGTCTATAAATAGGCAAGGGAGCGGGTACTAGATCCTGGCTTTCAGAATGTGCTACTATAGTTAGCACGGACACTGTGTCCAAGAGGCTTTCTTGCTCCCCTAGGAAAGGAAGCCATGATTTTCTTCTACTCTGCTACATTACTCCCTAGAGAAACAATACTAAGCCATCGTCAAAATTTATAGACATTTTATAAAAAGTTAGGCCAAATGGAAGAGTAAGGTGCAACCCAAGAGTACAACTCTGTTCAGTGCTTTTCTCCTTGCCCCTTTGGCACTGATGGGTTTTAAAAAAAAAAAAAAAAGGCCCTTTGCTCTCCACTAGCCAGGCCAGCATGAGAATATTCTTTTTTTTTTTTTTTTTTTTTTTATAGAGGCATGCTTTATTTATTTGTTTGCTGGTTTCTTTGTTTGTTTTTGTTTATACATGCACTGGGTACAGTCAGAAGCGCAGGAGGGCGAGAGAATTCACCAGAGCCAGAGCGGGGAGCAGAGCAGGCAGAAGGACCGAAGTACACTGCTGAGGGGAGCAGCGGGCGGCAGGAGAGGTCCGCGCGCCATGTGGGACCCTCCTCCGGTGGCCGGGGAGCAGCCGGGGATCGAACCGGCGCCGCAGAGGCCGCGCGCAGCTTCGCAACCCAGCGCTCAACCGCTGCGCCACCGGGGAGGCCCGAGAATATTCTTAAAGTGAGGTCATCGGGATTTCAAGCTGAGGGGCAAATCTCAGGTATCTTGTGATGCATCTCGGGCAAGCAAAAATTAGTACCTGTCAGAGGAAAAAGCTCAATTTATTCAATCCTTAAAAAGTTACCATCCCTGATTAGACATTAAGGCACCTTGATGGGGCCCCAGAGCAACCCATAGTCCTCATTATAATTGGGTGTGAGAAGGCTGCAGGCATCAGGCATCCGGCGGTGCTCTCATGACCCTTCCTTTGGCATGACTCATTTCCATACTCCTCCCTTTGCCTTTTCTTGGCCCCAGCATTTCCAGCCAACCCAGAGTACAATTTCTGGGAACAGTATTATGAACACTTCTCAGGGGCAGGAGTCAAATGAAATAAATAAGTGAGGGGAACACTAAAGGAAAGGCTAAGAAGCAATCCTCTGCCTCATGTCTGGTGCACCTCATGAAACATCAGTTCACGGGGGATGGCTGTTTCTGGACCAAACTTGGTGGCTGCCCGGCGCTCAAAGGCAGCAACATTCTTTTTGACAACCTCATCAAAAAACATGGCGGCCAGCTGGGAGTGCAGCAGAGAACGAAATTCAAAGGAAATCTGGAAACAGGCAAGAGACAATTAGAAATTCAGCAACGTGTTGGATAGATGCAAGGATACTATTATTCAATGCCTTGTCTCCCCTCCCCCTCTAGTTACTTAGGTCCCTCAAAGGCAGAACTTCAGACTGAACACAGAACAAGCCTGATACAAGTTCAGTACTGCAGAAAGTATCAATGACTTGGGAAATGCCAAGTGCTAGCAGAGTACCTCAGCTCTGCTTCCACCCCCACTAGCAGCCCTGTGCTACTTAGCCTCAACTCACCGAAAAGTCCACAGTACAAGTTCGGGGGTAGGCAGGAATACCAGGTCTGAATCGCCAAATGGTCTCTAAGTGGTTGAAGAGCTTGCCGTCAGTGCAGACAGCCTAGAGTAGGAGTCAGGTAGTTACATACTACAATGGAATAAAACCTATACTTGGCATAGAAGACTATGAAGTTGAGAGCCATTTTCTTTCTAATAGTGGGCAGTATTTGGCATGGATATAAAATTATTACAAAAACAAAAACAGGGCCTCCCTGGTGGCTCAGGGGTTAAGTCTCACGCTATCAGGCTATTGCCAGCCACTGTGGCCTGGGTTCAATCCCTGGCCAGGGAGCTAACCCACAGCACAACCTGCCTGTTCTGCTTCCCACTCTATCTCTGGTGAATTCTCTTATCCCCCCATCCCGCATATCTCTGGCCTACACCCCAGTTCTTGTATGCATAAATAAAAGTAAGTCTTTGTAAAAAAAAAATGAAAATAGCTGATAAATGTAAAAATGCTAGAGGACAGGAGAGACTTACTGAGTAATCCCTCCCAGACAGGCCTCACCTTGACCATGTGAGGTTTGACCAAGGAAACAGCAGAGGTATAACGTTCCACGACAGGTGGAAAGCCAACCTCCAACTGGGCCTTCAGGTGTCCTTTGCGGCTGGATACCACCAAAGACTTCTTACACCAGGGCACAAACTCGCGATACTCCTGTACATTGGACACCACTTCAAACATCTCCTGCATTGAGTACCTAGGAAAAGGAATCACAGAAGGCTGGGTCAGAGTCCTCCTCGGCGTTGGTGTCACCATACCTTTATTCACTAACCATGCACCTTCAGGAACTAGAGATCCTAAATAAGCCTGGAGGAATGACTTTCCAAGGCAGAAGCACAAATCAAATCCACATAATGTTATTGTTACCTTTTGCAGTTTACAGAATGCTTTTGCATCTACTATTTTGATCCTATGAAGGACTAGCTAGGGAGAACAGAAACTGGTGATCATGCAATGACCTTACAACCCGAGGTAAATGACCTGTAGCTTCATTTTCTCATCTGTAAATGGCAGGTAATAATAGTACCTGACTCATAGGTTTGTTGACAGGATCAAATGAGAAAATCTATGTAAAACACCTAAGCAGCCTGACTGTAAGTGCAGGAAGTGCTAGCTACCATCTGTGCTGAGAATACACTCAAGGCCATCAGAGAAATAATACCCAGTTGTTTTATGATACTGTCCAACTCTAGTCACATTTCACTTAATACACATGCACAGCAACCAGGAAGAGGGAAATGTGTGGAAGACCAGCAGGGAAGGGAGAATAAAGGGTCAGTGAGATGGGAAGAGGGATGTCCAGGGACTGCTTTTCATCTGTAAGGGAAGTCTTTATTTCCTCGTCTCACAAATACAGCTGGCTTAGTTGGTAGCTTTTTGGTGATTAGTCAAACAGACCCAATCCCCGGGATTAAACTGGCCCACTACTGCCACCCTTCCATTCTAGCCTAGACATGGTTACTTGTGTGGAGAAGGGCATGTGGGGAGAGATGCAGGGCAGGGAAGAATGCTCACCCCATAATCCTACGCTCTGAGTAAGCCTTGCGCTTGTTGGTGAAGGGGGCAGCAAAGCCCATGAAAGAACGGCTGGGCGGCGAGCCAGCCTCAGCCGCCAAGACCCGGGCAGCCCGGGGCAAGAGGAGGCTGCTGGAGATCACAAACCTAAAGCCAAACATAATGGAAAAAACGTCACGATTCTTCACCTTCGCGTTCAACTCTTCCCCGGTGAAGGGGACGCATGCGGGGCCCAGCCCAGAGGAAGGGCGCCCGGGCAGGATTCCCCCAGCACCTGCTGCAGCCCGCTGAGCTCCCCGGCCAAGCAGTCACGAGTGCGAAAGGTCGAGGGCAACTGAGGACAGGGCGCGGGAGGTGATGGAAAAATGCGGGGTGCATGCGAAGTGCCAGCTGCCTCTGACTGGAGGCCTCGCTCCTGCTGAGGACCTCCAAGGGGCTCTCAGCCCCCCAGGCCTCGCCGCGCCCAGGGCTGCCGGGGCGCCCACCGGGGCCTTCCCCTCCCTCGCGCGCGGTTGGCAAGCGCGCTCCCCAAAGCCCTAAGGAGCCCCCAGGGCACCACAGATGCCGCCCGCGCCCAGGACTGAACCCCTCGGGGGAGGAGCTGGGGGTCCGGGGCGACCCCGTCCTCGGGCGCCGAGCGCCGCGCCTCGCGCTCACCTCAGGGGTCGCGGCGGTCGCGGAGGGCCCCGGGGCGGGGCGGGGCGCGCGCCCGGCGGGGCCCGGAGGCCGCAGCAGCAGCGCTGGGCCGCCGCGCGCGTCCCGCCGGGGAGTCGCCGCGCGCCCGCCGACGCCATGCGCGCGACCCGGCCGGGCCCTCCCGCGGCGCCCCGCCCGGCGGCTGCCTCCTGGCGGGAGAGTGCGGGCCGGCGCGGGGCTGCTCTCGCCTGCTCGCGCCCGGCGGCCGGGAGACCCGACTGAGGCCGCGGCCGCCGCTCGCGGCTCCCGCCCACGTCACGCGGCGCCCGGCCCGGCCCGGAGCGGAGGCCGGACGCGCGCACGCGGCCTGCCGGGAGATGTAGTCTCGGCCCCGGCGGGGACCGGCGCGGGGCCCCGGGAGGTCGCGGGCCGCGGCCGGGCGAACCGGGCTTCTACGAGGCGCAGCGGCCGCCCGGGGCGAGGCCCGGCCGAGGCTGCGCGACTCCGGGCCGCGGGGCCCTGGGCGCGCGCCGCCGCGTGTCCGGCCGGGAGCGGGGCTCGTCGGGGCGGCCTGCGCGGCGCCCGGGGCTGTGCCCCACACCTGCGAGGAGGAAATTAAGTTTCCAGGCGCTGGGCTAAGACGCCACAGTTTCCTCTTTTAGTATCTGAAGAGAGAAGTTGGGGTGGGAAGACCCAGACTTGCTCGGCAGGGGAGAGCTTCATCTTTGTCCTGAAAAGCGCGCACCTGATGAGGGACGAGACTCCAGGGCCTCCCTGGTGGTGCAAGGGTTAAGACGCAACCTAAGAAGCTGTCCGCAGCCTCTGCAGCTCGAGCTCGATTCCCGGCCAGGGAGCAACCCACAGGGCGCAGCAGACCTCTCCTGTCTCCGCGCTGCTCCCCTCAGCAGTGTTTCAGTCAATCCGCCTGTTCTGCTCCCCACTCTGTCTCTGGTGGATCCTCTCACCCCACCACCCGCACCCCCACCCCACACACATACACCTCTGACCTGTGCCCCTGCTCTTGTATGCATAAATAAATAAATCTTAAAAAAAAAAAAAAAAGGATGAGACTCCAGGGCAGGATCCCTCCCTGGCAATAAAATAGCACCACACTGCTTGCCATGATGCCAAGGAAGGCGGAAAGATGCGCTTGATAAACTTGGGGAGAATGAAAGGGAGAGAGGAGGGAGAAGTCAGCAACTGGAGACAACTAGAAGGGAGCAAGAGTCACTGAAATTCTCCCACAGAGGAGAGGAGGAGGCCATACTAGGAATGGTGGTACCTGCTGTTTTTATTTTTTTTAAAGATTTTATTTTATTTACTTGTGCATACAGGAACAGGGGTACAGTTCAGAGATGCGGGTGTTTGGGTGTAAGAGGATTCACCAGAGACAGAGTGGGGAACAGAACAGGCAGACTGACTGAAATACATTGCTGAGGGGAGCAGCGGGGAGACAGGAGAGGTCTGCTGTGCCATGTGGGTCATCTCCCTGGCTGGCTGGGGTGGAACTCCTGCTGCAGTGGCTGGAGACAGCTTGATAGCACTGAGACTTAACCCCTTTCACCACCAGGGAGGCACTGCTGTTTTTGTTTTTTTTTAATTTTTTTTTATTTTTTTTATAGAGGCATGTTTATTTATTTATTTGTTTGTTTGTTTGTTTGTTTGTTTTGTTTATTCATGCACTGGGTACAGTCAGAAGCGCGGGAGGGTGAGAGAATTCACCACAGCCAGAGCGGGGTGGGCGGGGGGCAGAGCAGGCAGAAGGACCGAAGTACACTGCTGAGGGGAGCAGTGGGCGGCAGGAGAGGTCTGCACGCCATGTGGGACCCTCCTCCGTTGGCCTGGGAGCAGCCGGGATCGAACCAGCGCTGCAGAGGCTGCGGGCAGCTTCGCAACCCAGCGCTCAACCGCTGCGCCACCGGGGAGGCCCTGTTTTTGTTTTTTTTAAAGATTGATTTATTTATGCATGCAAGAGCTAGGGTACAGACCAGAGACACAGGACAGGGTGTGTGTGAGAGGACTCACTACAGAGAGAGTGGGGAACAGAACAGGCAGACCAACTGAAATACACTGCTGAGGGGAGCAGCGGGTGAGGCAGGAGAGGTCTGCCTCGCCATGTGGGTTTCTCCCTGGCCAGTGGGGGATTGAATTCTGCTGCAGAGGCTGCAGATTGCCTCATAGTGCTGAGCTTGATCCCTTGCGCCACCAGGGAGGCCCTTTGCTGTTGTTTTTTAAAAATGTTTGTGCTATTACTGTGCAAGCCCCACCTTTGTTTTCTACTTGTTTTTGTAAATCTTTAGTCAAATGCTCCACATTCAGGAATCTTTGATTAGCGTTGTGTGGGTGAAGTGGGGGGGGGGGAATAAAATAATGAAAGATTTTGTTGCTTTTTGGATCTATTATCTTGCCCCCAGAGGAGGACTGGAAGCGGATATCAGTCCTCTAATACCCCCATTCCTTGAGATTGGCATTAATCTTGGGTTAATGCCAGTGCCATATTCCACTGGATAACCATTGATATAAAGCTTGAGCCCAGCCTTTCCATCACATAAGCCAAAACAGGCAGTTACCAGTACTTCCAGGAGCTACGGAGGAAGCAGCAGTCTGATGTGATGTGCTTTCTTCTCAGGGTGCACTGTGGGCAGTACCCAAGTGTCAGCGCTCCACTGGGCACCCCGCTCCACCTGGCTGGATAAAGCACGCAGCCTGGGTACAAGGCCAAACAAGGTTTTGTTATATATCAGATTCATGTGCACCGTGGTGGTGGTGCCCACAATGTCTAGTTCCAAAGGGTGCAGCCAATGGCAAGCCTGTCCATCATATTAATTAGCTGGAGTTTGCTAGAAGCTTTCAATCTGTTGCTGAGGAGCAAACTATATGTCACTGTGGGGCTCTGAGAGGCCTAAATTCTTCCTGGGTTGGTGAGGAGTCCACATACAAATCTATTAAGCTTATCCCAACCAATCCATTCCATAGAGCTATCAGAAGAAATCCTGACACCCAGGGGATCACTAAACCCCTCCACAAGCACAGGGAGATACAGGAGCTGACATCTCAGGCCACACAGGCTCTGGTCTTAGAAAAGGCCAGAAGTTCTGGGGCTTTCCTGGTGGCACAGGGGTTAAGTCTCAGCGCTATCAAACAGGCCATGGAGCTAACCCACATGGCACAGCAGACCTCTCCTGTCCCCCGCTGTTCCTCTCAGCAGTGTATTTCAGTAGATCTGCCTGTTCTCCCCACTCTCTCTGATGAATCCTCTTACCCCCCCACCTCCACACCTCTGGCTTACACCCCAGTTCTTGTATGCATAAATAAATAAACCTTAAAAAAAAAAAAGACCCAATCATTTCACTCGTAGGTTTTTACCTAAGAGAAATGAAATCATATGTTCGACTTGTACACACACACACACACACACAAATTAAAAAATTTATATTACTACACCACCGCTACCACCAAATCTCCAACAACTCCACCATAGCCCATTGGGCCGCCTCACACCAAGAAAGAAAGGCAATTTAATCCTGACTTTATAAATACACAGACATTCTGTACTGTTAATGGTAAGGATGGAACCCAGGTCTAGGTGATTACCAAGCCCATTTTAAAAACTGTTCTAGGGCCTCCCTGGTGGCACAGCGGGTTGAGCGCAGTGCTGTGAGGCTGTCCGCAGCCGCTGCAGCGTGGGTTCGATTCCTAGCCAGCCAGGGAGATTACCGGCATGGCTTGACAGACCTCTCCTCTCTCGCCCGCTGCTCCCCTCAGCAGTGTATTTTGGTCCATCTGCCTGTTCTGTTCCCCACTCTGTTTCTGGGGAATCCTCTCACCCGCCTGTGCCTCTGGCCTATACCTCAGCTCTTGTTTAAAAATAAATCTTTAAAAAAAAAAAAAAGGGCCTCCCCCGTGGCGCAGGCAGTTGAGCGCCGTGCTGTGAAGCTCTCCACGGCCTCTGCAGTGCTGGTTCGATCCCCGCTAGCCTTGGAACAACCCACATGGCGCAGCAGACCTCTTCTGTCTTGCCCTCTCCTCCCCTCAGCAGTGTATTTCGTCAGTCTGCCTGTTCTGTTCCCCGCTCTGTCTCTGGTGAATCCTCTCATGCTCCCACGCATCTGGCCTGTACCCCAGTTCTTGTATAAATAAAAATAAATCTTTAAACAAACAAGCAAACAAACAAGCAAAAAACCATTCTACCTCCACAGGTAGATTGAACTAATAACACTAGCTCAATAAACATTTATTAACAGAATGAATGTTTTTTCATTATTCCTTTTGTCTCCTTTCTTCCACCTATGTGGGGAGCTTGAAGTCAAATTAAGGCATGATCTCACTTCTTTTTCTCTGCTAACATTTCTTCTTTTTCCCTCAGGACCTCAGGGAGGGCCTGTTATTTTCACCCTACCGCCACTACCAGGGAATACTGTCACCTTCCTATTGGAAGAAGATAATCTGAGCTACTCTGAGAATACATGTCACCTTGAATGACAGATTTACTCTTTCCAACCCCACTCTCTTGTCCAGCACCATACTCTGACTAAGGGCTTACACATGCAAGACAGCTGCTTAGAGTAAAGAGGAGGGATCTGGCTGGTAATGGACAGATATTAACTGGGATACATAACTGAACTGTGACCTCATTAATATTCTGCCTTAACTGAGTTAACTGCTGCAGAATCCCCAAGGTACAATGGGCCTGTCAAACCAATTTATTTGTTCCCCTACTAATTAGATTAGCTAATTACTCTCATTTAAACTTTTCCTAGTTCATTCCTGGTACTTGAAACAAACTGATTCTCTAACATTTCCCTTTTATTCTCCGTCAGTAACTTCCTTCAAGTAGTAACTCAAAACATACCTCTTCTAAGAAGACCCTCTTGACTGAATCCACCCCTCAACATTATTCTGAACACAAACTACCATGTTAATGTTTCCTATATTCTCAGTTATTTCATTGTAGACATATGTTCTTCTTACCAAGTTATTAGCTCTACAGAAGTAGACGCCATAAGTGATAAGTTTCTTTCTCCAAACCAGTTAGTATAGGGCTGTATATAATGGTGAGTCCTCAATCAACATTTAGAATAACAAAAACTGAGGCTTAAAGACAGGTAGGCATCTACCTAGAGCTATTCAAATATAAAGTCAGGCCTCCCTGTTGGCACAGGGGCTAAATTCTCAGCGCTATCAAGCTATCACCAGCCACTGCCACATGAGCTCAATCCCCAGGCAGGGAGCTGACCCACATAGCACAGCAGACCTCTCCTGTCTTACCTGCTCTTCCCCTCAGCAGTGTATTTCAGTAGATCTGCCTGTTCTGCTCCCCACTCTGTCTCTGGTGAATCCTCTCATCCCCTCCCCTCACACCTCTGGCCGACACCCCAGTTCTTATATGCATAAATAAATAAATCTTAAAAAAAAAGAAACAAAAAATATATAATTTCAGTTATCCAATCCAGAAGGACTATCTACATAAGAGGTCCTTTCCACCACCTCCTGCCTCCTCCTCCCTCACCCTGTGCATCTTCCTGAGCTCTGTAAGTATCTGTGTTACCTATATCATATCCCGTTTTTCCCTGTTAGGAACTCCTCTTTCTGCTCTCTGAATGATAATTAAAACAACAACAACAACAAAAACAACAACAACAGCCACAAAAAACCCAACTCTTCTAGTCTTTCCTCCTTCCAGCTGCCCAGAGAAACTGCGTGCAACCTCCCTTGTTCACCTCCATTACTACATCAGGCCCAGGCACGTGACCCCAGCTCAACCCCTGCCTCCAATTCCTCAGGTTACAGAGCGCTATTTCGGGCAATGAAGGCCACGTAGTCCCTCCTGCCTATCCTCTGGCAGCTGCCTAGCTTAGCCCTTCCTGGAAGGTTCATCAAACCCAGGAGCCAAGTCAACATGCCCCAGCACCCACATCCATCCGATCAGCAGCCCCCTTCAGCTTCTACTCTTCAGCTGCATCATCATCATCATCATCAAATATTAAGTGGTTGTTCCCATGTACTGTTCAATAGAACTACAAAGAATAATTAAATTTAATATATCTTTGCCTTCAGAGAGCTCAAAATCCCTTTTCATTAAAACAAAAACTATGTACAGTCCTGCATTGGGGAAAAAAAAGAAACCCTGGCTAACAAGTTAAAATCCTTTTTTTTAATTTTTTTATTTTTATAATTATTTTTTTTAATAGAGGCATGTTTATTTATTTGTTTGTTTGTTTATACAAGCACTGGGTACAGTCAGAAGCATGGGAGGGTGAGAGAATTCACCACAGCCAGAGCGGGGGGGCAGAGCAGGCAGAAGGACCGAAGTACACTGCTGAGGGGAGCAGCGGGCGGCAGGAGAGGTCTGCGCGCCATGCGGGACCCTCCTCCAGTGGCCGGGGAGCAGCCGGGGATCGAACCGGCGCCGCAGAGGCCGCTGGCAGCTTTGCAACCCAGCGCTCAACCGCTGCGCCACCAGGGAAGCCCCCAAAATCCTTTTTTTTAAAAAAAAGATTTATTTATTTATACAAGAACTGGGGTACAGTCCAGAGGTGCAGGAGGTTGAGAGAATTCACCAGAGACAGAGCAGGGAGCAGAACAGGCAGACAGACCAAAAACACTGCTGAGGGGAGCAGCGGGCAAAACAGGAGAGGTCTGCTTCTCCATGTAGGTGTCTCCCTGGTCAGCTGGGAATCAAACCCGCGCTGCAGAGGCTGCAGATAGCTCCACAGCGCTCCGCTCAACTTGCTACGCCACCAGGGAGGCCCTAAAATCCATTTTGAACTGTCAAAACACACTTGTATGTAAAAGATAATAGGTGAAATAAGCAACAAATGTGTGCAATTTAAGCCAGACTTGTGATTCTGTAAGCTAAATATGCAAGTGTTAAGGAGACTTAACAAAAGGAAAAGAACCTATAAACCCAAGTAGTCTTCCTGCAAGAGGTAACTTTTAAGTAATATCGCAAATTTAGGGGCCTCCCTGGTGGCTCAGGGGGTTAAAGACAGTGCTATCAAGCTATCACCAGCCACTGCAGCATGAGTTTGATTCCCTGGCCAGCCACAGAGTTGACCCACATGGCACAGCAGACCTCTCCTGTCTTGCCCACTGCTCCCCTCAACAGTGTATTTCAGTAGGTCTGCCTGTTCTGCTCCCCACTCTGTCTCTGGTGAATTCACTAAACCTCCCCCCCACCTCTGGCATATACCACAGCTCTTGTATGCATAAATAAATAAATTTCCATGTGATAAAAACTCAAAATTTTTTTTAAGATTTATTTATTTATGCATACAAGGACTGGGGTACAAGCCAGAGATGGGGGAAGGTGAGAGGATCCACCAGAGACAGAGTGGGGAGCAGAACAGGCAGACTGACTGAAAGACACTGCTGAGGGGAGCAGCAGGTGAGACAGGAGAGGTCTGCTGCGCCATATGGGTAGCTCCCTGGCTGGCTGGGGATGGAACTCATGAGGCAGAGGCTGCTGATAGCTTCACCAGTGAGGCCCCCAAATTATTAAAGATATCTGGGGATAGATTTCCCATTCATTCCTCGTAATTTGTTCTGTAGTTCTTCTTTCCAGGAAAACTGGTGGGAATCAAGATATTGAGGGCAAAGAGGGGCATAGATTATTGGAAAGCAAGAGAGCTTTTCTATTTATATCTTGACGGGGGTGGGGGACAATGTGCTAAACGTGTTTCCTTCTTCAAAAACATGTTTGTGCTGGGCCTCCCTCCTGGTGCAAGGGGTTGAGCACCACACTATGAAGCAATCCGCAGCCTCTGCAGCACGAGTTCAATCCCCGGCCAGTCAGGGAGATACCCACATGGCGCAGCAGACCTCTCCTGTCTCCCCGCTGCTCCCCTCAGCGGTGGATTTCAGTCAGTCTGCTGTTCTGCTCCCCGCTCTGTCTCTGGTGAATCCTCTCACCCTCCCCATCTCTGGCCTGTACCCCAGCTCTTGTATTCATAAATAAATAATTCTTTAAAAAAAAACAAAACAAAAGCATGTTGTGTTGAGTTGCTGAGCTTTGAACAGACCCTGAGTCCTCTTTCATAAATTGTACCAATTTTTTTTAAAGATTTATTTATTTATTTGTTTGTTTGCTTGTTTTGTTTTATTTATTTACACAAGCACTGGGTACAGTCAGAAGCGCGGGAGGGTGAGAGAATTCACCACAGCCAGAGCGGGGGGCAGAGCAGGCAGAAGGACCGAAGTACACTGCTGAGGGGAGCAGCGGGCGGCAGGAGAGGTCTGCGCGCCATGTGGGACCCTCCTCCGGTGGCCGGGGAGCAGCCGGGGATGGAACCAGAGCCGCAGAGGCTGCGGGCAGCTTCGCAACCCAGCGCTCAACCACTGCGCCACCGGGGAGGCCCTGTACCGATTTTTTTTTTTTTTTTAAAGATTTATTTATTTATTTATTTATTTACTTACACAAGCACTGGGTACAGTCAGAAGCGCGGGAGGGTGAGAGAATTCACCAGAGCCAGAGTGGGGAGCAGAACAGGCAGAAGGACCGAAGGACACTGCTGGGGGGAGCAGCGGGCGGCAGGAGAGGTCTGCGCGCCATGCGGGACCCTCCTCCGGTGGCCGGGGAGCAGCCGGGGATTGAACCAGCTGCGGCAGCTTCGCAACCCGTTGCTCAACCGCTGCGCCACCGGGGAGGCCCTGTACCAATTTTTTTAATACCTACTTTTTTCTTCCCCGGTTTTCCCTTTCTGGGCTGAGATAACTTCCACTCAGCTCTTCCCTGACTGACTGCTCTCTGGCCTCTACAATGGAGAGGGGCAGCACGCCCCACCCCACCCCCTTTTCTGAGGAGAAAGCCTGGAGCCTTTGAAGTGCAGCCGCCCTACCACCTGGCCCCGGCCCGGAGGGATGAGGAAGGGGAACGTGCCCTTTCTGTGGGCTCTGGGCGTCTGCAGCTGCCAGTCATCCTCGCCTCTTTTGTGGCGGTTTTTTGCAGGAGAATCTTGGCATTTCTTTCTGCGGTTTGAGCACTTTGCTGTTCCCTCTCGACCCAGCTCAGGGCAGAGCCAACGGGGACGGGCGCTCCCCTCCCGCGGGGCTGCTGCCGCACGCAACGCCCGGCTCCCCCCGCCCAAGCACCCCCAGGTCTGTGGGGTTCTGCGGTGTGATCGCCGGCGGGCGGAGCTCGCTGCTGCGGGGCCTGCGGGCGGGGCGCGAGCTGGGGAGTCGCTCGGGCCCGGCTGAGAGGCGCCGCCGAGCCGAGGTCCGGGCCGCGCCGGGTCCTGTCGCGGAGCCGCGGGTCTCCGGGCTGGAGCGGGGGGCGGAGCGCGCCGCCCGGGGAGCCGCGGGGCCGGGGCGCGAGGGGAGGGTCCCGGGGACACACGGCCCCAGGGCCGGGCCCCGGGCCCCGGGCCCCCGGCCGCCTGCGCCCGGGCACCGGGCCCCCCGACGGCCGCCAGGGAGCGCTGCGGACTCCCGCTCGCCCGCCCCCCGGTAGGCGGGGCCGCGCTCTCCCCGCAGCCGCCGCCGCAGCCGCCGCCTGGGCCGCCCGGTGTCCCCGGTGGAGCCGCCGCCGCCGCCGCCGGGAGCTCGATGCGGACGGAGCCCGGGCCGGGCCATGGGGATCCTCAGCATCACGGACCAGGTCAGCGCGCCTGCCCTCCCCCGCTTCCTCCTTCCGGGCCCCGGCGCCGCCGCCACGCGAGCCCGGGGATGTGCGGCCTAGGCTGGGCCCGAGTCCGGGGCTGCCGCGGCTCCCGCTCCGCCCCGCGCCGCGCTCCCCTCAGCCGAGCCCGTGCCCTTGGCGGCCTGGCGGCCGCCGGACGCACCGCGGGAGCCGCCTGCAGCCCGGACCGCGAGCGGAGCCGCTCCGGCGACGCCTCCCCTCAGCCGGCGTCCCTCCCCCCCCGTTCCGCTCCGGCCGCGGCCCCGGCGCGGCTCGTCCCTGAGCGCGGCGTCTCCCTTGCAGCCGCCCCTGGTCCAGGCCATCTTCAGCCGCGATGTGGAGGAAGTGCGTTCCCTGCTCTCGCAGAAGGAGAACATCAACGTGCTGGTGAGTTGGGGCAGGGAGGATGGCGAGCGGGTAGTCGGCGCCGAACCCCTCCCCGCCAATCGGGCGGCTCCGGGTCTCCTTGGCCGGGGTGAGGCCGCAGCGCCTTCCTCCCGGGGATGAGCGTCTGCTCCACATTTGGGGATGGAGCGCGGGCCAGCCTGAGCGCACAGACCCAGAAACGGCGTTCCGCCCTCCACCGCGGGGGTCTGCAGCGCCCCCACCCCTCCGGGAAGGAGCTGGCGGCTCGGTGCCTCTGCCCCGCGTCTCCCCTCCCCAGGTGCTGGCTTCCACCTAGGGTTGAGATCTAGGAGGCAGCAGGAGCTGTGGGTAGAGCTTGTGGGGAAGAGGCCTGAAATTCTAATACTTGGATTGGGGGCCTCCATGGATCACCCCCACAAGCTGCTCTTCTTTTCTGCCTTCCCAGGACCAAGAAAGGCGAACCCCACTGCATGCTGCTGCCTACGTAGGCGATGTCCCCATCCTCCAGTTGCTACTGATGTCAGGTGAAAGTGGGGAGCTGGAAGGTGTGGCATCTAGGGAGGGGACTGGAGAGGAGGAGCTTGGTTTTCCAAACCCCAGGACTGTTCTCTGGTGCCTGGTCCAGGCAAGGCTCTAGTTCTGCCCAATCCCCCGCCCGGTTACTGGCTTCCTTCCCCGCCACCCCTGCACCTCCACCGAAAGAGGAAATTATGTCCCCGCAGGTGCTAATGTCAACGCTAAGGACACACTGTGGCTGACCCCTCTTCATCGTGCTGCTGCCTCCCGAAATGAGGTACGGCCCTCCTGCCTCCTTTCATCCTTCCTAAGAGGATGAATTAGTTAAGGGTGGGTTGTTAAGGCCTAGAGAGTCTCAGTCTCCGGCCCCCCAAGCTGCTCTGCCCCCAGGTAGGGAGGCGACCAGACATCGGCCCTCCCTCTTGCCCCTAGAACTGGCTGGTAAGGGGGGCTGAATGTTGCCAGCTGAAGTGACGTCAGAGGAGAGCTTAACACTAGGCTGGCAGACTGCAGGGGGCCCTGCTGCCAGGCCTGAGTGACTCATCCCTCCCTGGGGGGCCACCTTGGAGTCCAATCCCCCTCTGGCCACTGAGGTTTCTTGTGATGAAGGAATGGGGGGTAGTGATCTGTTGCATCCCTGCCCCTCATGCAGCATGAGTGTGACAGCACCCGGGTCAGACATCTCTCGCCAGTTGGGTGCATCAACTGTGAGGAGCTGGAAAGACCTTGCTTTACTCTGCAGTCACCGCCCCGGACTGTAGCCACCAGGGGGAGGGACTGAGGCGGATGGGAACAGGGTGGGTGGTGGCCAGGAGGGGCAGGTCGGCCTGGGTTTTGGAAAGGAATCAGTATCTGTTTGTTTCCCGGGGTAATGAAAATGATTTGGTGCCTGTGGAAGGGCTGTTGGGAGGGTGTTGGGGCATTAAGGGGGCAGGGCAGTTGGGAATTGGGATTCTCTACATTTACATGCTTTCTTGGTAGCAACTGTACGTGTGGGTGAGGATTTTCAGGGTCTGGGTTGGGGAGCGATACCAGATGGTTTGAGGAAGAGGAAAGAATTTTCCTCAGTAAGGGAGGGATGAGTGTAAGGCTGAGACGATCCAGAAATTGGGACATAGGCACTGAGAGGCTAGGTGCGCTAGAGGGTCAGGGTGGGGAGGGAACACACGAGTGCCATGCTGACGTATCCCTCCTTCTATTTCCCATTGCTTTATTTCCTGCTCCCCCTCTAATGTCTCTCTCTCCCCGACCCCTCAACAGAAGGTGCTGGGGCTGCTGCTGGCACATTCAGCAGATGTGAATGCCCGGGACAAGCTGTGGCAGACACCACTGCATGTGGCTGCCGCCAACCGGGCCACCAAGTGTGCTGAGGCTCTGGCACCCCTGCTGAGCAGCCTCAACGTGGCTGACAGGAGTGGGCGCAGCGCTCTGCACCATGCAGTGCATAGTGGGCATCTTGAGGTGAGGAACACACCAATCCCCTGCCGCCTGGGGCCTTCCCTTCCCATCCTCACCTCGCCCCGCTCCTGGCCCCCAGCCCTGGGGACAAGCAGCACAGCAGTTATACTAACAGTTGGGCTCAAGCAGCAAATGACTGGTCAGGGTAGATTGAAGTTCTTGACTTAGATTTCATGAGCATGATAAACTCTGAAGTTACCTGGGAAATGTTTGTGTTCGTGTCTTTTCCTGAAGGGAGAATCTCTGTCTTTCAACACATTTTCAAAGAATCTTTCAGGAGAGTTTAAGAACTACCAAAGCACTCCCTTGAGTGTCCCTCAATCTTCCAGATCTATCTTAGTACTCTCTAGTGCCTGCTTCCTCTGCTCCCTCTGGTTCTCCAGATTGTCCTGTTTAAGGACAAATGCATTAGGCTGCCTCGGCCTTTCCTGAATCGAAGGCCTCTTCTCTTGGACATGTTGAGGGCTTGAACCAGCCCTTGAACAGGTGTCTTTCATATCCTCACATAGACGGTGAACCTGCTCCTCAACAAGGGAGCCAGCCTGAATGTCTGTGACAAAAAGGAGCGACAGCCTCTGCACTGGGCAGCTTTTCTAGGTGAGAAAATTTCACAGGAAAAGTAGGAAATTGAGGGCTTCCCTGGTGGCACAGAGGTTAAATCTCAGCACAGTCAAACTTTATCACCAGCCACTGTGGCCTGAGTTTGATCGCCACCAGGAAGCTGACCCACATGGCGCAGCAGACCTCTCCTGTCTCCCTGCTGCTCCCCTCAGCAGTGGATTTCAGTACATCATCCTGTTCTGCTCCCCACTCTGTCTCTGGTGAATCCTCTCACCCCCCCCCCACACCTCTGGCCTGTACCCCAGTTCTTGTATGCATAAATAAGTAAAAATAAATCTTCAAAAGAAAAAAGTAGGGATTTGACATTTAGGAATCCCAGGGCATCGAGAGGGCTGTAGCCTTCAGAGCACGCAACACAGGGCCTTAGCGTTCCCCCTGCACTCCTTGAGAGCATCCTTTTTCACCCAGGGCACTTGGAAGTCCTGAAATTGCTGGTGGCACGGGGAGCAGATCTTAGCTGCAAGGACCGCAAGGGCTATGGGCTGCTCCACACCGCTGCTGCCAGTGGCCAGATCGAAGTGGTGAAGTACCTGCTCCGGATGGGGGCCGAGGTCAGGGCACTGCACATGGGGGTTGGGAGCCATGGATGGGAACTGGCGGTCAGAGACAATGATGGAGAGATGATGGTATAGCTTTTGGAGGGCAGGAGGATATGATAGAAAGGGTCTGAATAGAGTTTCCTTAAATAATGGTGCCCACAGTTTTTTGGGTGAGAAACCTAAGGAGACAGAGTCCATTGTTGGAATTTGGGATCCTCTAGGCTAACTGCTGGTCTCCACTTTAATTGATAACCTCCCTTACTCTCACCTCTGGAAATCCAGATTGACGAGCCCAACGCTTTTGGAAACACAGCTTTGCACATCGCCTGCTACCTGGGCCAGGATGCTGTGGCTATCGAGCTGGTGAATGCCGGCGCCAATGTCAACCAGCCTAATGAAAAGGGCTTCACGCCATTGCACGTGGCTGCGGTCTCCACCAATGGCGCCCTTTGCTTGGAGCTGCTGGTCAATAACGGGGCCGATGTCAACTACCAGGTGCCTGAAGGAAGGAGGCTGAGGCGGTGGGGAGAAGAGCCTGGTCCCAGGGGTCCTGACTGTGTCTTCCCCTTGGAGAGTTCTCTGGGAATCATCCACTTGCCTCCAGGGTTGATGAGGAGAGTGCAGGCTGACATGTCCATACGAACACTCTGTCCTGAGACTTGTTCTTTGGGAGAGGGAATAGGGCATGCTCCATGATTTACGCTGGGAGAAAAAAATCGCCATGTTTCCACAGAGCAAAGAAGGGAAGAGTCCTCTGCATATGGCTGCCATCCACGGCCGTTTCACCCGCTCTCAGATCCTCATCCAGAATGGTAGGACTTGGGATATGTGCTCGTCTCACCTGCTGTGGACTCAGCCCTAGAATCCCTTTCCTTCCTCACGCAACCCCCCACCCCCATCTTGCACTCAGGATGGGCACCCAGAGCTCTGCGTGGGTGCCTGTGACAACCGCCCTGCTCTGTCTGCCCAGACCCCTGGGTTCACAAGTTGGAGACATGGGGGGTGATTAGCATGGCACTGGGCATGTAGAACGAACTCATGATGGCTGAGTCGTATGAGTCTGAAACTTCAGGTCCACCTGAGCTTGCATATGCATCCCCCTCCCAGGCAGTGAGATCGATTGTGCCGACAAGTTTGGGAACACGCCACTGCATGTGGCTGCTCGCTACGGACACGAGCTGCTCATCAGCACCCTCATGACCAATGGCGCGGACACCGCCCGGTAAGTCCGGCCCCTGACCCCACGTTGTGGCGGCCGAGGGCCATACAGACCGCTCACATCAGCAGGGGCCAAAGAAACTCGCTAGAGACAAACCTGGAGAACCCGGCCCCCTCCTGGGCTGGTGGTGGGCCACGGAAGAGCGGTCTGTGGCTGGCCTGTTCTCCACCTGCGGGCTGAATTCTCACCTTGTCCCCAGGCGCGGCATCCACGACATGTTTCCCCTGCACTTAGCTGTTCTCTTTGGATTCTCTGACTGTTGTCGTAAGCTGCTTTCCTCAGGTACGTGCTGATTGGTGGGGGTGTTGGGCAGCATGGAGGAAGCAGAGGACTTTCCCCGTCTGCTCAGTGGCCTCCATGAGACCCTCCTGTTGTGGCCCCGCAGGTCAGCTGTACAGCATCGTATCTTCACTCAGCAACGAGCATGTGCTCTCAGCTGGGTTTGACATCAATACGCCTGACAACCTTGGCCGCACCTGTCTTCATGCTGCTGCTTCTGGAGGGTGAGTTCTCTTCCCTCTTACCCAGGCTTGAGAGTGGGGCAAGGGCCTGGGCCCATCATTCTTTTTGCCCACATCTGTCCCTCTTTCTCCGCGAGAGCAGACTCAGCAGAAAGAACCGTCTAGTTCCTCCGTTTCTTAGTCCCTCCCTGTGGCTTTTCCTAAAGGCTTAACCCTCATCTTAACTCTCATCCTCCTTCCTCGTAGAAATGTTGAATGTCTTAATTTGCTGTTGAGCAGTGGAGCTGACTTGAGGAGGAGAGACAAATTCGGAAGGTATTTTAATTTGCAGGAGTATACAGAGGGAACGTCGGATTAGAGACAAATGATAGTGGGGGGGCGGGGAGTTGGAGCCTTTGTGAGGAGACTGTGAAAAGCAGCTTTTGGCGCAACATCTGGTTGCGTTTGGATCCGTCCCTGATTCTTTTACCCATCCTCCTCCATTCCACCCCCAGGACCCCCCTGCACTATGCAGCCGCCAATGGCAGCTACCAGTGTGCAGTCACTCTGGTGACTGCCGGGGCCGGCGTCAACGAGGCCGACTGTAAAGGCTGCTCCCCTCTCCACTACGCTGCTGCCTCCGACACTTATAGGAGGTGAGACTCCCTCGCCAGCCTGTTGGCCCCACGCACCTCTCTGAGCCTCCCCCTGACTTCTTCTCCCGCCCCCAGAGCGGAACCCCACTCATCTTCCAGCCATGATGTTGACGAGGATGAGCCACTGAAAGAGTCCCGCAGGAAGGAGGCCTTCTTGTGAGTAGCTGGGGGGCCAGTGTCGGCTCGACCTGTTGTTTTTTTGTTTTTTGTTTTTTTTAAGATTTATTTACTTATGCTTACAAGAGCTGGGGTACAGGCCAGAGGTGTGAGAAGATTCACCAGAGACAGAGTGGGGAGCAGAACAGGCAGATTCACTGCTGAGGGGAGCAGCGGGTGTGACAGGAGAGGTCTGCTGCACCGTGTGGGTCAGCTCCCTGCCCGAGGATGAAACTCATGCTGCAGTGGCTGCCAATAGCTTCATAGTCCTGAGACTTAACCCCTTGCGCCACCAGGAAGGCCCCTTGACCTGTTATTCTGCTCACTCCAAACCCACCACCTTAGCGCAGTGTGCCCGGTGCACTCTGCCTTTAGCCCCAAACCAAGCCCCACGAGCAAACACAGACATATGGGACGTGGTTTCTTCCCTGAAGGAGCACATGGTCTTGAGAGCGTTTGTTTATTCCACAGCGTTAAATTGAGAATTTATTTACTGGGTACCGAGTACTGTGTTGAGTTTGTAGAATAAAAAATTATTCCAAATTTTTGCCCTTTGAGAGCTAACAATAAATTGGGAAAAATAAATGAAAGGACATTTGTATTTATACATTCTAAAGTAAGCTGTCGGGCCTCCCCGGTGGCGTAGCGGTTGAGCGCTGGGTTGTGAAGCTGCCCGCAGCCTCTGCAGCGCCGGTTCGATCCCCGGCTGCTCCCTGGCCACCGGAGGAGGGTCCCGCATGGCGCGCAGACCTCTCCTGCCGCCCGCTGCTCCCCTCAGCAGTGTACGTCGGTCCTTCTGCCTGCTCTGCTCCTCGCTCTGGCTCTGGTGAATTCTCTCACCCTCCCGCGCTTCTGACTGTACCCAGTACTTGTATAAATTAAAATAAATAAATAAACAAACAAACAAACAAACAAACAAACACGAATGTTTAGAAAATAAATAAATAAATGAAGTAAGCTGGCAACAATAAGGTAAACTGGTTTTGGAGTATGTGGGAACTCTACTATCATATTTTTTCTAGAGATCTAAAACTATTCTTTTTTTTTTTTTTTTAAGATTTATTTATTTATTTATACAAGCACTGGGTACAGTCAGAGGCGTGGGAGGGTGAGAGAATTCACCAGAGCCAGAGCAGAGAGTAGAACAGGCAGAGTGACGAAAGTACACTGCCGAGGGGAGCAGCGGGTGGCAGGAGAGGTCTGTGCACCATGTGGAACCCTCACCCAGTGGTGGGGGATCGAACCGGCGCTGCAGAGGCTTCTGGCAGCTTCGCAACCCAGCGCTCAACTGCTGCGCCACTGGGGAGGCCCTAGAGATCTAAAACTATTCTAAAAGTAAAAGTTTATTTAAAAGTATACTTCGGGGCCTTCCCGGTGGTGCAGCGGTTGAGCGCTGGGTTGCGAAGCTGCCAGAAGCCTCTGCAGCGCCGGTTCGATCCCCGGCTGCTCCCCGGCCACCGGAGGAGGGTCCCACATGGCGCGCAGACCTCTCCTGCCGCCCGCTGCTCCCCTCAGCAGTGTACCTTGGTCCTTCTGCCTGCTCTGCTCCCCGCTTTGGCTCTGGTGAATTCTCTCACCCTCCCGCACTTCTGACTGTACCCAGTGCTTGTATGTATGTATGTATGTATGTATGTATGTATGTATGTATGTATAAATAAATAAATAAATAAATCTTTAAAAAAATAAAATAAAAGTATACTTAGAATGGCACAAGGGGTTAAGTCTCAGCACTATGAAGCTGTCCTCAGCCTCTGCCAGACGAGTTTGATCCCCTGCCAGGGAGCTACCCACATGGCGCAGCAGACCTCTCCTGTCTCCCCGCTGCTCCCCTCAGCAGTGTATTTCAGTAGATCTGCCTATTGTGCTCCCCACTCTGTCTCTGGTGAATCCTCTTGTCCCTGTACCTCTGGCCTATACCCCAGCTCTTGCATGCATAAATAAATAAACCTTAAAAAAAAAGAATCTAAAAAGCTCAACTGTGTGACCTTTGGCAAGTAAGTTAACCTCTCTGTGCCTTGGGGGCCAACCACAGCATGGAGAAGAGTCTTATATACCTCAGGATTTAATATACATTACGTACCGAGAGCAGTGCTTGAGAACTAGTAAGTGCTGAATACTGAGTTGTCATTACTACCAACCCAACTGACTACTAAGCTGTGGAAGGTGCCAGAGAATGTAGAGAAGGAGCCTATCTTGGGGAGGCTGGGAAGGCCTCACAGAGGAGAGAAAGTCGGCCCTGAGTCTGAGACCAGTTTCATGCATGAGTTTCATTCATACTCGAAAACTTCCGCCTGGAGGTGGGCGGCAGTTTGATCCTTGTCCTCTGTGTCCTCTGGGAGAGCATTCGAAGGGTGAAAGAGAACGACAAAGGCAGGTGGTTCAGGGTAGACCCGGAGGAAGTGGCGAGTCTGGAGAGGGAGTCAGTGGAACGGAACTAGCCCGTGGACGGCAGCGGGTGCTGGCTGCCCGGCCTGGTGGGCTCCTTGCCCCTCCTACTCCTCCCATGGCTGTGCCCTCGCAGGCCGGACCTGTCCTGGCCTCATAAGCTGCCTCTGTCCCCTAGCTGTCTGGAGTTCCTACTGGATAACGGTGCAGACCCCTCCCTGCGGGACAGGCAGGGCTACACAGCCGTGCACTATGCAGCCGCCTACGGCAATAGACAGAACCTCGAACTGGTAAGCATGGGCCCTGAGCCCGGGGGACATGAGGTGGATTCTGTGACCAAGGGGTGGCTGAATCGAATGGAGAAGTAGGCGTTTAGTTTAGTGGAATAATTGTGGGTGGGTGGCGGGGGTAGTATCTTGGATGTTCCAGAGCCCCAGCACCTTCTTACTGTCCTGTGCATTGCAGCTCTTAGAAATGTCCTTTAACTGCCTGGAGGATGTGGAGAGTACCATTCCAGTCAGCCCTTTGCACTTAGCTGTGAGTGCCGAGTCTTTTCCTCCTGTTCTCCTGTCCCTTCTGGGCCCCTGACGCCAGCATTTGTATTGTTCTGCCTTCGTGTGGGGTGTGGCACGTGGGCAGTGGGTTGGAGAGGGCAGAGTGCAGTGGGGAGTTTATGGGAGGTCTGCTGCCTGGAGTCCCCTGGGAGCAGAGTGGGTCAGTGTCCTAAGCTGTGTCCGTGGTTGCCTGCGCTGCTCCAGGCCTACAACGGTCACTGTGAAGCCCTGAAGACACTGGCCGAGACGCTGGTGAACCTGGATGTGAGGGACCACAAGGGCCGGACTGCGCTCTTCCTGGCCACTGAGCGCGGCTCCACAGAGTGCGTGGAGGTGCTGACTGCTCACGGCGCCTCTGCCCTCATCAAGGAGCGGAAGCGCAAGTGGACACCCCTGCACGCTGCTGGTTAGTAGGCCTCTCAGACTTCCCTCCCCTTCCCACATTGTGCCTTGGAGATCAGTCTCCACATTGCTCCTGAATAGGATGGGATTGGGAGTCAATTGAGGCGAGAGGGGTGGAGACTTCGAGTCCTCTGCCCTGAGACTTCTCCCTGCCGCAGGTCTTCCCATAATCTCTACCCCAACTCCCTTAGGCTCGATCTGGCCGCCTCCTTCCTGCTGACCGTAACCTGACACAGACCCCTATTTTTCCTAGCTGCCTCTGGCCACACTGATTCCCTGCACTTGCTGATTGACAGTGGGGATCGAGCTGACATCACAGATGTCATGGATGCCTATGGCCAGTGAGTGTGGGCCAGGGTGGGGTGCAGTGTTCCTGTCCCTGCTAGGCCCTCACCCTCTCTCCTGCCTCCTCCGTAGAACCCCACTGATGCTGGCCATCATGAATGGCCATGTGGACTGTGTACATCTGCTGCTAGAGAAAGGATCCACAGCTGATGCTGCTGACCTTCGGGGTCGCACTGCCCTCCACCGTGGGGTGAGTGGGCTGCTGGGCGGGGCTGCCGGCAGATGGGCCTGGGTGTGGTAGCATGGGACCCACCAGCAGTAGGCATCCGACTGTCCAGCAGGTGGGTCAGGGTTTTGTGCTCAGGGTCATCTTGTGTGTTCCAGACACAGCGAGGACCTGACATCCCCAACTGCTCTCCCTGATAACCTTGCTTTGTAGTCAGAGACAGCTGCAGGCTCACCACCCAGACTCCACCTCGGGTCTCCCTGCGGGCCCTGTCCCGTTGGCAAATGAGGCCAAACCCTGACCCTTCTTCAAGATCACCTCTCCTGAAGCTGCTGCCTCCTCTCCTGCTGCGTTCTCTCATCCCTTAGTCTCCTTATTACTATTCCATTTCCTACTCCAGAGCACCAGGCTTACCTCCCCCCACCCTGACATTTGCTGGTGCAGTGTGAAGGAAGGGCCCTGTCCCTAGCACTTAGGGGCCTGCAGCCCAGGGTGTGGTACTCTTCGGGGCCAGCCCTGTGACTGGCCACTGGACAGGGAGTGGCTCCTCCAACCCCCCTGCCACCCACAGGCAGTGACTGGCTGTGAGGACTGCCTGGCTGCCCTGCTGGACCATGACGCATTTGTGCTGTGCCGAGACTTCAAGGGGCGCACGCCCATTCATCTGGCCTCAGCCTGTGGTCACGCCACGGTGCTGCGGACCCTGCTGCAGGCTGCCCTTTCCACGGACCCCCTGGATGCCGGGGTGGATTACAGCGGATACTCGCCCATGCACTGGGCCTCCTACACTGGTGCGGACCCGGGGCCCGTGGCCGTGGGTGTGTGAGGGCCTGGGGGAGAGCAGGTGCGGCCAGAGAGCAGGCCCGGAAGGCGTGGGTTGATCTGGAAGTGGAATGAAGTGTCAAGAGATGGGACAGGACAGATGTGGGGAACCTTGTCATTCCACTCGGTCACCAGTTTTCCTCCTCATGCCAGGACACGAAGATTGTCTGGAGTTGTTACTTGAACACAGCCCATTTTCATATCTGGAAGGAAACCCCTTCACTCCTTTGCACTGTGCAGTGTAAGTCCCTTGCTGTGCCGGAGCTGAGGACAGGGTCTGTGCTGTGGGCTGAGGACAGGCGTCCATTTCTCTTTCCTTTCCTGCTGACCTCTCTTCTTTCCCCAGAATTAATAACCAGGACAGCACCACAGAGATGCTGCTGGGAGCTCTGGGTGCCAAGATTGTGAACAGCCGAGATGCCAAAGGACGGTGAGTGGTAGGAGACTGGGCTTCAGCCCGAGGGGCCTCTGACTTCTTCCTGTTCAGATGGAAGAGCCTTCCCTCCTTTACTCGGCTCCACCCCCACCCCACAGGACCCCTCTTCACGCAGCTGCCTTCGCGGACAATGTCTCTGGCCTCCGCATGCTGCTGCAGCATCAAGCTGAGGTGAACGCCACTGACCATGCTGGCCGCACGGCGCTCATGACGGCGGCCGAGAACGGGCGGACTGCTGCTCTGGGTGCGTAGGGGCGCGTGGGGCCGGGTGGCCCCTGCCAGCTGGGGGTTCAGGAAGCAGGAGTGTATCTTTGGATGTTTCACCCTCTGCAGATGGGAAACAAAACCTGTGCCAGTGGGGCTGGGAGGTAGAGGGCCGCAGATTCAGCTGGCTGACGCTCTGGAGGGGAGGTGTCAGCCCCCTTCTGTCCCCCTTCTCTTGCAGAATTTCTGCTGTACCGAGGGAAGGCAGACCTTACTGTGCTGGATGAGAACAAGAACACTGCCCTCCACTTGGCGTGTAGCAAGGTGCTGCCTGGGGTGGTGGTGCCAAGGGTGGTGTCGGGGCAAGGCTTGATGCGGGAAGTGGGTCTGGCTTGAGGACTGACCGGGGTGTCTGACCGGTGGGACAGCTCTTTGCCCCTTGCTGGCATTCCCAACTGCCACGCTGCCGCCTGTCACTCTTCTACTTCACGAGTCTCTCCTCTGCTTCTCTCCCTCAGGGCCATGAGAAATGTGCCCTCATGATCCTGGCAGAAACCCAAGACCTTGGCCTTATCAATGCCACCAACAGTGCGCTGCAGATGTGAGTGCCCGGGGAAGGGGGCTCCTGACTGGGGGAGGCAGGTGGGTGAAGCACGAGCCCCCTGCATTTCTGGGGCTCTCCGGAGCTCATAACATTTGTTCAGTGCCCTTGCTGCTCTGGCTGAGGGTGGGAAGGGCAGCGGGTCATCTTGTTGACCTCATGTCCCCTTTTCTTTTCTTCCCAGGCCACTCCACATTGCTGCCCGGAATGGTCTAGCTTCTGTGGTGCAGGCCCTGCTGAGTCGTGGGGCGACAGTGCTGGCTGTGGATGAAGAAGGTGGGTGGGGTCTGGAGCCCCCCGCCTCTCCTGGGTTTGGGGTCAGGGACATTCTTCAGGAGGTGACTTCTTAACCTTGCTATAAACTGGATTTTCTTCCCAAGGGAGCTGTTAAGAACAGGGATCAATATGCTAGAGGCTCTGAGGGGAGTCTGGCCGAATTGAACGGAGCCCACTGGATCCTCTGGAAGTCCTACCACAGGCCTCAGCCCCCAGCCTCCCGCCCCCCATGCACCAGCCTTACCCCACGCTCTGACAGGCTCCCTGTCAGCATCCCTGGGTGCCCTGGACTCCGAGCACGCCAGGGGCTTGCCTACCTTGCCAGCCCTCTGTAGATAGGAGAGCTCAGGCCCCGGGGAGGGTGAACTGGGGCCCAGAGAGACAGGATCCTGTGCCTCAGTTCTCCCCTTTGCCCTGCAGGTCACACCCCAGCACTGGCCTGCGCCCCCAACAAAGATGTGGCAGACTGCCTGGCCTTGATCCTTTCCACCATGAAGCCTTTCCCACCCAAGGACGCCGTCAGTCCTTTCAACTTGAGCCTGTTCAAAAACTGCAGCATCGCGGCAGCCAAGACGGTGGGTGGCTGCGGCGCCCTGCCCCACGGGGCCTCCCGCCCCTACAGCCAGGAGCGGCACGGCGCCGTCGGGCTAGACGGCTGCTACTCTGAGTAGCCCCCTCCCGTGTCCCTCCCTGCCGGTGGCTTGATATCTTATTCTATTTATTTAGAAAAAGTCTATACATTTAGGGCACTTTAAAGGAGAACACGACTGGGTGGGGGGGGCGGAGGGGACAACAAAAGCACTGGGGAGCAGCTGCTCACCCCTTTGCCACACCATCCTGGCCTGGCAGGGGTCTGGGACCCACAGGAAGCACCCCAGGCCCTTGGTTCCCCCAGGGCCACCCCTTCTGCCAAGTGTCCCAAAATGATTGCTAAATGCCTGGCTCCCCCTCTCCTTTACCCCATCTCTCTGTCCCCCCTTTCTGCTGCCAGCTCCCCCAACTCTTCCCTCTGCCTCTCCCCTCTCTGGCCCCCCCGCATCCCCCCCCTTACTGCCAGGCAGACCCCTCCTCTTCCATACCCATCACTGCCTCCCTGCTCGGCCGGCCCCTCCATCCCCGCAGCAGTGAGAAGCCTTAATTTCTGGTACTGTGTGAGCACTCTGGGGGTGTCCCCCTCCCCCTTCAGGGGCAGCTAGCAGATGAGGGGGGAGGGTACTTAGCACTGGGGCCTGGAGCTTCCCCCTACTTCTGTCCCCCATCACCCCTCAAGTTCAAATGCAAAACACTTGAAGCAGCAACTACTGTACCTGGGCCCCTTCCTGCACTCTACCCTGGCTCCTCATATGCAAATCAAGGGCTGGTTCTGCCCCCACAGCCTGCCCCCCCATCCCGCCCACCCCTGGCCTGGCCCCCTAACCACGCACTTTAACCTTGCTTCTTTTAACTTCTTTTGGGAGGGCAGAGCCTGCGGCCATTCCGTCCCTGGCTCTCCTCTCCCTTAACTTTGAGGCTTGTCATGAATTTTTAAGTAAGCATTTTATCCTTTAAGGGAAGAAACAAATGTAATTTCCTGCCCATTTCAAACCATAGCACGAGTATGTCCTATGTGTTTCAGGCATGTGTTTGCATGTACGTAGAGGGAGGGACTGTGTACTCCCTCCCGTGCCCCCAACCCCGCAGCTCCTCTGTGCCCTCTGTCTGCCACCACCTTCCATTAGGTCCAAGAGTACCCACCGCCTCCAGTCACTCCTGATCTGAAGCCAAAGAGGGTGGGAGGGGCAGGGCAGACTCGGGACCGTGGCTACTCGGGACTCGGGCTTCCCCTTCCGCGTGAGGATGAAGCTCTGACCTAGGGAGCAACAAGTAGATACTGAGGCTGGGTCCCTGCCTTCCCGGCCGCAGGGAGAGATGGGATTGAGCTTGGGGCTGCACTGATAAGACTCCTAAAAGTTGCTCCCCAAAAGCCAAACTGGGCTGGAGTGAGGAGGGGGCAGTTTTCTCTCTAAATGTAGCATTGAATTTGGCCCTGGTTCCTGCAAACCCCCTGTCCACCCATCTCCTAGCAATGCCTCCTGGACAGCTGGCCTCGCCCCCTCGCCCAGTGCGCCCTTCCTCACACTCGATACCTCAGCCAGGGGCCAAGACACAGAACTTGAATAGAGGTCATGCCCCCTCCACCCCCACAGCGCATCCTTGCCCAGTTTGGCTGCCATCAGTATTGTCCCCTGAGAACTGGACAGGCTTCGTTTACACAGTACGGGGGTCTCCCCCCGGGGGGCCCCTCAGTCTCCTTCCCCTACTCATGCTTGCTTTATTCACCATCTTACCCACCTCTCAGGCGTGTCCCTTGCAAGTCTCGCCACCCTTGCTGAGGGTGGGCTGAGGGGAGAGGGGGCACCCCGGGGAGCCCCCCCTCGCCAGTGGATACCCTCAACCATACCTCATGCTGGTTCCCCGAAGCCTGGGCTGTTTGTCCAAGTTCTTTTTGTCACAGTCTCTCCTGATCGCCTGTGTCTCGCCTCCCCCGCCCCTCAGTTCCTGAACCATTTCAAAACTTCAAGTGACCATTATCGATGAGAAGGATTGTGCAGCTTTTAGTTTTTATTTTTGTTTTCAAAGCCAAAGGGCCTTGCGACGCCCCTCTTGCCCGCCTCCCTTCACACCCCGTCCTCCCCTGTACGACAATCAATGTGACCTCTCTTAAGGGCTGCAGCCCCCGCCCCCGACCCTGCTGGTTCTGCAAAGCTTGCCCCCTAACTTCAATGCTCTCTCCTAGAATCTTCCCATTCCACCCCCACCCTCTCATTTTGGTGCTGGGAACTAGGTGGTGGGGGGCAGGGGGAGAGGGAGTGGGGTCCTCCAGAGGAGACTTGGGGTATCAGTCGTGTTCTCCTTTATCAATATTTGGCAGTGACAGGAAGAATCTTGAGTATTTGTCAGGAGCCCCGTTGTTTTGCTAGATGAGATTTCTGGTGGCTGCCACCGCCTGCCGCCCCTTCAGCACACCGTCAGCAGTGCTGGGCAGGTTGTGGGGAGTCCCCCGCCCCTCCTCATGTGGCTGTGAGGAGGCCTGGAGGACGAGCAGCCTCCTCTCCTTATGCCAAAGGAAATCCCACACCCTCCCCTGGGCTCCCAGCCCCTAGAGTTTTTTGAAGCATTTTGACCATTCTCATGGCCACTGCATATTTATTTTAATGTTAAGATTTTTTTAAACCTCTTTGACTTAAACGGGTGTGGAGAAGTACAACAGGCAGAACGCCCCCCGTCTTTCGGAGGTAGGGTGGGGCGGAAGCGTCTCCATCCCTTCGCCTCCCTCTTCCCTTCCCCCTCTCCCCACCGCAGCTCTAAAGCACTTGCTTCAAGTAATAAGCACTTTCGAGAAAAGGCCTATCTTAAGTGAGGGCCCTGGGAGCAGCCCCAGGTCCCAGCAAAGGAGACAGAGCGAGGGCTACGTAGGAGACAGGGAAACAGACGTGTGGATCGGAGGGCGAGATGAAAAGAGCCAGTTTTCAGTTTCTGACTTTGGGGGAGATGTTTCCGGCCGGGCAGTGGCTGTGGCAGGGTTGTGTACTATCTTTCGGAAAAGCAAATGGCACAAACTGTTGGTCCCAGGATGGACCGACAGACCCGGGTCACTGCCACTGCCCAGCTGAGACGGACGGGCCACCGCCCCCACCCGCGGCCCCCTGAGCCATAGGACTGCTGAAAACCACTGAATGTACAGCCCAGGAGGGGGTGGGGAGCAGCCCCTGGGGGTGGGGGGCTTCTCCTTTTGTTTGGTGCTGTGGGGGGGTGGAAGAGAGGAGACTGAGGGACTGCCGCCCCACTCCGACGTGTGTCCCTTGCTCGGGGTGGAGGCGCTGAGGAGGGCCGACCTCCCTCTCCAACCCCGGCCATGGCCCCTCTTCCTTCCTCATCCCTATCCGTTTTGACTGTAAGTCCAGCTCACCTTTGCCTTCAATATGTAACCAAAGGAAAACTCAATACTGTTTCCACCGCTGTCTGCCCACCCGAGCACCTTCTGACTCCCTGGACCTGGAGGGGGAGAAGAGGCCGGGGGTGGGGGTGGGGGTGGGCAGATTGGACGGTTCTACACCTGTACCCCCCACACCTTCTCTGGGGTCTTGGGAGGGACCCTGAGAGGTGAGGTTGGGGCCAGGCGGGGGGGCTGGGCGCGGGCGCACTCTGTGTCTTGTGCACCCGAGTGTTTCTTCTCGGACGGACTCCGTGACTGTGCTCCAGCAGGGAGCCCCTTCCGCCTTCCCTCCCCGCCACGCTCGCCCTCTTCCCACACCCGGCGTTCACCCTCCGCCTCCCCTTCCCACTGCAAAGGAAAATAGCCTTACAGACCCTAGCCCAGAAACAGAAACCCTCCTCGCGGGGCCAGCCAGTCTGGGCCCCGCCCCGCCTAGTTTGACCCTTTCCTTTAAAGAAGGAGGGAGAAAGGAGCAGAGCAGCCCTTCCCCTCTGATCGCGGTGGCTCCAGCCCTCCGAGGCCTTGACCCGGGCTGGGCAAGGCTGGAGGTGAGGAATCTTTGAGGACCAAGCCCAGTGGTCTGGGAAGAGGGAGGTAGGAAGGGAAGGGTCTGACTTGGGGACTCCCTCCTCCCGACCCGACCCTAGAGAAGCGACCAAATCCCAGAGGGGCGGAAGGTGGGGTGAGGGGTCTGCTCTATGAATTACTTGAAGGTACTGACTCCGAGGCTGCTGTTGCCCACGTAGGTGTGAGGGGGACACTGTCACTGCGTTTGGGAGGGCAGAGGGTGGTGGGTGACGGGAGGATCCACCCTCGGCCTCGCTCACTCCTGCTAGGCCCGTTCCGCAGGGAGCCAGGCTTTGCCCCAGGGAAGTCGGGGAGAGCCTCCCTCCCGTCTCCATCCCTCACTCTGGGCGCCCTCTCCAATTGCACTAAAGTAGCTGTTGTGCCAGTCTTTCCCCCACACCAGGGTGGGGTCTCTGCTTCCAGTCCCTTCTCCCCCGACGGCCTCCGCTCCCACCCCGGACAATCTCCTTGTCCCCCTGTGTTCCTGGATAGCTCAGCTTTGTGTGTGTGTGTGTTGGGGGGAGGGGGGGGTTCTGGCTGGAGTGGGTTCGGCAGGAGTGGGGAAGGGCTAGGGGCAGACGGAGGACGGAGTCTCCTACCCCTTCCCCAGCGCCAGCCACGGAAGCCCGGGCGGGAGGGCGCCCACTCTCGCCGCCGCGTGTCTTGCAGATGTGCCAAAATGGGGGTGGGTGGGAGGGGAGGGTGCCTGGCAGAGCGGCCCCCAGGGTGGCTCTCTCAAAGCAATACAGTTCCTCCTGCCTGGGGGACGGCAAGACAGGGGAGAGGGTTGGGTTGGGGGCCCGGGGGTTCCCTGTGTACAGCTGTGTATATTCAGGGGTGTTCTCTGTCTGGTACCCGCTGTGGGCGTCTACGTGTGTGTGAACTTCCCGTCCCCATGCCCTGCATGACCTGTGATGCTGCAGACACGACCATCCTGTGTGCAGGGGTGGGTTGGGGGCACTGAGGGGCATGTTCCATGTCCCATTGCACCCTCCACCCTGTGACCCATGTACTCGGTTGTAGGAAGTAAAGAGAACTGAGCACAATTCACTGGATTCTAGTGGAATCTTTCTCTAAGCAATTTCCCCTTCCTGCACTTCTCCCTGCCCCAGACCTTCCTGTGGTGCTAGCGTTGGGGTCGGGGGTGTGTAATGCTGGTGGGCAGCAATAAAGGGCAGATGTGCCCGATGCCTGTATCCCCAGGGTGCTGAGGGCAGCAGGACAACGTGGGGACCTCGGTGCATTTGCCCCCCCCTCCCCCCCCCCCCCCCCCCCGGGCTAAAGCACAATGCTCTCCCTCCCTGAAGACTGATGCACCCCGCACCCTCCAGCCCCTAGTCACGTCCTCCCCGACCTGCTTTGGAGCCCTCCCACCACACCCTGGTTTTCTATGCTGTTTTGGTGCAAGTACAACTGTCGTAGTTCTGGCTTCGGGATGGGTTCTGTTTATTAAAATCCTATTGCTCCTACTGGCCCTGTGTCCCGCCTCCATTCCTGCGGTTGGGGGGAAGGAAGGGCACCCCGGGACGCCTTTCCGCTGACCCCCATCAGCCATCAGCGAGCAGGGGCCGCAGCTGCTCCTCCAGCAGGGCTATGGTGAGCATGAGGCCACCTCCCAGCAGCAGCCCCAGCCCCTGCAGTAGCACATCGAGCAGAGGAAGGGGCTCCGGCCCGCGGAGCAGGGCTGGTAGCTGAAGGGAAAGAAGCAACATGGAAGGGAGGTTTCAGCATCCGCAGCCCTGACCCAACTCTCCCAGGCCCTTATTCCTCAGGCTCCTGCAGGCTGTGGGCCAGGCCGCTGGCTGGCGGCGAAAGGACTGATTCCTCCTCCTCCATACCCCCCTTCCGCGCCCGTGGTTTCTCTGCTGTCCCCCACACCTCTCACCATGTCCACGAGGGCCACATAGAGGAAGACCCCAGCAGTGACCCCAAACACCCAGGGAGTGAGGGGGATGGGGCCCAAGCTGAGCCCCACCCCCAGGGCTGCGCCGCCCAGCCCCAGGGCTCCGGACACCAGGCTCAGCAGCAGCAGCCTCCGAAAGGGCAGCCCTGCCCGGAGCAGCATGGCGAAGTCACCTGCCGGGGAGAGGGGCGGGGTTGGAGGGAACAAGCCAGGCCTGCCCCGCCCACGCCACGCACCCCCCAGCCTCTGGGGTCTGCGGTCCTACCGAGTTCGTGGGGCAGCTCGTGGCAGAAGACGGCGAGGGTGGTGCTGAGGCCGCTGGAGAAGCTGTCGGAGAAGGCAGCGCCTGTGGCAGGCGAGAGGTGGCCAGGCCTAAAGGGCCGTCTCCCCGGGGGCCCTTTCCTCCGCACCTCGCAGCCTCCTCACCCGGGCCGGCCGGGACCTAGGGGCCCCGCTCTCCCCTCCAGCCGGCCGCACCCCAGTCCCTCCTCACACCTATGGCCAGCCCGTCGGTGAGGTTGTGTAGACCATCTCCCAGGAGGACCATCCATGTGATGTTGGCGCCACCGCCATCCTGGTACGCATGACTGTGGCCTTGGTGCCCAGGGAGGGCCGGGGCTGCTGGGGGCCTGTGGTCCTGCTCCCTCTGGCCCTGAAGCCCTGGCTCTGCAGGAGGAGGGACATGGACAGTGTTGGTGGTTGCACGTAAGAGCCGGGAGCTCGCTCCTCACTCTCTCTAGTCACCTGGAGCTGCTTGAAGGGGCTGAAGGGCCGTCCCACCGCCATCCTCTGGGTCCAGGTTTGGTGTTTCGAGATCCTTTCTTTTTTTCCTGCAGCAGTTCTGAAATAGGAGGGTATCCTTCCTGGGGGAGGAGCAGCCAGCCCGGGGCCAAGGAGAGGCCGGCCTGCCAGCTGGGAAAACGAGCACCTGGCACCACCTGTGGCACTTGGGACGTTCTCTGGCCTCTGTTCTCCCCAGGATCTGCCCTCCCTGTTTTTTGTTGACATGAACTTAGGAGAGGAGGCCTTTTGGCCAGAAGTCCTGGGTCTCTGCTGAGGAGCTACCACCCACTCCCTGTTAGCTGTCAGGTCCTGTCCCGTCAGGCACATGTCAGAGACAGGAGCACACTTGGCCCACACCTCCTCTCTTGTGTGGCTAGTTCTTGGCTAGGCCTCTGGTCTTGGCAGGAGGAGAAAGGGGTGTCACTCACTGGCCGGAGCCCTCGGCGCCGCAGAAGCCCTAGCGTGTTCTCCAGGAGGAAGAGCAGGAAGAGACCTCCGAGCACTGACAGCCCCGGGCCCAGGTCCTCTTCTGGTGGCCCGCTAGTTCCAGCGTGCTGCCCTCCTTGTGCCTAACAGAGAGGAGGTCAGGGTGGACCCTGGAAGCCCCTGCGCCCAACAGCGTGCCCTCCTGTGTGGGAAGCGGCAAGCCTTCTCTGATGAGACATTCCGTGTAAGGCTGGAGCTGGGGTCGGGCAGTGGAAAGTGGGAGCTGACAGGAGGAGGCGGGAGATGTCCCGTGGTTAGGACACTGGGCCGCGTGGAGGCTCCGCTGGGGGCAGGGGCAGGGGCGGGGCTTCACGTACATGAGGCAGCAGGTGTAGCAGCGCATCCCCACAAAGAGTGCCCACGGCCAGGGCCCCCAGGAAGCCCAGCAGGGGCCGCAATAGGTGAGGTCCCAGGAGTCGCAGCAGCAGCAGGGAGAGGGGAGCAGGGAGGCTGAGCAGCAGGACTGCCAGGGCACTGTGCACCAGGGCTGTGGAGAATCATGCTGACGTTAGGTCAGGGGTGGTGGAGGGAGCAGAGCAACCCGCAAGGAGAGGCAAGACCCCAAAGAAACCCCTTCCTTGGCTTGGGACCCACTCCCTACCAGAATTCAGGGTGCCCTGGCATCCACTCTCACCCACTGACCAGACAGTAGATCCCCGGGGGGACTTGGGGCCGGGGCCTGGATGCAGACTCGGCTATCGATCTGATATAGCAGGGCTGGGCACAGCAGGGCAAACTGATGAGGAGTCAGAGGAGCAGCGGGACTCAGGCCGAAGTTGACCAGCAGCTGGGAGCCATTCAGACACTGGAGGAGTTGAACTGGGCGTCATGCGTTGGGGAATCACCGAGAACTCTGACTCAGATCTTTACTGTCTGCCCTTCGGTTGCATGGATTTCTGGGTGGCCCCCAGGGTCTCCCCCAGATCCCGGTTGCTCACACTGACAGGTGCATCAGGGACTGAGAACAGGTATGTATGACGAGTGCATGTTAACTATCGGCGAATATTCACTCCGATGCCAACTGGGTGCGAGTAAACTTGGCCACTCCCTCCCCGCCATAATGATTTCATTAATTTGGTGACGGAGTGGGTTGGACCAATAGAACCCTCCATTCCAGAATCTCACACAGGGAAAGAACCTGAAATACCATCCTTTTAACAGCCTGTCACATGATCTTCCAGCCTCGGCTTGCGAGCTTCCCACAGTGGGGCGCTCCCCCTCACGGGGCCTCCCTCCTGTGCACGGAATAATCTCACTGTCTTTCTAGATGAAGACACCCACCCCCTCCTGCAGGTCTCCTCTGCAGGTAGCCGGCCCCAGATCCTACCCCAGGCTGCCGCTTTGGGCTTCTTGCTCCGCAGGGTCTGGCCCCTAAGCTGGGTCTCACGAGCCCTGGGCGCGGTTACCTGCCGCGAGCCGGAAGGAACATATCCCGCTGAAATAACATGCTCCGAGAGCACAGCTGGGTGTTTTCCTTTTTGCACCTAAGCTCATCACTGACTAAACATTTTTGGTGATCGAAATTCCATGGTTTCCTCCCCCTCTCTAAGATCATCGGACTCACATCCTCATTCAGATGATCCGCCAGCGAGTGGTCCAGCAGCAGGAGCCTGTGGAGCAGGCCGAGGCCCGAGGGGCCGGGCCCCCGCGGTGGGAGTGGGACCTTCTGCTCCGTCAGGTCACTCCACCCCGAGGGACCCACAGGCAGCCCAGCCCAGACATCCACGTCCAGCTGGGGGTCCTGCGGTCTGGAACGGATGTGACAGCAAGTCAGGCTTGCGTAGAAGCCCCCCCTGAGAGGGTACCAGGCTGCTCGGGGGAAAAGGGGGTTCAGCTACTTGCTGAAGCTCCTGGACCTGGAAGCCATGGAATGTCAGCCCTGGCAGGGTGTAAGGATTGTTACTTTATAGGAGGGCCTAGGAATGGGGGTCTAGGCTTGGAGGTGAGAGAAAATGGGGAGAACAGCCCAAAATGCTATAAATTGGGAGCCAAGTCACCCTGGAGGCTTTGAGTGTTGGGACTAAGAGGAATTGAAGGAGCCAGGGGTTTGGAGGAAAATTAGAAAGCAAAAGGGGGCTTGAGTGGACACAGGGGTCAGGTTCTGGAAAATCTGTAATTCTAGAAATCTTATTGTAGGACGTCGGAGCTGAACCAGAAACGCATCTAAACATTGAGAAGAGCTGGGCATGTGGCATTTTGGGATGGAGGCAGAGAGGCTTTAGTACCTGTGTGTGGAATTGTCTCCAACTGGAGGTGTGACCCGACCAGGTGGAGGTCCAGGGTGTTCCAGGCGAAGCCCCTGAACTCTGCCTAGCCCCAGGCTGTGGAGAAGCCGCGCCAGGCCCGCTGCTGTCAGCGTGCCATTCTCCCCGTACAAGCCGAACAGCTGGGCCAGGTAATGATTCTGCTCCTGCTCTGCAGGGCCCAGGTCGGGGGCTGAGCCCCCCACCCAGCCCAAAGCCACCCAGACACACAGGCCAGCCAGCAGATGACTCATTGGGGGCCCCATTATTGGGGGAACCGGTTAGAGGTCCAGGTTCTGGCTTCTATTTCCCCTGGAACATCCTGAGGACTGTGGCCTGCAAGAAAAGGAGGAATGTGGGGGCTCCTGCTCTGCTATCTAGCTCAGGCCTAAGGGCCCCCTCACTTCTTGTATGACCCCCCTCTAGCCTCCTGGAGCAACCTCATTTGCTGGTTCCTGGCATGAGCATGTGCCTCACCTGATCCAGAGCTGACCTTCCATCTCATCCCCCAAACCGCACCTCTAGACCTTGCTCTGCCTGGCGATACACCCTCATCCCCAGGGCCTCACCCCCACTGGCAGCATGAGTCTTCACCTCTGGTCCCGGCAGGCCTTGCTGTGGACGCTAAGAGGTTCCAGAGTCAGGGAGGGGAGCCTGGGTTCAGGATCCTGGTGTCCAGGTGGAAAGGAGGCCACGTCAGATAGAAGGCTAGTGGACAAGCCCCCCCCCAGCCCACCTGCCTTGGGGCGGGGCCAGGGGCGGAGCCAGTGTGGGAAGGCGCACATGAGAGAGGAGTTAATGGTTCACTGGTCTCTGGGGTGGGGGTCAAAGGTCAGTCTCAGCTGGGCCCCTGAACAGGGAGGGGCCACCCTCTGCCTGTGGAAAAGCCACATGGCATGGAGCACCGACCCGGCCTTTCCTCTAGAACTCACTTCCCCACCAAACCCAGGAGACACCATTTTAGCTTCCCCTGCATACACGCCCGCCCACCTCGCCTCTGGCACTGGGCTTCATTCATCTCCACCCGCACCCCCACATATCCCTGAGGGCCCAGTGTTCTCCAGCTGCAGAGTAGGTTCAGGCAAGTAAATGGCAACCTCAGAGGCATGGGAGGGAGATTGTTTTTAGCAATTCCTTATCCCAGAAGGCCAGAGTCGGAGTTCTGGGAACTGATGAGCAAGAAAGGGGACCCTGGTGGGAGAGGAAAGAGGTTTCCGAGATCCCCTCGGGAGGCCTGTTCAGAAAAGCAGGAGAGCGAAGTCGGCCTGGGGCGATTGGTCTGGGGGAAGAGGCTGGCATTACCTGACAGCAGGAGACAGGCACACACCCAGAAGAAGGGGGAAAGTCTTCTGGGTTCCAGTTGTGGAGGGGGGCAGGCAGGCAGGCGGGCAAGGGTCACCTGGAGGGAGGGGTGGGGGAGGGACACTACCTTAAAGGGGCAGACCTGCTTTGCCTCGGCCTCCTTCCCTGTGACTTAGCTCCCTTCAACTTCCTAGGGACCCCGACCTTTCCAAACGCCCAGTTGCTAACTTCATTTTCACAGGAAGAGCAAAGGAGCGATGGGGGTGGTAAAAAAGCAGACTGAGTCCAGAGTGGTAACATTTATTAAGAAGGAGGGAGTCCACTAGGTCTCCACATCACACCCAAGCAACACGGCAACTGTGGTTTCTAAAGAGAAAGGCGGGCAGGCAGAGGGCCCTGAACCCCAGGGGACAGGTAACTTCCATTGGATGAGGGGGAGTGTGGGCTTAGGGTGGAAAAGACCAAGCTCCCCCCCCAACTCCTCCAGTGCAGTTTAGGAACTAAAACACTGCTGCCCTCCCTGCCGCCAACACCAGCAAGCCGGCAGAAGTCTGTCTTGTCTTCCAGCAGCCCCGTGGGTAATGGGCGCGGCAGGCAGGGAGAAGAACGTGTTGCTATCTCTTACTGCTCCTCCGGGTCTCTTTGCCGTTACTGACAGGGTTGCTGGAGGGGCCGGGAGAACCAGCAGGTGTGTGGTTGGGCTGGCTTCGGGTAATTCGGGTGCTGGGGGGGTGGGAAGGAGTGTGAGGGGGGTGTGGGCCGCCACCAGGACCTGGAGGGGCACTCAGTCCGTTCCCGTTTTGGCTTTCAGCGGCTAGTAGGAAAAGGAGAAGCACAGGAATCAGAGATTTAAGGCAGGAGGAGGTCCACGCCCAAAGCCTCCCTCTGCTCTAGTGAGGAGCACAATCTTGTGAAGCACATTAATGCCAAGTCGACGAAGCGCAAAGGATGTGTGGGTTATATGAATGGTGCCCCAGACAGGACTTGGTCATTTTGGAAGTTGGTGCATGAGTCCTACTATGTTTTTTTTTTTTTTTTTTAATAGAGGCATGTTTTATTTATTTATTTGTTTGTTTATACATGCACTGGGTACAGTCAGAAGTGCAGGAGGGTGAGAGAATTCACCAGAGCCAGAGCGGGGAGCAGAGCAGGCAGAAGGACCGAAGTACACTGCTGAGGGGAGCAGCGGGCGGCAGGAGAGGTCTGCGCGCCATGTGGGACCCTCCTCTGGTGGCCGGGGAGCAGCCGGGGATCGAACCGGCGCAACCCAGCGCTCAACTGCTGCGCCACCGGGGAGGCCCGAGTCCTACTATGTTTTGCCTTTTATTTTGTTAATTTATTTTTAAAGATTTATTTTATTTATTTATACAAAAACCAGGATACAGGCCAGATGCGCGAGAGGGTGAGAGGATTCACCAGAGACAGAGCAGGGAACAGAACAGGCAGACTGATAAAATACACTGCTGAGGGGAGCAGCGGGCGAGACAGGAGAGGTCTGCCACGCCATGTGGGACCCTCATTGGCCGGCCGGAATCGAACCAGCGCTATAGAGGCTGTGGGCAGCTTCAGAGTGCTGCCCTCAACCGCCTGCACCACCAGGGGAGGCCCCTTTTATTTTTTTTAAAGATTTATTTATTTATGCATACAAGAACTGGGGCTCAGGCCAGAGGTGCAGGGGGTGAGAGGATCCACCAGAGACAGAGTGGGGAACAGAAAAGGCAGATTGACTGAAATCCACTGCTGAGGGGGGCAGCGGGGAGACAGGAGAGGTCTGCTGCGCCCTGTGGGTCAGCTCCCCGGCCAGCCAGGGAATCGAACTTGTGTTGCAGTGGCTGTGGGTAGCTTCATAGTGCTGCGTCTTAACCACTTGCGCCACCCGGGAGGCCGTTTTTCCTCTTTTATTCACCTCTTACACTGTCAGGAACTAGACTTAGAAGTCACTGTTTAGCTCTAAGCTCAAGAATCGCTGACAAAACACCCCTTGAGCAAAAGTGACTATGAAACTGGAGACGCATGGGAAGGGGGAGGACCTGAAGTGTCTGTAACATGTTCAGTTTGGAAAAATATTATAGACAAGAACAAGCAAAAATTTTACAAGTGTTCTCACACCCCCCTCAAATAATAAGTGACATTTTGGTATCTATTTTAAATGTTTGATTGGAGCCAGGTGTATGATGACATCCTTGGGTTCCATAACTACATATCACTATCACTGCACTGTCTCCTTCAAAGACTACAACTCCTCAAGGCAGGTGTTGGCACAAAATAGGTGTTCTGTAAATGTTAGACAAAGGCAGAGGTCTGCCTTTCACATATGCAGGGTACTACTAGCCCTACATGAGGTAGAAGTCATTAGTTAGTGGTTCTCAAACCATATCCCTACCAAATTCTGCTGGCCTACCAGACTAAGATATCGGCAGCAAAAACTAATGTCCTCTCCTCAATTCACAGAAAAAGTCAGGTGAGGGCATAGAACATGAATGTTAAGTTTTTATGACATACATTTTTTTTTAAACCTATTAAAACTTGGGCCTCCCCGGTGGCGCAGCGGTTGAGCGCTGGGCTGCAAAGCTGCCCGCAGCCTCTGCAGCTCCGGTTCGATCCCCGGCCACTGGCGAGGGTCCCGCATGGCGCGCAGACCTCTCCTGCCACCCGCTGCTCCCCTCAGCAGTGTACTTAGATGCTCTGCCTGTTCTCTTCTCCACTCTGGCTCTGGTGAATTCTCTCACCCTCCCGCGCTTCTGACAGTACCCAGTGCTTGTATAAATAAATAAATAAATAAGCAAAAAAAAAAAAAAAAAAACCTATTAAAACTTTTTGTACCTGTTAGCAGATGACAAAGTAAATAAATGCGGCAAGTGAATATAGGACAAATAGGCTTAAATATGCCATACTTCAAATATTTTTTGCAAATTATGGCATCTTAGAGCTGAAAATAGATAATAGTCATGTTATTATATAGTCATATTACAGGCAGGGAATTGAACCACACGGCACAGCAGACCTCTCCTATCTCGCCCGCTGCTCCCCTCAGCAGTGTATTTCAGTCAGTCTGCCTGTTCTGTTCCCCACTCTGTCTCTGGTGAATCCTCTTACCCCCTGCACCTCTGGCCTGTATCCCAGTTCTTCTATGCAGACATAAGTAAAATAAAAATCTTAAAATACAGGAATAATTCTTAAAAAAAAAAAAAAAAGCTGATGATTTACATTAAGGTCAATTTCTCAAGAGCTCAGGAAACAGGGAGTTAAAGTTCATAGAGTAGAAGAATCGTAATCCCAAGGGCCAGGCCTAGAAGTGTGGTGACCCCAAAAGGGAATTATTTGGTGCACTATAGCTGTGCAGCGGTGCACTCCCTGATGAGTCTCATAAACAGCAAGGTGCACTGCAACTGTGTAACAAACTGAAATGGGCAAGGGGAAGGGGACTTTCTGGCAGAGACACAGCGAGAGTGAAGGAATGCAATCTTTGCGGAGAAACAGTTCTCATTCTTGCCTTTGAGGTGTAGTGCCAAAAGCTCATCAGGGCTCTATCAGTGATGGAAACATGTTGCCCCCAAATCTTTTCACTATGGGGACTAGTGAAAGAACTGGGGAAAAAACTGGGTAGAAGGAGATATACTGAAAGTAGAGAGATTTGACCGATGGTCTCACTCATAGCAGGAATTTAGAAAACCTAAATAAGCGACCAGGAAAAAGACTAATTATAATAAAGTAAAAATCAAAATCAACAAGCAACTATAAACCAGAGACATGCTACGGCGGAGCGGGTGAAGGGGGAGGAGGGATTACAGTCAAAATAAGGGGGTGGGAATTGTAGGGGGACTATAACCAAGATGAAAATGCACACATTGCGCAAAAATGAAAAATGATGTAAAAAATATAGAAAATTAAAAAGAAAAAAAAGAAAGATTTCGAAAAGGGATGGGAATGGAGGAAAAGCACCTTTCCAGGCTGGCAAGGGTGAGAGAGCCAGGACTAGCGGACAGAAGGGGGCATGTTACCTGGAGAAGCAGAAGGGGGCCCAGTGGCAGGCTGAGGCGCTGCAGGGCTGCTGTCGTTCTGCACCTGAAGGCACAAGTTACACATTCAGACCTGGCTCGCTCCCCTGCTTCTTGGCCTCACCTGCTCGCTGTCCCCACACCATGGCCATGGGACTCACCATCTTGCTGGGTGCTTGCTGGGTGCTGTACTCTGGGTTGGGCTCACTGAAGTTAGGTACCTCAGAATAAACCATGCAGAATCTGCAAGGGAATAAAGTGGCCAATCTCTCAGAAAGGTCCAGATACTGACGTGGACTGCATACCCTTGTGCTGCCCCCTTGCACGCCTCACACTGCCCCTTGTATGGAGCATCTGCATGCCAATCCCCTTACTTACTCTCCAATCTTCTGAAGATCACCCCCGCGGCCAGTGTACAGTGTCAGACAACCTTTGAACACTGAAGCGTACCTGTGCGGGCACAGAAAGCTGGATTCAGAGCAATCGGATCCACTATGGGCACAGTCACCCGTCCTGCCCTTGACCGTTCCTGCCCTTGGATAACCAGGAGCGACCTGGCGACTTACCCTTTGGTGAGCCGGATAATGTCCCCAGGCTGGATGAGGTTGCCCACATCATCCCACACGGAGATGTTGATGCTGCCTGTTTTGTCCGCCACTTTGCAAGTGCGAACCTCGTGCCCGTCCTTTGTCTTGGTCACTCGGCCTGGAGGGAACAGATAAATTGGGGGTGGAGGGTGGTCAAGGAAATGGGAATGGTGGCGGTCAGAGGAATGAGACCTAGATATTGGTGGGGTGAAGGAAAAAGCATACAAACAGGACAAAGCTAAGTCCTGGGGATAGGACGGTGACCGGGGCAGGGAGGATGGTAGCACCATGGAGAGGGTCCTGAGTGGATGAGGCTTATGAGGCTTATTAGGCAAGAATTCAATCTATTCTAAACTTGACTGCAATTCTCTAGGCAAAGGTCTAAGAGAGACTGGGCATGCATATGTGGTGTCTTGGGGTGCATCCTGCCATTCTGGAAGCAAGTTAAGAAGGGGGCTGGTGTTCTCTCCCTTTACCCCAACCCTAAGAAGCCATGCAGGGAGGGGGATGGGCAGGCTGGGAGGGGGCCCACCACCCCAGCAGAGCCACCTGTCTCCAGCACAATGAAGATGAGGTTCAGATTTTTGAGCCCGGGCTTGATATCCTTCACGAAGGTCTCCGTCGTCATGCTGGCCCGGCCTCTGCACTCCACTGGAAGGGAAAAAAGGGGGGTGAAGGCTCAACCTTGGAATCTTAGCCCTCATGCTCCACTTCCCAAGGCCTACCTACCGCGCTAGGCTGGAATCAGGGAGTCGCGAACCCCCTAACTCGTCTCAGAGGTTAGGGACGAACATCCCCGAGGGCCTCCAGCTTCCAGATCAGAATTAGGGCGGGTCTCCAGCAGGCTTCTTCGAGGCCGAAAGGCCCGGTCCCGGGATGCTCTGTTAGCCTCAAGCCCCGATGGGGACGGGAGTCGGGCGCCTGGTGCGGCCAGAGAACGGGCTCTCACTCTCCAAGCCTTCCCGAGCCCTCGTCCGGCCCCCCCGGGACTCGGCGCATCCCCAGTCCCCCGCAGCCCACCACCCACCCGCCGGCCGCCGGCCCGTGCACGCCGCGGAGCCGCCCGCAGGGGGAGCCACGGGCCCCGCCGCCCCCGGATGCCGCGGGCGGAACGCGGGAGGGCGGCCATTCCCGGAAGTTTCCCCGCGGCCTCCCCGGCCAATCAGCGCGGCCCCGGCGCGGCCCCGCCCCCGCCGGCCCCGCCGAGCCAATGGCGAGCGGGGGGGTCGCGCGCCGAGGGGGCGGGGCGGCGGGGGCCCGGCCGCCAGGGGGCCCGCGCGCCCCGACTTCCCTCGCTCGCCCGGAGTGCGTGGCTCTCGGATTCTGCTTCTCCCCGAGACGCTGACACGGGGAAGAGAAGTGCCAGGGCTCGGGGCCCGGCGGACGAGAGCCTGAGCCCGGCCAGCGCTTTCCTGCGCGTCCCCTCGCCGCGGCGGGACGCCCACCCGCCCGCCCCGGCCGCTGGCGGCCTCGCCCTCGGCTCCGCTCCGGCGGGACGAGGCCGGCGGCTCCGCAGCGTGGCCTGGCCCCTGGGCAGACGGCGGGCGGCTCTCTCCGGAGGCAGAGCACCCGGAGGACAAAGAGCGCGGCTGCCAGAGCTCCTGCTGCAGAGCCAGTGCGCTTCTCGCCCAGGTCTGGGTCCCTCGCAGAGAAACGAAGTTGTTGCAGAAATAAATTCTAGCCTTTACCCAGGCAGGGGAAGAACAAGCGGTACTTCAGGAAAGGTGAGGTCAGGAGAAGCTTTATTACTCATGCATGAGCTCCCAGGCCTGGGTAGCCATAAGGTCTGAGCACCTGTCTAGGGACAAAGGTTTCTTTTATACACAACCCTCTTGCATTGATAACATCGGTCAGTAAGCGCAAAAGGGTGACAGCAGACAGGTATTGAAGGATGCCCTGGGAGATCAATCAGCCTGGCGGCTGCCTGGCCTTGTTAAAATGTAACCTCTTTTAGGTAATCTCATCTAGCTAGGCTTTAGAGAAGCAAAACTTGTTTACTTTTCATTATTTTTTTTTTTTAAGATGTATTTATTTTTTATTTATACAAGCACTGGGTACTGTCAGAAGCGTGGGAGGGTGAGAGAATTCACCAGAGCCAGAGCGGGGAGCAGAGCAGGCAGAAGGACCGAAGTACACTGCTGAGGGGAGCAGCGGGCGGCAGGAGAGGTCTGCGCGCCATGTGGGACCCTCTCCCGGTGGCCGGGGAGCAGCCGGGGATCGAACCGGTGTTGCAGAGGCCGCGGGCAGCTTCACAACCCAGCGCTCAACCGCTGCGCCAGGGGGAGGCCCCTACTTTTCATTATTTCCTGCACCAGACCTATGACTCTTTTAGCAGGAAACAGGAAAAGACTTCATTTGATTAGCGGTTCCCTTTCAAAATGAGGCCCAAGCTTTAGTTCCCTTCGGTCCTTGCTAGCTTTGTAATGCTGTGTAGCGGCCCATTACACGGAGACAGACGACAGTGCATCGCCACTGCTTAGAGAACAGCCACAGCAAATGCTGTTTTCCTAGCAGCTTAGCCTGAGCGGTGCCGGGGCTGTACTGCCCTGGTTAATGAATTCCTTACCTTCTCCTAGAGTGCTCTAGACTCCACCTCGACTTTCCTCGCAGCCCGGGTTCTCTCCCGCCCACACCCTCAACCACGGTGTTGCCTCCTAAGGAAATCAAAGCGCAACCCCGGGAGGACATTGCGTGTCCCTCCTCTCCCCTCAGGTGCTTCAGGGAACCCTCGGAGTGTCCGGAGCGCCCACGTGGATGCGGCAGCGCGGCGGCCGGGAGAGGCGGGACCCTCTGGGCACCCTAGATCAAAGCGCCGCGGCCAGACGCGCTCCCGCTCCCCGCCCCGCGGTCGCCCTGTTGACTGCCGCGTCCACTCCCATGACTCTGAGTCACAGGGCCGGGAGGCTCCAGGATGCTAACCGCGGTCGGGAGGCGGGAGCGGCGCTGGGAGGTCACACGGCGGGCGGCCTCCTAGCGACGACCTCGCCCCGCGTCGCGAGTCTCGGGCGGGACACGTGCGCCCGCCCTGGCGGGGGCCTGGGGGCGCGGCCCTGACGCACGCGGGGAGCGCGCCGCGCTGTCCCTCCCGAAAGGTCCGCCCTGGCCTCCCCGGGACCATAGAGACTTCCGGCCCCCAGCGGAGGCCTGGCTAGCCTTCCCCACCTCGTTGACCACTCGCGGCGCCTCGGCTCGGGCTGAGGGCAACAAAGAGGCGGGGCTTGGTGACGCGCTTCCGCCGGGTTGCGCAGCAGCGGTGGGCGGGGCGAGGGGCCGTCTCAGACCGAGGCGAGTGGTCGGAACGTGCTTCCTTGTCTTCCCCCCGCCGCTTCCCTTCCCAGAAGGGCCGGACTCGGCGCCGGGGCTGTCTCGTGGACGCCGCGGCCCCAGCTCCAGCCGGGCCGGGGCACGGAGGGTCCAGACCGCTTCCAGGCGGTGCGTACTGCGCCTGCGCGGGCTCCCACCCGCGCGAGGGTACGGGGGGGCGGGGGCGCTGTCCCGGAGCTTGGGGCGGGGGTTCCGTGCTGGAGGTCAGGGGAGGGGATGGGTGGGAAGATGAAAGATGGAGGAAGGGAGCAGCAGTAGGGAGGAGTCGGGAGGTGAGAAAGGGGCGCTGGAGGCTGGGTTTGGGGGCGGCCCATGGGTAGGGGCGCTTTGAAGAAGTGCGGGAGGGACCGGGACGTGCTGGCGGGGAGGGGGACCCGGGCACCCCGAGGTGTTTAAATGGACAATGACTGACGGGCTGCGGAGGGAGGAGGAGACATCCTGGGGGCCAGCCCGGACTGGGGTGGCGGAACCTGAGCCCCCGCCCTCGAAGCGCCATTGCTTGGCTCCCCTCCCGTGCCTTGTCTGTGGCAGCCTTGTCTTCCTCCTCCACCCCGTCCCCGCTCCCCCACCCCTTCGTGAAGGAATCTCACATTCCTTGCATCCCTTCCCGGCCTTTGCAGCCAGCTCGTCTGTGCAGGCTTCACGCACCGGAAAGCCTTCCCCGAGCCTGGACGAGGGGAAATTGGGGCGGTGGGGAGGAGGGGCCGCAGGGGAGCGGAAAGCAACCGGGGTGAGGGTATTTTGCCTGAGGGACGTTTTCCCGGTCAGAGGCTGACTTCATTTCACCTCATAAATGTGGCCATTAATGAGACCACTGAGCCACTGTTCTTGGGAATCGTGCTATGATAGTGACACCCTAACCCCTTCCTATACCGGTGATTTTGGAGTCTGCCAACTGGGCAAGAACCGAATGGGTGTTGCTGGCTGATCGTTTTCCCCCAAATAGGAATGGGGTGGATTAGTGGTAGGGAATCTGAGTGATGCAATAAGGTTACTGCCCCGTGTCCAGCCAACCTTGTGGCTGGGCCTGGTTCCCAGTAATTGAAAAAAAGGAACAAGCTTCTTATAAGTATTTCCTTTCCTGCCCTCAGTACTCTTTTTTTTTTTTTTTTTTTTTTGGTATTCTGTTACTACAAATAATTTCTTACCTGAGGATAGCAGTGTTCAGTATGCATTCACATTTATTATCATTTGATCTTCAGGACAACATATAAAGGATATAAAGCGTTTTCCTTGCTTGACAGGTGAAGAACCTGAACTACAGAAGGGTTAGATGACTTGTTTAAAGTCATACAGTTCAAAGATTCCAAGTGTTTGATTCCTGGTCTTCTCAGTTGAAAAATTCTGTTTTGTTCTGGCCAAGGGATCACTGAAGTAGGATTTACCTTTCCAACATAGGCAAGTACTTGCTTTCTGAGTCACTGGAAATATTTCTTGAGGTGTAGGTGCAAATGCCAGGGTGGGGAGTTAGTAGTTGTCCGCATGGAAGAAACATTGTACCCTCCTCTGTATTATGAATGGAAATACATCAAAATACATCAAATCTGCCTCCCCCTATGTCCTGGCAATCATAGGGAAGAGAAAATGGCATTGTATCTTTATATTTTTAAAATATCACACTGTGTTGTAACTAATGCACATAGTAAGCTGAGTATATGTCCTCCACTCAACAATGAAATGGTCTCTGTTTTATGGGTAAAAGTCATCATCTTACTCCTTCCTAATAGCCCCTGGGTTACTGATTTGTAATGTTGAGGAAAGGAGTTTGAACAGTGGCTGTTCTGTGTAGTGTTGAACAGTCCTCTCAGCACTCATCTGAATGACGCCCATGGCCCTCTGCTGGGTTCCTTCCTTTTAGTGATGAGATTCTGGTTAGCCTGATCACACCAATTCTAGTCTTCCCAGTTGTCCACTCACTCCACAATCATTTCCTGATTGACTGTCTCTTAATTTTTTTTTTTAAACTGCTCCCCTCAGGAATGTATTTTGGGCTGGGAAGTAGAATTGCACTTCTACCTACCTTCTTGAGGAGCTTCTCCTTTTGAAGTAGTATTTTCCAGTTGGAGGGTAGGCCCAGAATTCTTTCTACGTGAAATAATTTATTCAAAAGCAGTTTGGGAAACAGCAAATGCTAAATTCTGTGCATTATAGGAGTTCTAGCATTGTAGAGCCACAGAACATCACCTATTTGTACATTATGCACTAAATAAAAGAGCCTTTCTTCACCTCAAATTCTTGCTTCTTTCTCTTACCCTCCCTGCTATGTTTGAATTTCCTGGACCACAGGTTTGATTCCTTAACCAGTTACCTCACTCCTTCGAGGCTAGCCGTATGCCCAGTGCTGAAATCTGTAGTCTTAATGGAGATGTGTCATTCTCCCCAACCACCCACCAGATCCAAGTGTCAGTCTCGCTGCCAAGTGGAGGTGGTTCCCCTGACTCACCTTTTTCTTCCTTGTTCTATTAATAGAGTGCCCCTGATTGTGACATCACCTCCATCCACTTGGCGATGGAGCTTGTCACTAGGAAGGAAGACTCCGTCGGAGAATAGACAACAAGATGGGTTACTGGGAGCATCTCCTGAGTGGCACTGAGTGGAGGCACCAGGGGATTGGAGCCTCGTGAGCAGGGAACCTGCCCCCCAACACTTGGAAGGTAAAGAACCTTAATTCAGAATTCCATTGGAGGCTTCAGCTGTCTTCTGTGCTAATTTGGGTTCTTTTTGCTCCTGAACACCTGATTCTTAAAAACTTCTTTCTGCAAAAAAACTTCTTTTTCCACAATTAACCCATCTTTGCATATTTGTATCTTCTATAAACTGTTAGCTTTGGCAGTTCGGTAAATTGCTTAGTAAATTTTGTTTTATGTATTTTATATCCTATATACACATTCATTGGACACAAGCCTACACCTTAGTTTGAGCACAAGGATTGTGTTTCTGTTTTTTCACATGTTTCCTCTGGAAGAGGGCCTTGTATAGAGGATGACAGTGAGGGTTGGGGTAACTCCACGAATAACACACGATACTGGTACTGGTGACTTAGTGGGAGGTCCTTACTGACTTTTGAAGGCTGGTAGGTCTTACTTTAGATGAGTTCTTGAAGAATTGTGTGCCCTCTGGATTCTTTTGTAAATTGAATCAATGAAGATGTACTATAGGAAGAAAGGGGGGAGAATGTGTGTGCTTAAAAATTCCCTTTAGAAAATCCAGCATGAATTACAGCATTCTGTGGCCCCTCTTTTCACCTCGCAAGTGAAGAAGCTGAGTTCATAACTCAGTTCCCTAAGAGGGGAAATGACATCAATCTAAGGGAACACTGGTTAAATAAAAGAGGTCATTTCCTTTCACTTAAAAAGTCAAGAGAATTGGGCCTCCCTGGTGGCACAAGGGGTTAAGCACCGCACTATGAAGCAATCCACAGCCTCTACAGCACAGCACGAGTTTGATCCCCGGCCGGCCAGAGAGAAACCCACATGGCACAGCAGACTTCTCCTGTCTTGTCCGCTGCTCCCCTTAGTAGTGTATTTCAGTCAGTCTGCCTGTTCTGTTCTCCGCTTTATCTCTGGTGAGTCCTCTCACCCCTCTGCATCTCTGGCCTGTATCCCAGCTCTTGTATGCATAAATAAATAAATCTTAAAAAAAAAAAAAAGTCAAAAGAATTGTCTAAAGAGAGCCAGGTTAGTTAGTGGTAAAGTTAGGGCACCTTTTAGAATGTAATTATCCCCCCTTTTACTTGTTTTTTAGGTGCTGAGTCTTAGAACCATGGAAGGTTTAGAATACCTAGCGAATAGAGCTTCACTTCATGTTGGGTCAGGGAGTAGACGCCCAGATGGGTTAAGTAATTTGCTCAAAGTACTTAATGGTTACACATTTCATCAGTGATAGAGCTACTACTAGAACTCAGGTTTCTAGATTGTTGACTCCACCCCAGATCCACTCTTCACTGGGAGACAGGGAGATATGATGAACTGTTTTAGGGACACCTGTGTGACCCTTCAACAGCTAATTTCATCACTAGCTTGGAATTCATAGAAGTCACCTGTTTCCTTACACTGTTCGGTTAGGAGACTCTTTCCCCGTTTGTCTGGGGGTCTGTAGTGATTCGAGCCCCTCAGCTCTCGGCATCTGTTAAATTCAGGGTCTAGAATGAGCAAATTGGTACAAGGCAAACGATGGCACCTTTGCCTGACTTTTACTCTTATGTTTTCGTCAAGAATTGGCGGTGGTGTATCCGCTTATCCTAAAATAGAAAGTCTTGCTTGGAGTGGCTCCTCTGATGTCTCTTGGAGAGAGAATGAAAATGTGTGTGTGAATGGATGTGGTTTGCACACCTGTACTTGGGTTCATGAAACCCTGAATAAGGGCCTCCCCCGTGGCAGTGGGGCAGCGGGTTGAGCGCAGCGCTGTGAAGCTGTCTGCAGCCTCTGCAGTGCAGGTTCGAGTCCGGCCGGCTGGCTGGCGAGAATCTCACATGGTGCAGCAGGCCTCTCCTGTCTCGCCCGCTGCTCCCCTCAGCAGTGTATTTCAGTCCTTCTGCCTGTTCTGCTCCCTGCTCTGTCTCTGGTGAATCCTCTCCCTCCTGCATCTCTGGCCTTTACCCCAGCTCTTGTATAAAAATAAATAAATGTTTAAAAAAAAAAACAACAAACCCTGAATAAGAGAGATTGAATGTTCAGGTTTCTTTAGGAATAATCTGCAGTTTTGTAAAACCTAGCTCTCCCTAGGGACAGACCAGAGAAGACAGCTACACTGGGAAGTTAAAAGGACATGAGAAAGGGGTCTGATAATGTTTGCGTTTTTCTAATAATGCTGACCAGTAATATAACGATATCTCAGTGTAACTGTGAGGAAATGAAGTGACGTAATTACCCGCAGAATAGAAGGCTGGGAGTGCAGCTTACAGTAGGGGTTCAGGATGCTCACATCAGGGAGGCTGGCAGAACTCCTCAGCTACTTCAGTTCTGTCCCTCAATTTGAGTGAAACTGTCCAAGGCCTTTTCCTGTTCCACAACTCAAGGAGACTCTCCAGGAAACTGCTTCAGTGGCTGTGGGCACTGAGGTCCTGTGGTTTCAGTTCATTAAGGCTCCTGCCCTTGAGGCATTCGCTGGGGGGGTCCTTGAGGCAACCCATAGGAACCCTGAACTGCCCCTGTGACAGCCCCACTGCAGTGCTGAGTGAGCCAGGGAATAGACTAGTCAAGGGGCCTAGGCCTTCGGTTTGACTGTCTGTCCAGAGGCAGGACGAGGCAGGGCGAGAGCTGGCTTCTGGATCATATATAACCGCTACTTATCTCCTGTAGATGACAGGAAAGAATACCCTAGTCAGATTCAAAATCTAAATTTTCCCTTAATTCTTTTTTTTTTTTTAAAGATTTATTTATTTATGCAGAGATGCGGGGGCGAGAGAATTCACCGGAGACAGAGTGGGTAACAGAACAGGCAGACTGACTAGGTTGCTCCCTGACTGGCCGGGGATCAAATTCATGCTGCAGAGGCCTATGCTTCTTAGGCCAGTCCGTGGCCACTGCAGCACGAGTTCGATCCCCGGCCAGGGAGGAGACCCACATGGCGCAGCAGACCTCTCCTGTCTCACCGCTACTCCTCTCAGCAGTGTATTTCAGTCAATCCTCCTGTTCTGTTCCCCACTCTGTCTCTGAATCCTCTCACGCACCCCCACCCCCACACTTCTGGCCTGTACCCCAGCTCTTGTATGTATAAATGATTTTTTTAAAAAGTAGGAAAACTAATGAAGCAAAAATATAACTGAAATTAAAATTACTGCACCTGTACTTGTGATAGCTTCTCTAAGCTGTATGTTCTCTATATATCCTTCTAGATGTTTTTCAGTATAAATGTGTACACATAAATGGGGGTGATTTTTATTATGTAAATATATTTAAAGAAGTAATTTAAATAAAGTATTACTAGCAAGAAACAAATCTAAGTCATATTGATGCTGTATGGTATTCTATCTTATGGACGTAAGGAATTCTGGGTATTCTGGGGTTTTTTGTTTTGTTTTTGCTATTATAAACAATGCTTAGGTAGACAACCTAGTGTATTGTTTTCACACTCCCTTTGAAATTGTTTCCTTATACCAAATTCCTGGAAGTATGGTTACTAGGTAAAAGGGTACATACCCCTTTTTTTTTTTTTTAAGATTTAATTATTATTTTTTTTTTTTATAGAGGCATGTTTTATTTATTTATTTGTTTGTTTGTTTGTTTATACAAGCACTGGGTACAGTCAGAAGCTTGGGAGGGTGAGAGAATTCACCAGAGCCAGAGCGGGGGGAGCAGAGCAGGCAGAAGGACCGAAGTACACTGCTGAGGGGAGCAGCGGGCGGCAGGAGAGGTCTGCGCGCCATGTGGGACCCTCCTCCGGTGGCCGGGGAGCAGCCAGGGATCGAACCGGTTCTGAAGAGGCCGCAGGCAGCTTTGCAACCCAGCGCTCAACCGCTGCGCCACCGGGGAGGCCCTAATTAATTATTTTTGTATACAAGAGCTGGGGTGTAGGCCAGAGGTGTGGGGGCGGTGGTGAGAGGATTCACCAGAGACAGAGCAAGGAGCAGAAAAGGTGGACTGACTGAAATAAACTGCTAAAGGGAGCAGCAGGCGAGACAGGAGAGCTCTGCTGTGCAGTTGGGTCACCTCCCTGGCTGGGGATCGAACTCGTGCTGCAGTGGCTAGTGATAGCATCATAGTGCAGAGATTTAACCCTTCCACCACCAGGAAGGCCCAGTTGTGATAGATATGTTATATATTATATATATATTACATATATATATTATATACATTATATATGTTAGATACACATATATTTTAAAGATTTGTGCATACAAGAGCTGGGGTCTAGGCCAGAGGTGCAAGTGTGTATGTGTGTGTGGGGGGGGAGGGATTCATAGTGACAGAGTGGGGAGCAGAACAGGTGGATCCACTGAAATACACTGCTGAGGGGAGCAGCAGGGTAACAGGAGAGGTGTCTGCACCATGTGGGTAGCTCCTTGGCTGGGGATCAAACTTGTGTTGCAGTGGCTGCCGAAAGCTTCATAGATTGTGTCTTACTTCCTTGCGCCACCAGGGAGGCCCCACTTCTAATCTTTTAAACCAGTGATCCTCAGCCAGGGGCTGTTTTGTCTCTCAGAAGGTATTTACCAGTGTCTGGAAGAATACTGGTGTCTAGTGGGTAAAGGAGGGGAAGCTGCCTAACATTCTGCAGTGCATAGGACAGCCCCCAGCAGCAAAGAACTCTCTAGTCCGAAGGAGTACAGTGCTGAGGTTGAAGTCCCTTGATGTAAACATGTTTTGAGAGCCATTTCTAGGAAGTCTTTGTAACCATCCCCAATATGATTTATTTTATTTTTAAAGATTTATTTATTTAATTATACAAGAGCTGGGGTGTAGGCCAGAGATGCGGAGGGTGAGCGGATTCAACAGACAGAGTGGGAAGCAGAACAGGCAGATGTACTGAAATACACTGCTGAGGGGAGCAGCGGGTGAGTCAGGAGAGGTCTGCTGTGTCATGTGGGTCACCTCCCTGGCCTGGGATTGAACTTGTGCTGTGGTGGCTGCGGATGGCTTCACAGTGCTGCGTCTCAACCCCTTGCGCAACCAGGGAGGCCCCCTCAATCTGATTTAGAACCCCTCCTTTGGTCTTCTAGTACCTGGTGCTTATCTAAACCCCATTATCTCTTAGGGACTAGGTTTTATTAGTTTGAATGATGTGTATAGATGGTTCTCAGTAAGTATTTATTATGTGAATAATAAAGATGTATCACAGTAAGGTTTTAAATACCAGGTTTTAGGGTTAAAGGGGAAAAGTACTTCTCTTACTTTACCATTCCCTGGCCTGATGGTAGTATGCTGTTTCTTTGCTATTGCATGAGTCAGGATTCTTTCAGTTGAAAGTGTAGAAACCCAATTCACAGCACCTTGAGCAAAAGAGGATATGAGTGTTTCTCACAGAAACCAGAGATAGGAAGGCAGTTGGGTCTTGCAAACAAAAGAGGCACTCAGAACTTCAGGACCCTTTCCAGCGCTCATCCAGGCCTTTCTGTTTCAATCTTTTCTTTTTCTCTGTAGGATCTGCCTGATTTCTGTGTTCCTCAGTTCACTTAACAGCTGGAGAAAGACCAACTCACCGTCACTGGTATCAAGCTCACCTCAGGTATGGGATCCATTGGTCCCGCTTGGATGGCATGCTCACCCTCGGCCCAGCTGTAGTCTGCGGAAGGTCTCACAGTCCTAGCAAGGCAAGTCCCATGGAACATTGTGGATAAGAGAGAAAGGGGTCTCCCCGGTAGCACAGCGGGTTGAGCGCAGCGCTATGAAGCTGTCTGCAGTCTCAGCAGCACGGGTTTGATTCCCAGCTGGCCAGGGAGATGCCCACATGGTGCGGCAGACCTCTCCTGTCTCGCCTGCTGCTCCCCTCAGCAGTGTTTTTGGTTATCTATCTGTTCTGCTCCCCGCTCTGTCTATGGTGAGTCCTCTCACCCTCCTGCGCCTCTGACCTGTATCCCAGCTCTTGTATAAATAAATAAATCTTAAAAAAAAAAAATTACGTTAAAAAAAAACAGAGAGAGGGAGCGTAACTCCTAGCACGTGGCTGCTGGGCGAGCACCAGGTGCTTCCATCATAGCACTTGGTAATTGAGCTACGTAGGAGGAAGACGTCGAGGGCTGCTCCTGCTCTCTTACCACTAGTCTCATTGTTCGGCTCAAGGAAAATCACAGGGAACTTTGTTCTGGGTTTTACATTTCACTTTATGATGTCGTTGATATTGTTCATGTGCCTACTACCTTCATACATCACTGTTTATAGATGATTCAAGAAAATTATATCCTTTGCTTCTATTTTTTCCTATTATGTCGGCCTAGAAACAGAAGGTCAAAGGCCTGAGGGGACACAAATACAAATGCTCCACTCCTGCCCCATTTTCTAGGAGACGGCCAGGTTTGCAGTGACAATTTCAGAGAAATTGTTAATAAGACCAAAGCTCTGACCTTTTAGGGCCTAGAAATGGAACAATTTATAGAGAAATGGCGGTGATGGAGGTCAGTGTCATTGTTACATACAAAATGGGGACGGAAAGGTAAGTGGTGGCAGAGGGGCTTTGTGATTTTCTTGTATCCATTAGCCTGTGTGTTAATTAGGAATTTTTATCACTTGAAAGAGACAGCTATGCTCAAGCCAGCATAGCCATCATGGGGAATTATTGGGTCATAAAACTGATGTTTCAGAAGGCCAGTATGGCTTCAGCATGGCTAAATCCAGGACCTCAAATGAGTCCCTCTGAGTTCTATCTCTCAGCTCTGTTTTCTTCATTACTGGCTTCATTTCATAAGCAGGCTTTCCTCATTATTGCCAGAGACAGTCACCTGCCACTCTGGTTGTACATCTACCAGCTCTGTAACCCCAGGGGAAAGAGCACCTCCGGAGAGTTTCAGGAGACATCTCAGGCATCGCTCAATGACTTGGGCTGGGTCACATGTCCAGTTGGAACCAGGATATAATTCTTAAAGGGAATTAGATGATGCTGTTTACAGAAAATGGTATCTTAGGTAGGCAAAATAGTAGCTGTCCACTATATCTTGGTTTCTGGAAAGCTCCAGTTAAAGCAGCATTTTAATCTAAAGGATGCAAGGTAAGGGCATTTACTGATTTATAAGGAGCTGTGCTTGGTACTAGATTGGATACAGATCCACGAGTTCTGCTCTTACCAAACTTTTAACCAGGGAGGGTAAATTAGATGTGTATATGAATAAAGATTACTGTTATATGTTAAGTGCCTACGATGTACCAACAGGTACTTTGATAAATACTTTATCTTTGAGGACAATTCTGAGAGGGCCACTTTTATTATTTATATTCACTGTATCTATTGAAAAAACAAACTTGGGGCCTCTCTGGTGGCACAGCAGGTTGAGTGTGGTGCTGTGAAGCTGTCTGCAGCCTTTGCAGCGTGGGTTTGATCCCGGCCGGCCGGAGAGAATCCCACATGGCACAGCAGACCTCTCCTGCCTTGCCCGTTGCTCCCCTCAGCAGTGTCTTCAGTCCATCTGCCTGTTCTGCTCCTCGCTCTGTCTCTAGTGAATTCTCTCACCCTCCCGTGCCTCTGACTGTACCCCAGTTCTTATATAAATACATAAATCTTTAAAAAAAAAACAAAACACACACACCAACTTGGCCTCCCTGGTGACGCAAGGGGTTAAGTGCCGCACTACGAAGCTATCTGCAGCCTCTGTAGCACAAGTTCAGTTCCCAGCCGGCCAGGGAGCAACCACATGGTGAAGCAGACCTCTCCTTTCTCGCCCGCTTCTCCCCTCAGCAGTGTATTTCAGTCAGTCTGCCTATTCTGTTCCCCGCTCTGTCTCTGGTGAATCCTCTCACCCCCCTGCACCTCTGGCCTGTACCGCCCCCCGCCCCAGCTCTTGTATGCATAAATAAATAAATCTTAAAAATAAATAAATAAAAAACAAACTTAGGAAGTTTATGTACTTTGTGTCACCTGTCTAAGGTCACACTAATGAGTTGGTAGAACTGAAGATAAGAATCCAGTCACTTTGGATTCAACCCAGTGCTGTATTTAGCTTGTATTTGACCTCTCAAGACCTCTTACCCGATCCCCACCCAACCACACACACCCTTTTAAATTACATAGCCTGCTTCTAAATTTCTGACATCTGATTTACTGAGTTTATCTTTTCCAGAACATCGCAGGTTGACGGCTGTTCTGTGGACTGGTTGCCCTTATGTCAGGTGCCCGTACTAGATCTCATGGGTTGGATATCCGCAGGGAACTTCAGTAACTGCCCAGTGACCTCTTCTTTGGGTTTGATTTTTTGGAACCCAAAGAAGGAATGTGGCAGCCTTTCTGCTAGTTGAACATTTTTCTCCTGAATCACCCTTCTTTATCCCCCCATCTCCATGCCTGAGTTCAGACTCACAATCTCTCTTCTGCCTAGATGTTGTTCCTATCCCATCTCTCATTCCTGTTGACAAAATGATTCTAAAAGGGAACTTCTATCGCATTGTTATAAAGTTTTTCAGTGACATCCCATACCCTTCGGGTTCAAACAAAACTCCTTACACAAGATTCCTCAGGGCCTGGCCCCTTCTTGCCTTTCCTGCCTTGCATCTTGATGCCCCCCACCCCCTTATATCCCTCAGATCAGCCTTTTTTGGAATCATTTATAGTTCCCCAAAGACCACCATATGCTCTTTTGTTTCTGGGCCTTTATGCTATATCATGTGCCGAAAATCCTAATGCAACCCATCCCCACCCCAACACCTAACTCGCTCTTGCTTGTCCCTGTTGTTGACACCGAGTCCTGGAAAACTCAGAGTCACCCCTTCCTTTCAGTCTGGGTGAGGCAGCCACATTTCTTACCTTACAGTGCTCTGGGCTTGTTCTGATGAAGCAGTTATCACTTCATATTTTAAATGAATCGTATGTAATGTCTTTTCCCATTAGAACTTAGTTTCTTGAATCAGCTTTTTCCTCTCCAAATGACTGGCACATAATAGGTGCTCAGGATTTGTTGGGCACAGAAAATGAATCGATCTTGGCTTCTGAACTGGCCTCATTTTGCTCTTTTGTTTATTCCAGAACCTGGGTTTCAGTGATGAGACATGGGGTATGATGTAACCCGTTTCCAGGGGGATGTTGACGAAGACCTTATCTGTCCTATTTGCAGTGGAGTCTTGGAGGAGCCAGTCCAGGTGAGTCGGCCTGATGGCGGGTCTGATGTGGCAATAGGTGGCAGTGCAGCTAGTAGAAAATATTCTTATGTAATGGGGCCAGTGGGAGTCACTGTGTTGTGGCTCCTTATATTTCCCTCCCCTTCCCCACCCCCACCCCAATACACAGATTGGAGGCCTGGTGCTGAGGAGCAGTGGCGGCTGCAGCAGGAATCGGGCCTTCCAGGGTCCATTGAGAGGGAGATGCCACAGACGTCCAGGATGCAGATTTTCTTTCTTTTTTTTTAATATATTATATATTTTAAAAGATATTTATACAAGAACCGGGGTACAGGCCAGAGGTGCGGGAGGGTGAGAGGATTCACCAGAGACAGAGTGGGGAACAGAACAGGCATATCTACTGCAATACACTGCTGAGGGGAGCAGCGGGCGAGACAGGAAAGGTCTGCTGCGCCACGTGGGTTTCTCTCAGGCCAGCTGGGATCGAACCTGAGCTGCAGAGGCTGCAGACAGCTTCACAGTGTGGCACTCAACCGTCTGCGCCACTAGGGAGGCCCAAAATATTTATTTATTTATGCATACACGAGCTGGGTTACAGGCCAGAGGTGTGGGGAGAGAGAGGATTCACCAGAGACAGAGTGGGGAGCAGAACAAGCAGCTCTTTTGCAATACACTGTGAGGGGAGCAGCGGGGAGACAGGAGAGGTCTGCTGCGCCACGTGGTTAGCTCCCTGACTGGGCATCGAACTCATACTGCAGTGGCTGCTGATACCTTCTTAGTGCTGAGACTTAACCCCTTGCATCACCAGGGAAGCCCTGAGCTTATTCTTATTCTCCGGGCTTCAGCCACCCAAAGGAGCACAGATACCTGCATTAGATGAAACTCAGACTGCAGTCCAACAGCAGCCAGCCCTGGACCTATATCCCTGTCTGGGCCTTCGCAGCTTGTTGATGATGTAGGCCCTGACCCAAAAGAGTGGGTCCTTCACCCTCTAGTGAGAGAATTCACTGGAGAGCGATAATGTTATTGAACCAGGAAGGCATTATTAGAGACTCGTGCATAAGGGAACCCATGCCGGAAATGAAAAATTTAGCCTGGGTCTTTGAAGAGTTAGGAGGAGATATTTAAAGGTAGGTTCACGAGGCAGGGAGGAAGAGGACAGCGTCATAGCTTATTTTGGGCTGGGCGGTGCCCTGGCATCACTGACGGGCTACATTCCAGCTGCACATGCAGACTCTGGGCCTTCTCCCTCCAGGAAATTGTGAGATAATCATTAGTCAGGATCTAACGCTTTTTGTCTAGCATGGCACTTTCTAGTCAGTGGTAGTGCGCCAAGTTGTTTGGACAACACTCTCCAGTCTGATTTAGTTCACCTGTTCAAACAGGGCTTGGAGCGACTGTCATCCTACCAGCTCAAATTTTTTATCTAGGCAAATTGGCTGGGTGTGGGGCAAGTATCTTGTTGGTGTCCGGAGGTCAGAGGCTGTGTCAGCTCCCTCCTTTGTCAGTCCTGGCAAGGTCTCGTCTGTTTTCTGTCACTATTATTTGAGGTTAGTCACGTGTGGACGAGTCAGTTGTAGTCGTGACTGTGCAAGTATGCAGTAATTCCCCAACCTCCAGGGTTTACCTTCCGAGGAGTAGCCAGGTGAGCTTCGTGATGCCAGATTACCAGACATGTTTCCAGAGGTAGACGCCTCTCCCTGCTAGGGATGTGCTAGTTCTATCTTATGTAGATAATACATTCTTTTTTTTTTTTTTTTTAAGATTGATTTATTTATGCATACAAGAGCTGGGTGTAGGCCAGAGGTGTGAGGGGTGAGAGGATTCACCAGAGACAGAGTGGGGAGCAGAACAGGCAAATCTACTGAAACATACTGCTGAGGGGAGCAGTGGGGAGACAGGAGAGGTCTGCTGTGCCCTGTGGGTCAGCTCCCTGGCCGCAGATCGAACTCATGCTGCAGTGTCTGGTGATAGCTTCATGGTGGTGAGACTTAACCCTTTGTGCCATTTGGGAGGCCCCTAGATAATACATATGGTTCAGTAATCAAAACAGTATAAAAAGGCATACAGTGAGACCTCTTGTCTTAGTCTGCCTAATCCTGCCCACAGATAACTCTTTTTATTAGTTTATTTAGTATCCTCCCAGGGTGTGTGTGGGCAGGTACGAGCAAATATGAATACATGCATGCATACGTATACATACATGTAATAGATAGCTTCTGCCCTAAGAATCTTACAGGCATAATAAACTGGAAAATATATTAGTTGTTATACCATACATAATTTTATAATGTATATATTTATTTGCCCTGGTAATCAAGAACTGCTCATACTTGCCCAAGGCAAGTTTAGATAGGATGGTTGTGAAAAAACAGACAGTTGAGCTGAGAGCTGAGTGATAAGGGGCCCTTCGAGCTAAGATTTAGAGGAAGAGCATTTCAGGCAAGGGGGAGCTGCAGAAGCAAGAATGGGCTGGGTATGGGCAAGCTGAAACGGCTTGACATGGTGCTGGGCGCATGCTGGGAGGTGGAGAGAGGTCAGAGGCACAGGTGTTGATCTAGCAGAACTTCACAGGCTCTGAATAGGAGTTTGCATTGAGCTTAATGTCAGTGGAAAACCATTGTAAGCTTTTGAGGAGGGGGTTGATAAGATCTAGTTTGCATTTTTATTTTTTATTTTTTTTAAAGATTTATTTATTTATTTATACAAGCACTGGGTACAGCCAGAAGCGCGGGAGGGTGAGAGAATTCACCAGAGCCAGAGCGGGGAGCAGAGCAGGCAGAATGACGAAGTACACTGCTGAGGGGAGCAGCGGGCGGCAGGAGAGGTCTGCGCGCCATGCGGGACCCTCCTCCGGTGGCCGGGGAGCAGCCGGGGATTGAACCAGCGCTGCAGAGGCTGCGGGCAGCTTCACAACCCAGCGCTCAACCGCTGCGCCACCGGGGAGGCCCTAGTTTGCATTTTTATTTTTTTTTTTATTTTTTTATTTTTTTTTTTTAAAGTGGGAGACAAAGTTTTATTTTTTTTTTTTAAAGATTTATTATTTATTTATTTGTTTGTTTGTTTATACATGCAAGCACTGGGTACAGTCAGAAGTGCGGGAAGGTGAGAGAATTCAACAGAGCGGGGAGCAGAGCAGGCAGAAGGACCGAAGTACACTGCTGAGGGGAGCAGTGGGCGGCAGGAGAGGTCTGCGTGCCATGTGGGACCCTCCTTTGGTGGCCGGGGAGCAGCCGGGGATTGAACTGGTGCTGCAGAAGCTGCGGGCAGCTTGGCAACCCAGCGCTCAACCGCTGCGCCACTGGGGAGGCCCCTAGTTTGCATTTTTAAATGGTCACGCTGGCTGCTTAATACATAAATGGGCAAGGAAATAGGAAGGCTAGCTGGAAGATGTGTTTATTATTAATAATAAACAAGATGATAGCTTGTTTGAGGTTAATGGCAGTAGAAATGGGGAAATGGTCAAATTTAGAATTTTGGGGGACAAGGTTGGCCTGTAAGATTTTTAATAGGATCAGATCTATCTCTGAGTCAAAAATAAATATCTACTGATCGTTGCATTAGTAATACTAAGAATGACTTCTTTCCTTATGCAACATGTCTCGAAGTTAGTCTGTGACTCTTGTGAGCACCTAAGAGCAGAAACTCTTAGATTTTCCAGAAATCTAAAGTGTCTAGCACAGTGTCAGGGCCATAGGCGCTCCAGTTATTCTCATAGTCCCGTCTCCTCAGTGCCTGCCATGCTGGTCTCGTCTGCTGAGGCCACAGGGTGTCTCCACAAAGGTCAGGGAATCCTGTCACTTGGAGTGATTGCCTTCAGCAGTCACCTGAGTTACCAGGCAAGTAGCCTGAAACAATCTTCAAGGAACTGAGAAGAAGGTGATTCTGTGAAAAATCAGCCCTGTTTTGGAGGGTGGGCCTGACCACTGGGGTTCAGGGCAGGCACCACCTCAGCTCAGTCCACACGTGGGCCTGCACAGAGACAGCTCTTAGCCTCTCATCGGGCATTCCAGGCTTTTATTTTGTTCCCTTCTGCTTTCTGACATTGCATTTTGCCAGTAAATGTCTGTCTGCCTCCTCTGTTTTCATTTTAGACCCATACCAGGCTCTGTCCTCTCTGTAAGTGCCTCCACGATTGACCTTCGACTGGGAAGGTCTCACCCTCCTCTGGCCTTCTTTGGCAATAACATGTGCAATCCAGCTGCAATTAATCGATTGCCTTGTGTCATCTTCCCCATTATCCCAAGACATTATTCCTGTCTCTTATTATTATGTAACTTTTTACTTGTTTGTCTTATTCACACTTTATTTTTGATTCATTTGTAATTTGGAGCACAGGAAATACCTGAAATCTGTTTACCCTGCAATACTTTGCCCATTGTAGTTCTGTACTTTGCTGTGACCCCAGTGACCTCTGGCCTTGGAAGCTGCTCAAAGGCTTGATGGGCCTTTGACATAATCATACCCAGGCTCTTGCTCTGGCTAATTACTTTGTGCCCCTTTTGTCCTGCCTTCCCTCCCAGGCACCTCATTGCGAGCATGCTTTCTGCAACGCCTGCATCACCCAGTGGTTCTCTCAGCAGCAGACATGTCCAGTGGACCGTAGCGTGGTGACAGTCGCCCACTTGCGCCCAGTACCTCGGATCATGCGGAACATGTTGTCAAAGCTGCAGATTGCCTGCGACAACGCCGTGTTCGGCTGCAGTGCCGTTGTTCGGCTCGACAACCTCATGTCTCACCTCAGCGACTGTGAGCACAACCCCAAACGGCCTGTGACCTGTGAACAAGGCTGCGGGTGAGAATCCTTCCCTCCTCTGCCCCACGCAGATAAGGCTTTTCCCTTCCTGGACCCCTGTCTCTGGAGCCCCTGCTCACGTGCCAGGGTGGCCCCAGCTGGCAGGCAAGGCATGTTCTTGATCTGCTTTGTGCCCTGCCCCAGAGCTGTGATCTTTTGATCTGTGATCCTCTTGCTGCACTAACAGAAGGGAGACAGTGATCTGTGTGACAACACTAGGGCTTGGTTTACTTTATTCTTCCCATCCAGACCAATACTTCTGTCTCTCTGTTTTTGGTTTTTGTTTGTTTTTTTTTTTTAAAGATTTATTTATGTATGTATACAAGAGCTAGAGTACAAGCCAGAGGTGTGGGGGGTGAGAGGATTCACTAGAGACAGAGCGGGGAGCAGAACAGGCAGGCTGACCGAAGTACACTGCTGAGGGGAGCAGCGGGCAAGGCAGGAGAGGTCTGCTACGCCATGTGGGCAGCTCCCTGGCCGGCTGGGGATCAAACTCATGCTGCAGAGGCTGCTGACAGCTTCACAGGCTGCGTCTTAACCCCTTGCACCACCAGGGAGGCCCACTTCTTTCTCTCTGTCACATTGACTACTCCTCTTCCCGGCCTTCTCATATTCCCTCTTGCTTTCTTATTATTATTGTCTTTCTTTGGGGCTGTGAATCTGGAGCTTCTCAAAAGGAATGAGTGCACAAGGAGAATCTGGGGGAGGAAACGTGAGCCACATGACAGATAAAATTCTGGTTTGGCGAGGGAAGGAAGCCCCGAGAAGGCAGATAGCGAAGAGGTGAGGAGGGAGTGAAGGAAGTTAACAAAAAAAAGGCTTGAATGTTTAGAGTGAGTAAATGTTGGAAATCTGGGGGAGGAGAAAGCCTTCCTGGCAATTGTCCGCCTTCGCCCTCATGCCCCCTTGATCATGTGCCCTGTTCTCTTGCTGCCCTGGGTCTCAGCCTGGAGATGCCCAAAGATGAGCTGCCGAACCACAACTGCATCAAGCACCTGCGCTCGGTGGTGCAGCAGCAGCAGACGCGCATCGCGGAGCTGGAGAAGACCTCAGCGGAGCACAAGCATCAGCTGGCGGAGCAGGTGGGGCCCAGAGGCCACGGGGCAGGGTGGGGGGGGGCTGCGCTGGAAGAGCATGTCCTGGATAAGCAAGTACCTTCCTGCCCAGGGGACAGAGCACCAGTGTAAGCACAGGACTGGCTCCTGCGCTGTGAGCCTGGGTGCGTGGACACTGCCTGTGGCTTCCTTTCCTCCCATGGATGTCATTCTCCTAACGTTGCTTTGCATTGAGGATACAGCTCCGTGTGAGACAAGTCAGCATCTTTGTCCTCATGAAGCTTACAAATCTGGTGGTCCCTCAGCTCTCTCAGCTGTCCTCAGTCTCAGATAACTTTTGTCTTTCTTCTGCTGCCTGCCTTGACCGTCATCACTACTTCTCCTTTCCTCCAACAGAAGCGAGACATCCAGCTCCTCAAGGCATACATGCGCGCCATCCGCAGCGTCAACCCCAACCTTCAGAACCTGGAAGAGACCATTGAGTACAACGAGATCCTAGAGTGAGTGTCACTGAGGAGGTGGAGTCGCTCACTCCACATCCTGGCCCTGAGCCCCGAAAGGAGGAAGAGCAGGGGAGTGGCAGAGGGTGTAATGAGGCTGTCAGAGGGCTGGGCTGGAGCCACTGCTTTTCAGGTGTTGGGGTGAAGGAGAGGGGGGAGAGGAAAAGAGGATGACCTTCAGGCCTGGCACAGGATCTTGCACTCACTTGGGTGGAGGGACGGGAAAGCTTACCTCAGGATGCAATTTCTCCAGAACTAGGTGAGAGCCCACCCCAAACAAAGCCCTATGTTAAAGGCTGTGGAGTAACAGGAGGGCCAACAAGAAGTAGAAGATACTGTCCCGGTCTTCAGGTAGCTTATAATCTAGAGAAGAAGACAGAAAATGCAAATCCAGGAAAGTGATCTAAAAGGCAGCAAAAATAAGCAAAATAAACAAGTCTGAGGCCCCCGTCAGTTCTGGAGTCCTATGTAGTTCCTGGATGAAACTGTAAGTGTGAATCGGTCCATGTAGCCCAAATAGTTCTGAGTGGGACATGGGATAGAAGAATAATCGATTCATTCAATAAACCTTTGTTTTATTAAAGCAAGAGCACTTACTATGTGCCAGGTGTGTGTGCTAAGTATTTGGATTTTTAAGAAAAATAATAGTGACCCTGTCCTCACGGAATTTAATTTGGTGGGTCATGACTCAGATGGGAACAACTAGAGAAAGATTCGGAGCTTCTCAATGATGCAAGGAAAGAAGGAAGGATGGGTTAAGCTGAGTGTAGACTGGGCGATTGTTCTAGAGAAGGGGATGAACTGGAATGACACCTCCAACCCCTCCACACAGGTGGGTGAACTCCCTGCAGCCAGCCAGAGTGACCCGCTGGGGAGGGATGATCTCCACCCCTGACGCTGTGCTCCAGGCTGTCATCAAGCGCTCCCTGGTGGAGAGTGGCTGCCCTGCGTCTATTGTCAACGAGCTGATTGAGAATGCCCACGAGCGTAGCTGGCCCCAGGGTCTGGCCACACTAGAGACCAGACAGATGAACCGGCGCTACTATGAGAACTACGTGGCCAAGCGCATCCCTGGCAAGCAGGCTGTGGTGGTGATGGCCTGCGAGAACCAGCACATGGGCGACGACATGGTGCAGGAGCCCGGGCTTGTTATGATATTTGCGCATGGCGTGGAAGAGATCTAGGAGATTTCGGAGTGCTATTGTGAAGAGATGGAGAACAGAGAAATCTCATCACTCCAGCAGCTGGACTCTGAGTCCTCCCCTATCCTTAATACTGTGGTTTTCACTTGAACCACACGCCTCCCTGCTCTTCTGGCATTGAAGGGCCGAGGGCACCTGGCTCAGCCTTTCAGGTGGGAAATCCAGATTCCTTCCTTTTGCCTAATTTCTTCCCCTAAGACGTCTGTAATTTTCAGTCTGGATGGGAAAGTCCCCTCCGCTGTCCTGCCTGGAGTCCCTGGTCCAGAAAGCACAATGATACTGATTTTCTCCAGGATCAGGATGGAATGAGGAATCTCTAATTGTTCCCTCCTCCCAAACCAGGGAGTCAGAGCAGGCAGGCCTGTTGCCTCTAGAAACAGCATTTAGAGGGTAGTCCTGGGGAGCAGAAATTCTGAGGAGTGTTAAGGGTTCCCTAGAAATAGTGAGGCAATCACTGATGGCCCGTGGGGAAGACTGGACCTCTGTGCCAAGTGATACCCTGTTGCGTGCACCGTGAAGGCTCTCGCCGGCCTGCAGGTGCGCAGGTTCTAGATGCCGAAAACTTCCAGATGAGCTCTTCTTTCTTCCGCTTTTCTCATCCATGGAGAATGACAGGGCTGGGACTAGGGGATTTGTCTCCTGGGGTGGAGATACTCAGCATGAAGCACCACTGTGTTTTGCTGAAATCGGGTCGGCACTGCTGTCTATGGCAAGAACTGTAATTCCACAGACCCCTCCCAACCCTGGGATTGTAGGTGGTTATTTTGATGATTTCCTTTGGCCATTGTTTGTTTATACTTCATTCCCCTCCCTCTTTTTTTTTTTTTGGTAGGATGGCCTGGTTATGGCTACTTTTCCAGCCCAGCCACATTGTTGGCAATTTAATTTATTTACTTTTTTTTAAGAAAGGAAAAAGAAAAAAATATTAACAAAACTTGAAACTTATCCTTTGCTGTTCCTACTGTGTGGACTCTGGATGGGGTGGGACAGGGATAGAGTCTGTTTCACATTTTTCCTTTTCAACACAGCCTTTGGCTCTAATATAGGAAAGGCCGAGGGAGTCTCGGCTGAACATATAGTCTGCTCCAAGCCTCCGTGACCCCATCTGAGGTGAGGAACGTCCTCTCTCTCAGTGACAGATGTGACAGTGCGGCATCTATGCATGCACCCTCTGGAGAGCTTTGCTCCCAGCCCTTCCAGGGTCTCGCCATAAAGCCCTGGACTTAGAATATTAATTTTGAAAGCAACACCCCCATCTCTCCATTTCCTTGGAGATATATAGCTGGTATAGAAATCATGTCTCTGAGTACAGGCAATGTCTCACCACGGCCCCTGAGGACTCCAGCTCCGTTTCAGGCTACCTGAGACATGCCCTGATCCCTTGGGCAACAACAGAATCAGAAGGGGAGGGATGATGTGATTCTGTTAGTATGCAGGTGGAAGTGGGGTTGGAGAGAGAGTGTCCTGTAGCAGCTTTTCTTTTTGGAGTTCTGTTCCCTGCCAGTTTGTTACAGGCTTGGGGAGTTGGGCCATAGCTCTGCAGGGGCTGGGTAGAGTTATACAGCTTGAGGGGAGTAGGGAACAGTCTTGTTCCAGCTCCGGGACATTGTGCTCAGGAATTTGAAAAAGCTGCTATATTTAGTCTGGTTACTACATTTCATCCACTCCCCTCAAACCCTGCCTGCCTCACCAAGGCCCACACCCTCCTGTTGTCCCCTTCAGATGGAGGCAGGAAGCTCAGTTGCGGCTTCCCTGTCCTTGCACTGGTGTCTGCAGGTTGCTGGCTGTGTTATATGTGCGGTTCCATGGTGTTCACTGCACTAATAATAAACCTTTTGCTCAACTCTCTAAATTCTTAATTCAACCTCACTCCCTCTCATGAAGGTTCTCTGCTTGGCCTTTCTCATTTTAATTCCCTCTGCTTCCTGGCTTTGTAACCTCCTCTTGTCTCAAAACTAAGTTCTGTTTAGGAGGGTGACTGCCTGAGTGTCGTTCACACCTCATGTCTCTGTCCTGTTGCCCTCCTACATCTCCTCTCCTGTTCTATAGCAACCGAAGTGAACCATGTTTTTTTCTGTGGTCTGTCTTTACCCTAAATTCTCTGTCATTCCTAAGTGCTCCTGGGGTTTTGGGACACTTTCTGCAGAAGCTACACATGCACTCTTGTCCTCTGAGCCTCTTTGCTTTGGAATCTGGGATTCCGTTAAAGGCCGGGAAGCCTCCAGCCACCACTGTCTCCTAACCAAGAAAGTAGATGTGAGGAAGGCAAGCTGGAGTGACTGTACCTGCTGTAGCCAAATCTTGATAAACCCTTGTAAGCATTTGCCACCACCTTCTCCCTCTAATGAAAAAAAAAAAATTTCCACCCTATACTATATTTTAAATTTGCTGAGCATTATCATGCATCTAAGATAAGTCTAATAGTACTCTAGATACTCTAGGGGGGTGAAAAAGATGCATTCCTATGCCACTGAGTCTACTATGCTGTCCTACACACGTCTGATGATGAAAAATAAGCATAGTGTGCGCATAACTGGCGCTAGGCCCACTCTAGTGCTTTCTGTTTGTTTTGAAGCTCCTTCAAAATTACTTTCAGGACCTGCTGCTCATTCTTTTGATGGTGTAAGTGGTGCCAAATCATCTTTTCAGGGTTTATTTGGTTTTTGGAAATCTTTCTTAAATAACTTGCAAGGTGCTCGATAGAATGAGAATGGGGGCGGGGGTTCTTGTAGCAAAATGGTACCTGCCTTCGAAGAATTTAACTCCCAGTGAAGATGAACATATAAGGCATAATGAAAGTGGCAAGTGGGCTTACCAGCAGTGTGAGTAGAGGGGAGCTAAAGTCCTGATTCTGCTGGGTATCAGGGAAGATATTTCAGAAGTATTTGTTCTCGATCAGAGGTTGGCAAATGAGATCGGAGGCAACTGCCTGCTTATGTAAAAAAGTTTCACTGTCTACACTCAAGCCCATTTGTATTGTCTACAGTTGCTTTTAGATTATGACAGTGAAGCTGAGTGGTTACCACAGAACCGGCCCGCAAAGCCTAAAATAGAACTAGGCAGGGAAGTGGTGTGAGGGTTGTTGTAATTTTCTACTTTTTATATACATTTGATAGAACATTTTTCTAATTGCTGAAATAACAAACATTTAATAATACACCCTTTACTAAAGAAACCTGTACTCACATTTCCCCAATTGTCCCAAGAACGTTCTTTTGGAGCTAATTTTTGCCTGACCCTGGATCCTTGGAACACCCTTATTTTTTTAGTAACACTGATTTGAAGCGATTGGGCTAGTGGTCATAGTGACATTTTGGATTTGACTAATTGCTTCTTCACTGTGTCCATTAGCTTATTCCTCTAGTTCCAACTTTTACTAAAGAGATCTAGAATTCGAGTCAAACAATTCTGGGGTGGATGACATTTCAGGAGAGGTGTTCTTTATGTGATATAACATCAGGGTAGGCCCAGGAGCACCATGAGCCTGATCTCTCCCCTGTACAGGTACACTGCAGAGAGACTCTTCTAGCACAGGCATGCAGCTGTGTCATTCTAATTGGTTGCTGTTACATAAGAACAGGCCTAATATTACCAAATCTTATTATTTTTCAAGAAATTTGGGGCATCCTAATGTATATGCTAAATCTCAAAACCTTTAAGTATTGGCTCAATTTTAGAAAATGTTCATGGGGAAAAAAGGGAAAAAATCTAGACCATCACTTTGTAACCTATTTTAGGCTGTGAGTATAGGCCTGAATAAAAACAAATAGAGGTGGGGGATATGCTGAAGAAGAGGCCAGTTGAAAGGTCTTGAATATAATGACAGGAAATTTGGACATTAATTTTACAGGTGAGTTTTTAAGACTAGGAATGACTTTCATAATTCCTTGGTGGTCGTGGAAAGATGGTGAAAAATTGGTGACTATGAGTAAGCTTAGCAGTAAGTCATACATGAGCGAATCAGGACTTGAAATAGAGCGGGAAAGATTAGACATTGGGAAAAAAACAACTCAGCCAGCATTAATGGGATTCCTGTCTTATGCCAGATGTGGTGCTGGGTCATTGAGACAAATAATTGAGAAACAAGTCATTAAAGGAATCTGCAGACTGGTAGGTGACATACATTTAAACAATAATGGGAAATAATATCAAATACTAGAATAGTATGTTGCCAGTAGATACGGACTAAAAGTGGGAAAAGGAAGAAAAGGGTCAAAGGGAAGGCTTCTCAGAGCTGAACAGGATTGTATATTGGCTGTGAAGAATGAGGATAACAGCCAAAGCATTTTTTGTGAGTCAGGCACCATTTTAAGTATTAAACATTACTTTAGTCATCCAAACAACCTTATAAAAACCTTCATTATCTCCATTTTCTGTGTGGAGAAACAACAAAATTCACACAGGATTTGAATCCTAAAAGTCATTCTAGAGCCTAGGCTCCTAATCACTGCACAGAGCAAGGGGCATATTACCAGAGGTAAGGCGCGGATACCGAGGTTTCTGGGCTGAATGAGAAGACAGCATCATTAGCTTAAATAGGGAAGAGGAGGCGGGGCTGGTTTCAGCCGTTGATTAGCCCATTTGGGGCACATTGGGATAGAAGTATTTCCATGCGGAGGCCTGGAGCCAAAGAAGACAAAAATAGATTTGGGTGTTATGTACCCAGAGGTAATCAAAAAGTCTTGAGACTTGAATGCTAACTAAAGTAGAAAACAAGAAGAATGGGATCTTGAATTCCAAAAGTAATCTGGAACAAAAATTGGAAAACAGGGTAAGATAAAGTTGGCTAATGCTTCAGCTTTTTTTTCTTTTAAGTGATTTTGAAGTTTGAATCGTTTAAATGTGGTGCATAAGCTAGCTGTAAAGGAGTAGCAGAAATGTCTGCAATGACAGCATTCCTGAAGCAAGTATTGCTTAAGCCCATTTTGGTTCAGATCCTCTAATGACTTACTTTATGGGATAAACTGCAGAGATCCAACCCTCTTATCAAGTCACCAGCTTGGAAGTAGATTGTGTTAGATCCCTCCCACATTAGCTTGTTTATATTCACCCGAGCAATTTTGATTAAGCTCTAAGAAGATGGGTCGGTATAGGGTGGCATTAGCTAGTTGTTGGTTATAAGGTGAAGAGATAGATGGCACTTAATCAGAGAAGGTGGGAATTAGACTGTCACACGGAGACACCCAGTCTAATTTAATTGGAAGTATCAAGGATAAAAAATGAGTGTCTTAGAAAGGATGTGTTGATAACAGGTGCAAGTGTTTGACTACCTGTGGAGCTGAGGTTCCTATCTAGGGGAATAATATGTTCCAGAGATTTTAGTGAAACTGGGGCACCTAGAAAGCCATTGTAACAAAGGCATGAATTAAGATGATATGATGGAGGAAGCAGTAACGAATGATGAGCATGGGAGAAAAGAAAATGTAATTCTTAGGTTGGAAACTGGAAGGAACTGAGAAAACAGTATTATCAAAAATTCGAAAAGTCAAGAATGTGATTCTGGGGAAGGAGTTTTATGTTTCAGGTGACATTAGATCAGCAAAACAAACTGTGGCACCTAATGACACAGGACCATGGTTTTGCCAAGAGACCTTGCCTGTGTAATGGAAGCTTGGAAGAAGGAAGAAGAACGAAGCTTTGGTAGAATACTACTGAAGGTGGAAGAAAGCAAATGAGATGGAAAAATAGTATTCCAAGAGAGGAAAAAAGCATGATGCCTCTGAAGCCCAGTGAGAAATCAGTGGTTTCAAATATAGCGAAGGTTTTGATATCAGTGTTAAGATAGCATGGATTGGGGAGTCAGTGTATTTTATTGAGAAAAATAAAACACGGTGATTTGGAAGTGCCAAGGAAAGGTGAAGTTTTCTTCCGAATTATTGAAGATCCCACAGAGTAAGAAAAGTTGAAGCTGTGGAAGGATAGAGACAGCTCCTTAGGAGGCTGCAATGTGTGAGATTGCTAGCCTAGGTGGACAGAGTGACTTCAGAGCTTATGAGTGAGGCTAAAATCTGAACCAGAAACTCAAGATTGATAGCGGGGTAAATATGTAAGAATGAGAGAGGGGCCAGATCATGTAATGCAAAGAAAGAAGGATGGAAAGGTGGGATTTGTTGGAATGGAAGGGGTAGGGATGAAGGAATTAACTTTGGGGGAAGTGGGTGGGTGCTGTGGGACAGTAAAAATGGTTGATTATTATACATAAAGTTTCAAAGTTTTGGTCTCTCACCCTGGGAAGTTACAAGGGAAGCACTTAAGAGCAAAAGGTTTCATCTTCAACACCAAACAATCTCTGCCTGCTTCCCCTTCTCCGTCTAGAGCCTCCATTTTGTAAGCCGCACGTGGTCTTGCCTTCACAACACAGTCGCCGGGTGCCCTCTGCTGGTCATTTTGGTCTAGGCTCTCCAGGACATTCAAGTCTGAGGCTAGAAGGGATCAGTACTGAGCCTGTTAGAGTCTGCTCTTTCAGCACATCTGAGATCACATCTAAGTAAAGCCTAGTAGAGACATAAAATACACAGTCCTGACTCTCAGGAAGTCAATAGCCCAGTCTGAGTGAAGATTAAAATATGCATATATAACTACCACAAAAACTATCTCATTTACATAACATTTCTTTAAATTGAGTGTCTTAGATGTGCTAGTAGTTTATATATGGGGAAGGGAGATGTCACATAATAAGGGAGAGGATGTAGTGGCAACGGGTGGTTAGCGACTGCTCAGGAGAACCAACATTTTGAGGGCAGTTTGAGTAGAAAGTGAGGATGAGAAAGGCTTGTTTTGGGCAGAGAACAGCAGGGACAAGGACGAAGGCCAGTGGACGGGATGTGGTGAATGAACATGGAAGAGTGAGAGAAAAGCAGGCAGGTGACGAAACACGAAAAGCAGCCATGGACCGGTGTAAGGTCTCTGGCTACAGTGGATCAGCGGGTGCTTTTTAGTGCAGCTTTTTATAGTTTAACACAATAGTCCTCACAGTTACCCCTACTTTCCAAAGGAAGGCTCCAGCAATGGTGGGTCCAGTCTGCAGTCACCCCCGAGAAAAGTGAACATGCTTGAGACATATTTAAGAGGAAGAATAAAAAGAACGTCTTTATTTTAGCTTTTACAGAGGTACATCAAAGGATGCCTTCCTTGCACACAGCCCAGTGCACGGTGGTGGGCCGATAAGTTCCAGCTGGAGTGATGAAGAGTATCAAAGAGGAAAGGAAAGTGATAATGGTGGGGACTTGGGGGTGGGAATCAGGCAGTGGTGGTCCTCCCTCGTGGTGCAAGGGGTTAAGCACAGCATTGCGGGGCTCTCTGCACTCTCGGCAGCACGAATTCAATCCCCTGCCAGCCCGGGAGCAACCCAGATGGCACAGAAGACCTCCTCTGTCTCCCTGCTGCTCCCCTCAGCAGTGTATTTCAGTAGATCTGCCTGTTCTGCTCCCCACTATCTCTGGTGAATTCTCCCCCCACATACACACCACAGTTCTTGTATGCATTAAATAAATCTTAAAAAAAAAAAAAGAAGAAGAAGGCAGTGGTGAGGATGATCTTGGAAGGGACAGCATGAACAATCGTAGGAAATGTGTAGAAATCTTGATAAATTATTGCCCTTAAACCCCTGCCCCCAGGAGATCCTTCTTGAGAAGATGCTGCTGTACAAGAAATGAAATATTAAAAAAAAAAAAACAACACCTCCTCAACAAGTCTCTCATAGTCCCCCACAATCAGAAACTGGGGACTAAGAAAACTTGGGTGAGGTGAGTGCAGGAGAGCTGGAGGTTATAGATTAATTTCCTAGCTTGGTTCATATACAGAAAATTGAGAACAGGGCCTCCCCGGTGGCGCAGCGGTTGAGCGCTGGGTTGCGAAGCTGCCCGCAGCCTCTGCGGCGCCAGTTCGATCCCCGGCTGCTCCCCGGCCACTGGAGGAGGGTCCCACATGGCGCGCAGACCTCTCCTGCCGCCCGCTGCTCCCCTCAGCAGTGTGCTTCGGTCCTTCTGCCTGCTCTGCTCCCTGCTCTGGCTCTGGTGAATTCTCTCACCCTCCCGCGCTTCTGACTGTACCCAGTGCTTGTATAAACAAAACAAATAAATAAATAAATAAATAAATAATCTAAAAAAAAAACTTTAAAAAAAAAAAAAAAAAGAAAATTGAGAACAGCACCGAGCACAAACTGGGCAGAGTGCTAGTTGTCTGCAGCCGGATCGTAGCCCTGTTACACCTGAAGGAGACCCAAGCGAGAGAATGCCCCGTTTCCAGAGTCTTCATTGTAATCAGACAGACAAGAGGTGACTTGCGGTCATGCAATCCAGAGGTGCCGTCCTCCCCTGCCAAGTCCAGTTTGCACCATTGCACAACAGCCACACACATTCCCAAACAAAATATGACCATTCTGCAGCTAACCATTGGGCATTCCCCCCGCAGTGCATGCCAGAGCTCTGCTAGCAAACCTGAAATAATGGAAATCTAAAAGTGCCACGGATGCTCGCAGCCAATGCAACCCGCACAATCACGCTTCCCGTGCTCGCCCGCTCCCCCTCAGATCCCGGGGTGAGAGCTCGCGTCTTCTATTTCCGAACGCGAAGTGCAGGAAAGACGCGCCGGAGAACAGGGGCTCTTCACAACTCTTGAAGGAAAAAAAAAAAAAAAAAAAAAAAAAAAAAGAGAGCGAGAAAACAGTCGTCACGAACAGGATTCGAACCTGTGCGGGGAAACCCCATTGGATTTCGAGTCCAACGCCTTAACCACTCGGCCACCGTGACTTCCAAAACCACCTTCCGCCGCGCGCGTACAGGAGGGTCCGCGCGCGACCCGGGCGGGCGTGTCCCCGCGCGGCCGGACCCCGACCCGCGCGCCCCTCCCCGGCGCCCCTCGCCCCCTCGCCCCTCGGGAGAGTCCAGCGGCCGGGGCGCCCGGGGAGGGGTCCCCGCTCGGCGGAGCGGGCCTCGGGGAGCCCAGACCGACCCGGGAGACGGCGCGGGCGCCCGGGGGAGCCGGCGGGGGGGCCCCGGGTGCCGGCGGGAAACCCCCGGGCCGCGAGGTAAGGGGTCCGGCGGGCCGGGGCCCCCGCCAGGGGCGAGGCGCTCCGCGCGAGGGGCGTCCTGGGGCGGGGGAGACCCTCCCCGGGGCGGCCTCGGGTCCTGGGCCCCGGGGCTGCGGGGCCGCGCCCCTGAGGCGCCCCGTGGGCCGCGGGGCCGGCGCCGCTCCCGGGCGGGCGGGCGGCGCGAGGAGCCCGGGCGGGGAGCGCGGGCGCCCCCTCCAGGGAGGAGCCGCGCCCCAGGCCCCGCCGCCGCCGCGGCCGGGGAGGCCCCGGGGCCGGCCCGCGCGGGGCGCTCCGAGGCCCGGCCGGCCGGCAGGGGGCGCTCCGCGGGCCGGGGCCGGCCCAGCGGCGGGAGGCGGCGGCCGCGGCGGCGGGCGGCGGCGGGAGGCGGGCGGAGGAGGCGGCGCGGAGGCGGGAGCTGCGCTGAGCGGGGCGGGCGGCGGCGGGGCCCGAGCCCGAGAAGATGGCGGTGCGGAAGAAGGACGGCGGCCCCAACGTGAAGTACTACGAGGCCGCGGACACCGTGACCCAGTTCGACAACGTGCGGCTCTGGCTCGGCAAGAACTACAAGAAGGTAGGCGGCGCGCCGCGCGGGCCCGGGGGACAAAGGGCCGCGGCCCCGGCGCCCCGAGCCGGCCCCGAGCCGGCGGCCCGCGCCCCTCCCCCGGCCGCCGGGCGGCCCCGCGCCCCCCGCGCCCCGCCGGCCGCCCCCGCGGCGGCGCCGACCCCGCCCCGCCCCCACCGCCGCGCCGGTGCCCGGGCCGCCCGCCGCGCCCGCGGGTCCGGCCCCGCCGCCCGCCCGCCCGCCCCGTCCCGAGCCGCCGCCTTCGGGCCTTTCCGGGCGAGCCGCCGCGGGTGAAGGGGCGCAGAAGGGGCGCCCCGCGCGCACGGCGTGCCCGCCACGGTGCCCGCCGGGGCGCCCCAGGAGCCAGGTGCCGGCGGCCGAGGCCTCCCCGGGCTTTGTGTGCGGAGAGATGCTGCGGGCAGGACGACGGCGGCCCCGCAGCCGGGCCCGGGCTCGCGTCGGCCGGGCGAGGCCCCCGCCCGGGGCCACCTGTCTCTCCTGCTCGCCCCCGCCGCTCCCGGGGCTGCCCTTCCCTCCCTGGCGCCCGGGCCTGGGAGTTCTGGGCAGTGGCCCCTTTTAAAATCGCCCCTCGGCTTCCCAGTGCAGCGGCCCCACCGCCTGGCCGTGGGTTTGGGGTTTGGAGGCTCGGGCAGTTTTGTGTCTCTGGCCCCCACCCCGTAACTGGAAAAATAAGGTGGTGAACAAAGGGCTCAGGAAGCCTCACCTGTCCCTTTTTACCGAATCTCTTCCTGGTGGTGTCTTTGTGTGCAGGCCTGGTTGACAAGAACGTCCATGCATGGGATTTTTCTCGGGAGATGGTCTGCCTTTCTGCTAATCCCAGTTAGGGCTACTCCCTCTGGCTTTCCTCCTGCTCGCCAGGTCTTCCTGCCCCGCTTTGCAGCCTGTGGGAAGAGTGCCTGGGGGTGAGAAGATTGCCCCCCTGGTCCTGGCTGTGAGACTGGCCCTGTTCTCTGGATGTCTGGATGTCAGGATCCTGACAGATAGTTGCTGGGTCTGTGATTTGTCTGGACCCCAGCATGAGCCTCTGGTTCCCAGGCTTCTACCTTTGACCTTTCGGAAGAGACATCAGTCCCGGGGCTTAGTTTCTGGCCCCGGGGGATTGACAGCCTGTGACCCTGTGTAGCTCTCAAGCTCTTAGCTCTTTGTCGTGTACCTTTTCCTTCTGGGATCTCTTTACACCTCTCTGTGATTAGGGTTAAGGATCAGGGGTCAAAAGGAAAAGAGAAAGTTAGCCTCCTGGCTCACTTTTAAATTAGAATCAAAGTCTAGGATGCTAAGTAGCACATGCTGTGCTGTGTCTGAGGAGACCTGGGGTCTGCTTGTCTCAGATGCAGTGTCTTCAGAAAGTACAGCCGGCTTGCTCTTCCTCACCGGACTGGGTGCTGGGTGGTAACTGGTCCGTCCCACTGAGGAGACTTTCCAAGACACTCTGTGCCCAGTCCTAGCTGAAGCAGGATGCACGACTCCCTCTCAGTCTGTTACCCCACCTTGCTTCCTTGCACCTCTGTTAGGCTACATTGTAGGGGGAGTCTCCGTCTTTTACAGTTTCCAAGAAATACACTGTTCTCTCACTCAGAACCTCAAAGATATTGTTTCCATGGCCTGAACTCAGTGAGCATTCAAAATATCACAGCCCTCAGTGCTCTGGGCTAGAGATCAGGTTCCTGCAACTCCAGTTTCAGGGCATGGCTGAAGGAGAGCAGGAAGCCCCCAGCACCCAACAGCCTGCGCTGATGGCAGCAGAATTTCACCTTCCTGGTGGGCTTCCAGGGCCTTGCTTCTGCTGCTTGCTTTCTAGAGAACTAGACATACGGGAAAGAAGACTCTATATGCTTTTCCCGGGAAGCATCTAGAGCTCCCGAGGAAGAAATAAGAGAGACGGTGGACGTTTTATCTGGAGGTCTATTTTTCTCTTTCCCTCTATTTCCCTAGTATATACAAGCTGAACCACCCACCAACAAGTCCCTGTCTAGCCTGGTTGTACAGTTGCTACAATTTCAGGAAGAAGTTTTTGGCAAACATGTCAGCAATGCACCGCTCACTAAACTGCCGGTGAGTGAAAAAGTCGGGGAGAATCCTCCAAACTGGAGAGTTGTTTTGCCTTTTTGTAAATTTCATCATTTCCTACTGTTCCTGTCTCTGGTCAGGCCATTGCTGGCTTGGCCTGACCCCCGATTTAGTTTTCCCTTTCTCTTAGTAATACTTTGTGCGGCGGGAATCTCAGAGTGCCTGAGTTCTGTACATGCAACTCGTGGCCAGGTTAAAAGGTATGAGGTTGGGATTTGCACAGGCTTGTGTTCAAATCCTGGTCCTGCCACTTGGTGTCTCTGATCTTGGGTGAGCCATTTCAACCTCTAAATCTTGGTTCCTTCATCTCTAGCTGGAATTAATATCCCTGCTTTGGAGGGTTTCTGTAATGGTTGATGAGAGAGCCCTGTAAAGTGCTTGGCACAAGATGGGACTTTGCAAGTGTTGGTTTCTTTCACTCCCTCTTCCCACCCACGTGATACGGTGGCATGGAGGTTAAAGAATTCCAGTTTTGAGAGGGACATCGCTTCAGCGTGGGATTTTATGAAAGGATTGCTAAGTAATAAGAGAATTTAGGATATAACTCTCACGTACTTCTTCTCTGTCTCAATTTTGTAGATCAAATGTTTCCTAGATTTCAAAGCAGGAGGCTCCCTGTGCCACATTCTTGCAGCTGCCTACAAATTCAAGAGTGACCAGGGATGGTGAGATGTCTTCTCTCTATGCTGCTTACATTTAGTTTAAAGGGAATCCACCCTTATGATTCCCTGGGGTCTTTCTAGGGGAGTGGGGGAGAGCATAGGTAGACATTCTTGAGAGTCTCTTACTTCCGTAGGTAGGTAGCCCTGTCAGGCAGACCTGACTTACTGGGTCAGAAGAATGGCTGAGAGTCAGAGCCAGAATATTTTCCGAGTGTGGAGAGTATGTGTTGTGTGTGTCATTGTGTGTGTCGTAGAGGAGAAGGGATTCTTAGATTGCCATCCCAAGCTTTTCTTTGTCCTTTTGGACTAAGTTCTAAGTGATTCGTGGAGTTGAGATCAGTGAACCCCAGATCCTAGGTGGTTTTGACAACGCTGTGAGAAAATCACCTCCTAATTTCCCACGTTAAAACGTGACATACCCTCACTTCCTCCCCAGGCCCGAGCTGTGCCACTCACTAAATTATTGCTTCTTTACAAGGCGGCGTTACGATTTCCAGAATCCATCACGCATGGACCGAAACGTGGAAATGTTCATGACCATTGAGAAGTCTTTGGTACAGGTAAGAGCCAAGAACCTCCACCATCCAGCTCTCGTCCTCCAGTGGGAACCCGAAACACCCATTTCCCATCATCTCATTCCTTCTGTTTCTTCTCCCCACAGAATAATTGCCTGTCGCGACCTAACATCTTTCTGTGCCCAGAAATTGAACCTAAACTCCTAGGGAAGTTAAAGGACATTATCAAGAGACACCAGGTGAGTGGGTGGGTCGGGAGAGGTGTCAGAAAGTCCATGTCTTTCCCTGGTATTTTCCATCCAAGAAGCAGCCCAGGGCCATGTTTTCTGCTGCACAGGCAGCTCTGCCTCCTTGGGAAAGACTAGCGTTAAAGTCTTCAGCCACTCTTTTCCTATATTTTTTCCCCATTTTCCTGCCTTAATTTTTAAAAATTTTCTTCAATCTGTCATTTTTCTGTCATTTCTATATTTTCTCCCTTATATACCCTTGACCCCTCCCCCCCACCTGAAACACCTCTGTTCAGTTGTCAGTGTCTTCTAGTTTATAGCGATTTTGCTGTGTTAGTCCATCTGCTTTGTTTCCCTTCATCACTCCTGTATGTCTACTCGTGCAGTGTTTGTCTTTATTCTTCTGGCTTATTTTGCTTTGATAGTCCCCCTCATTCCTTCCATTTGGCTATAAATGGTAGCGTTTCATCTTTCCTTACAGTGGAATAGTTTTCCATGTGTGGACATAGCACATCTTCTTGACCAGTCCTCTCTCAGTGGACACCTGGGTTGCTCCCGTATCCTAGCTGTTGCCATTTCCCTGACTTAACAGGTCGGATCACTGTTCCTCGAGAGACTGCCTTGGCCAGGGGCTGGGGGTGGTAGAGCAGAGCGGAGGGAACGTCTGCTTCCACTGAGCCAGACATTGCCTGATTTCAGATGAATGAAATCCGTGCTCTCTAAAATTCTAGAATAATAAGCAGATGTCATTGCTGGGGACATACAGCTGACCTTCCATTTCCCATGTGTAGATTGTTTACTCAAAAGATTATTTGTAGCAATTTTTAATTCTCTGATTTTTTGCCACTATTAGCAAAACCTCAGCTGTTTCCCTCTGCCATTCAGCTAGTCTGTGCTTAAACAAAGCAACCTGACCTTACTATTCTGAGCAAAATGTAAATAGGGAGGCAGATGTGTGGTTGAATCGTACTTTCATTTACTTACACCCATGAGTAATTTAGAAATAACCATAAATTTCCTGCTTCTCCTGTGCCATCCAGGGAACAGTCACCGAGGATAAAAACAATGCCTCCCATGTTGTGTATCCTGTCCCAGGGAACCTGGAAGAAGGTGAGCCCTGGGTTTTCCTGGCCTGAGCAGGGGATGACTAGATTAGGAAACGGAAGGCTGCTCCTAGCCCGTGCACTACCGGGGCACCTCTCCCTGCTCCCCCTGCCATCTTACCCCGCTGTTTCCAGGTCCCCTGCTGCAACAGGAGCTTTGTACAGTGTTACTTTTTGTGTACCCCTTCACCTGATATCTCTCCCTTTTCTGTTTCTGTCTCCAGAGGAATGGGTCCGACCAGTCATGAAAAGGGATAAACAGGTTCTTCTGCACTGGGGCTATTATCCTGATAGGTGAGGATGGGTTCCTGGCAGAGTAAGAAGGCACCTTTGGGGATTATTTTTAGGTCTGTTCATTTGTTCTCGTCCCTTCTGTTATGTGAGTCCTCTGTCTCGGGGAAGCTCAGACTTCCTGAATGAGAATTAGGTTAAAAGAATTTGGCACCTTATCTATGAAATGGTTATCCAATATACTTTTTTGTTTTTAAAGATTTATTTATTTATGCATACAAGAACTGGGGTGTAAGCCAGAGGTGGTGGGGCGATGGTGAGAGGATTTACCAGAGAGAGTAGGGAACAGAACAGGCAGATCTACTGAAATACACTGCTCAGGGGAGCAGCGGGTGAGACAAGAGAGGTCTGCTACACCTCCCTGGCTGGCCAGGGATTGAACTCGAGCAGCAGTAGCTGGCAGTAGCCTGATAGCACTGTCTTGTACCCTTGAGCCACCAGGGAGGCCCCCAGTATAATTTTTTTTAAGATTTATTTATTTTTGCACACAAGAGCTGGTGTACAGGCCAGAGGTGTCGAGGGTGAGAGGATTTACCAGAGACAGAGGGGGGAACAGAACAGACAGACTGACCGAAATACACTGCTGAGGGGCCCAGTGGGCAAGACAGGAGAGGTCTGCTGCACCATGTGGTTTGCTCCCTGACCGGAGATCGAACTTGTGCTGCAGAGGCTGTGGATTGTTTCATAGTGCTGTGCTTAACCCCTTGCGCCACCAGGGAGGCCCCTCTCTCTCCTCTATTTTTGAAATATTTTGTAATTGCTTTTGTTGCTTTATAGTGAAAAAGCAATATTAATTGGAAAGATAGTCATACCGAAAAATAACCCAGTAACCCAGTACTTTTTGTAAATGGAAAATGTGGAAGATTTGCACTTTACTTTTCCACAGTCCCATCCCATTAATTCTGCTTTACACGCAATTTCCCATGGCAGTTACGACACATGGATCCCAGCCAGTGAAATTGAAGCATCTGTGGAAGATGCGCCAACTCCTGAGAAACCTAGGAAGGTGAGTGTGTCTTGTCCCCCCATCCCAAGAAGAATGCCAGGACCAGACCATTTCTTGGAGGCGAAGCAAAGACTCTTAATGCCCGTAGGCTGTTGTGTTGCGGTCCCCAGACGGTGCTGTGCAGGAGAGCTCTAGCAGGGCCCGCCTTTGCACTTTAGGTTCACGCAAAGTGGATCCTGGACACTGACACCTTCAATGAGTGGATGAACGAGGAAGACTATGAAGTAAATGATGACAAAAACCCCGTCTCCCGCCGGAAGAAGATTTCAGCCAAGACATTGACAGATGAGGTGAAAATCTTCTTTTTCTTTCCTTAATCCCATAGCATAATTTCAGAATAAGGTTTCATTGGGGGTTGCTGGCTAACATTTGCCCACTTCTCCAGGTGAACAGCCCGGATTCAGATCGACGGGACAAGAAGGGGGGGAACTATAAGAAGAGGAAACGCTCCCCCTCCCCTTCACCAACTCCAGAAGCTAAAAAGAAAAATGCTAAGAAAGGGTATGCTGGCTGCTGCCTGCCCCTGCGGCAGCCCTCTCTGCACAGCCTGCGAAAGGGAGACAACTCTCTTCCCATAACCACCGGGCTCTGACCAAGGTGTCCTGAGAGGGAGGATGAGACGGTCTCTTCTAGAAGGTCCCTGTTACTCTAATCCCAGCCACTAGTAAAGAGAATTTAGTCTCCCAGTGAAAGGCCTTTGCCACTTCCCATGACTTTGTAGCAGTCTGGTTTCTGGAGTGCTCACATTCACCCATGCAGTTCTTTCATGCTTCCCTTCCCTTGAACTTCAGCTTCCAGGGACTTCTGGTCCAAGGGTGATGGGGTTCTCATTCATTTTCTTTCCTTCCCAGCCCCTCAACACCTTACACCAAATCAAAGCGTGGGCACAGAGAAGAAGAACAAGAAGATCTGACAAAGGACATGGATGAGCCCTCACCAGTTCCAAATGTGGAAGAGGTGACATTGCCCAAAACAGGTAGGGGCCAGGCCACCCTCCCGGGACCCAGCCCCACACCTTGTCCTGCTCCTACCGTGTCAAACCCCCCAAGTGAACTGATTTCCCAGCCCCAGATTTGGTGGAGATTTGCCTTCAATGTACCCGGGTATTGACACTGTTTTCGTCACCGTCACAACCTTCTGCCTTCATGTCCATATCTGAATTGGGGACTATGCTTTGCAGTGGATGGCTGTTGTCTCCAAGGTTTTTGTTTGTTTTTAAATTGAAGTTACATTAGTTTATACCATTATATAGGTTTCAGGTAGACCGCCTTATAAATCAATACTTCCATATCCAATCTCTCTTTTTTTTTTAAAGATTTATTCATTTATGCGTGTAAGAGCTGGGGTGCAGGCCAGAGGTGTGGGCAGGGAGGATTGGTAAGAGGAATCAGAGTGGGGAGCAGAACAGGCTGATCTACTGAAATTCACTGCTGAGGGGAGCAGCGGGGAGACAGGAGAGGTCTGCTGTGCCCCAGGCTCCCTGCCTGGGAATCGAACTTGTGCTGCAATGGCTGTGAATAGCTTCACAGTGCTAAGACTTTTAACCCCTTGCGCCACCAGGGAGGCCCTCCAAACTCTTTTTGATTATGTATTCCCATCAAATATTTGACAACAAATTATATTATGTGTACTATTAAATCACTACTTTTGGATCATTATAAAACACAAATATTATCTAAAATGTGGCAAGGATAAAATGGAAAAACAAAGAGAGGCCCTGATACCCTGTGCCTCTACCCGGAGGACTGTCTTTTCCACCTGGCGTGAGAGCCCCACTTTGGAGACCAGTGCTCTGCAATACTGGTCTGTGTTCCACAGACTTGCTGCAATACACAGCCTGTGTTCCACAGACTTGCTGCAAGTATTATTCAGGGTTGTATCTTATGGGTGGGGTTGTCGGGAGCCATTGAGAGAGAGTCAGTGTGGCTTCCACCTCCTCATCAATCAAAACTGCTCTTGTTTCTAGCTGAATTTTCTCCCAAGCTTCTGTGTATAAATTCAGTTGAAGAAATTCATCTGCTTTCAAAATGTTTGTAAGATCCAGCCACTCCTCTACAGAGTGAACTAGTCATTCTTCCTCTGTCCATTAAGAACTTACAGATATGGGGCCTCCCTGGTGGCTCAAGGGGTTAAGTCTCAGCACTATGAAGCTATCTGCAGCCACTGCAGCACGAGTTCGATCCCCAGCCAAGGAGCTACCCACTTTGTGCAGCAGACTTCTCCTGCCTCTCCCGCTGCTCCTCTCAGCAGTGTATTTCAGTAGATTCACTTGTTTTGTTCCTCACTTTATCTGTGGTGAATCCTCTTTCCTCCCCCTACCTCTGGCCTACACCCCAGCTCTTGAATGCATAAATTAATGGATCTTTAAAAAAAAGAGGGGGCCTCCCTGGTGGCACAGGGGGTTAAGACACAACCTATGATGCTATCCACAGCCACTGTAGCACGAGTTCGATCCCTGGCCAGGGAGCTACCCACATGGTGCAGCAGACCTCTCCTCTCTCCTGCTGCTCCCCTCAGCAGTGTATTTCAGTCAGTCTGCCTGTTCTGTTCCCTACTCTGTCTTCAGTGAAGCCTCTCACCCCCACACCTCTGGCCTGTACCCCAGTTCTTGTATGCAAAATAAGTAAATCTTTAAAAAAAAAAAAAAGAACTTAGAGATAGTAGTATAAGGAAAGGAAAATGCTTCTTTATAGGAGGAGTAAAATTAAATGACTTTTTGGTTGTCAAAAGGGGGAAAGTAGCAAGTGAGTTTTAAGCCCTGGGAGGATTGTGACTAGAGGAAGTTACGCATTTCTGTCACCAGATGGAGAAAGTTTTGTAGAAAGTGAGCTCTCTAGAACTGTTGACAGTGGTGATGTGAGAACTTGATTTTGGCAGAAGCTGTCTGATAAAATGACTTTTCTCTGGCAGTCAACACTAAGAAGGACTCAGAGTCAGCCCCGGTCAAAGGAGGCACCATGACTGACCTGGGTAAGACGGGGAGCCTTGGGCAAGGTCAGCAGAGCCCCAGCAGGGGACTCAGCTGCGCTTTTCCCTCCAAAGACTCTATTTTGTTGTGTTTACTTTCAGATGAACAGGAGGATGAAAGCATGGAGACCACGGGCAAGGTAGAGCCAGTTTAGAGAGGCCTCCCTCTCTACGTGATTCTGATTTGTGATTATAAAGTGCCCCCGCCAGGGCTGCTATTACCCAGGCCTTTCCCACCCGAGGCTAATTCTAGCTGTTGCTCAGAACTCTGACCCTTTTAGATCGGGGGCCCTGTTCATTCCCGTGCCCACCTTTAGTGGCCGCATTTCTGGGGTTTAGGAGAAACAGAGGGTTGCTAAGGGCAAAATGGGAATGCTGGGTGTCCAGTAGCCTCTGTACTCTTAGGATGAGGATGAGAACAGTACGGGGAACAAGGGGGAGCAGACCAAGAATCCAGACCTGCATGAGGACAATGTGACCGAGCAGACCCACCACATCATCATCCCCAGCTATGCTGCCTGGTTTGACTATAATAGGTACTGTGGCTTTAACTCCTCGCTGAATCCTTGCTTTCATGCCTGGGTAGGGGGTGAGCGTGTCAGTGTGTGGCCCCTCTTCCTGCCTCCAGGTGAGTTTGCTTCTCCTTCAGCCCTAAAGACCAGGGCACGCTGCAGTTTAGGAGAACTCCTGGTCGCTAAGTCTTCCAGCCCTAGCGGGCTTCTCCCCAAGTGCCTTCCCTCCTGCAGTCTCCACCTAGTTAACCTCCCCCTAGGTTCTTCCTTTTCTGGCCTTCCCATCTCTCCACTGGCTCCTCTGAGTCCACGTTGGCTTTTTTTGCAGTGTTCATGCCATTGAGCGGCGGGCTCTCCCCGAGTTCTTCAACGGCAAGAACAAGTCCAAGACTCCGGAAATGTAAGGCTCTCAGCGGCGGTTCCCTCTCTCCTTCCTGTCCCTGTTCACCCTTCCCGATCTAGCAGCATTCAGCAGCTGAATTCTTGAGCTACTGCTGTGGGCCAAGCACTGTCCTCAGCTTACAAGAGACACGATCTCTTCCCACGGGCAGCACTGTGACCGCAGTAGCATGCTCTCTGGGATTCACCCAGGGGTGGTACTAAGCATGTTCTTCCGTACAAAGGTACCTGCGCCAGCGTCTCCAATCTCTTATTAGGGTGCAGAACTCTGTAATCTGTGATTGTCCATGTTGTCCCAAATGCAGATATCCCTCGCGTAAATGTTAGCTTTGAAAAGAATATAAAATAATTTTACCAGGCTGGTTCCTAGAGTAGGTAATGACAGGAAATAGGAGCGAAGGGACTGCGAAGACCCCAGGCAGTGAGGGGGTACGGAGAGGACGCTCTGGGAGAGCAGAGTTACGTGAAATGCAGCTTTAAGGCTCAGAAGCTGTCCTCACCACCTCTCGTCCGGGGTATTCCCTCAGGCTAAGCCTACTCCCCTTGGACAAGGTTTGGTGATGTGTGGTTCAGATCCATGGGGTGGCGAGGAGGCTGAGACTTAGTGCCGCGCCGTGGCTCCTGCTAAGCACTGAATGGCCTCTCTCCCGGCTGCCTCACTTCCTCTCCTTGGGGTCACCCTCCTTTCCCGCCCAGTTTCTTTCCTTGTGTCTCATACCGTTCGCGCCTCTTGCTTGGCCAAGCAGGGTGTGTGAGAGAGAGGAGTAGTGAACAGACAATATGAATTCTACTTGAGATGTGGGCAGGGTGAGACGTGGACAGGGTTAGAACTAGAATGCATGCTTTGCAGTACGTCTCCCAAGCACTAGGTGCCCTGTCTGGAGGACTAATCCTCACATCCACTTTCCAGGTAGTTTCCTTATATCAGTTTGCTGATTAGGAAATTGAATTAGGATCAGTCACTTGCTTAAGGTCACACAGCTACTAAACAGTAAACTTTGCATCTGAAACCTTTTTCTAGCTCATGTTCATAAACTTTACACTATTTCGCACAACAACTACCATTTTTTGAGCATCTACAATATCTCTGACACTAGTAGGTCTTCCCAGACCTTTCTAATCCTCAACAGATACTCCGTTTTACAGATGAGAAAACAGAGTTTCAAAAATTTAAGTAACTTGGGCTTCCCTGGTGGTGCAAGGGGTTAAGACGCAACCTATGAAGCCATCCGCAGCCACTGCAGCGTGAGTTTGATCCCCGGCAGGGAGCAACCCACATGGCACAGCAGACCTCTCCTGACTCTCCCGCTGCTCCCCTCAGCAGTGTATTTCACTCAATCTGCCTGTTCTGTTCCCTGCTCGGTCTCTGGTGAATCCTCTCACCCCCCGCGTCTGTACCCCAGTTCTTGTATGCATAATAAATAAGTCTTTTTTTAAAAAAATTAAGTAACTTGCTGATATGAACTTAGATTTCTTTTTTTTAAGAATTGCTAATTCTTTTTTTTTTTTTTTTTTTAAGATTTATTTATTTATACAAGCACTGGGTACAGTCAGAAGCGCGGGAGGGCGAGAGAATTCACCAGAGCCAGAGCGGGGAGCAGAGCAGGCAGAAGGACCGAAGCACACTGCTGAGGGGAGCAGCGGGCGGCAGGAGAGGTCTGCGCGCCATGTGGGACCCTCCTCCGGTGGCCGGGGAGCAGCTGGGGATCGAACCGGCGCCGCAGAGGCCGCGGGCAGCTTTGCAACCGCTCAACCGCTGCGCCACCGGGAAGGCCCTGAACTTAGATCTTTCTACCTTCAAAATGTTTATATTCTGTCCTGCTGGTTGGCCTCCTAGACAGGACTTCCCTTTAATTTAACATCTGATTTGGAAATAAGGGCACTTTTTCTTACATTTTGATTTTGCATTGGATGAAACATCTCCAGGTACAGTCAAAGAGGTAATTCGTTTCACTGAAAATCCATCAAGGAAATGGATTTTTGCAAAACCCATCAAGGATGCAAGGCCAAGCGCCTTGTCCAGCCTGTGGTAGACAGTGTTTGGTTAAACGAGCCATTCTTTGCTGAAGTCTTTTCTGCACAGAAGTCATTAGCACTTTATTATTTTTCCTCTTCAGCCTTCATGTCTTCAACAGACACTTACTTTTCTTCCTCTCGTTCATCTCTCTGCTAAGCTACCTGGCCTATCGAAACTTCATGATTGACACTTACCGGCTGAACCCCCAAGAGTATCTCACCTCCACCGCCTGCCGCAGGAACCTGGCAGGTGATGTCTGTGCCATCATGAGGTGGGTCTCAGCTGAGGGGAGGAGGTCCGTGAGGGTGGCTGCCCATGCGGATTACAGCAAGGAGCATAGGGGAGTGAGAAGGAAAAAGCACCTGTAGAGAAAGGCAGAGTGCAGGTTTGGCGTGTGAGTGACTGGAGGGAGTAGGAAAGGCATTCTCTCGAGTGCAGAATAAAGGAGAAAACGTGTCTGTGGTTGAGGGAGACTGGTTCAGTTTTGCTGGCTGTCCAGAGGACAGGGTTAGCAGGTGGGTGGATAGGGAGAGGTCCAAGATGGAGATGTGGCTTTGGGTGTCACTGGCCTTGGGTGTCAGTGGTGGGAGGAGATGGGATTTCATAGGGAAGGAGCAGGGGAGGAGGCCAGGGGAGAGGGCACTTTACATCCCCACCTCTGTGCCCCTCCTTCCTCCTCCCCATCTTTCTTGCTTTCCCGCATAACCCCGTCTTTGCCTTTCCTAGGGTCCATGCCTTCCTAGAGCAGTGGGGGCTCATTAACTACCAGGTGGATGCTGAGAGTCGACCAACCCCAATGGGGCCTCCCCCCACCTCCCACTTTCATGTCTTGGCGGACACGCCATCAGGGCTGGTGCCTCTGCAGCCCAAGACCCCGCAGGTAGGGTGAGGGGCTGTGGGGAAGGGATGGGTTGGGTCAAATTGGGCTTCTTTGGACTTTTCTTTTTCTGGTTTTTTAGGGTAATGTTCAGGAGTGCTTTCAGATTTCTTCCTTTTCTGTGAGATGCAAAGGGTCGTAGGAATCAGCCCCTTCTGCCTAGCACCCTCGCTCAGCCTCTGAACCTAAGACTGTGAGGACATGCTGAGGGAGGAGAGATGCTTCTTGTCCTCAGAGCGGCCAGGCTAATGTAGGGGGTGGAACAGACAGTGAAAAATGCTTAAAATTAAGTTGCATGAAATTTTTAAACTTTTATCACGTATCCAACATTTTTTCATTTTTGCTTCATAATTATTACCACTTCCATTTTTTGATTCCACCTCCATTTCATACATTAAGTTAAGAGGATTACGTGGCTTGCCCAAACTCACAGAGTGCCAGAACTAGGATTAGAGCCTACTTGTCCAGCTCCTTAAAGAGCCTGTAACGATACATGTAACACAACTGGAGATCATGCCAACTGAGGATCCAGTCATTAAGGAACCATGAAACAGTGGCATGAGTGCCCCCAGAGCTTGTGGCTCACCTGGCATTGGCCTTGAGGCCTCCACAGCCTCGGCCAGGTCATTTTCTGCCCAGCCTCCGTGACGCCAAGCTCTGTCCCCCAGGGCCGCCAGGTTGATGCTGATACCAAGGCTGGGCGAAAGGGCAAAGAGCTGGATGACCTGGTGCCAGAGACGGCTAAGGGCAAGCCAGAGCTGGTAGGTGGGATGTAGACCCCGCTGGGCTTTTTTGCCCCTTTATTGGGGGGCCCCTGCCCGGGAAGAAGAGACATGAGCACAGAGGAGCTGCAGCAATAAGGGAGGAAGTCCCACCAGGGGCGTCCCTGGCTTTGGGAAGGAAGCTCCTTCTGTCTTTCCTCTCTCTGTCCTCCCCTAACTCCCCGCGGCCACTCGTACTCACCTCTTTTTTCCCTCCACACATAGCAGACATCTGCTTCCCAGCAAATGCTCAACTTCCCTGACAAAGGCAAAGAGAAACCGACCGACATGCAGAACTTCGGGCTACGCACAGACATGTACACCAAGAAGAATGTCCCTTCCAAGGTACAGCAGGGCGGGCTGGCTTCGTTCTAGAGCCTTGCACCTCAGAGGCCCAGGCTCCTCTCTCTGACCCTCCTGTGTTTCCCATGCAGAGCAAAGCTGCAGCCAGTGCCACTCGCGAGTGGACAGAGCAGGAGACCCTGCTGCTCCTGGAGGTAATTGGGGCAAGAAAGGAGAGTTCTGTGCAAAGTAACCAGGGTGCCAACTGCAGCTCTGAGTAGGGAGAGCAGGATCTTGGCCCCCAACCTCTCCGCTTCTCACTGCCCAGCGCACCTGCCCCAGGAGACAGCTCTCAGCCAGGGATTTGGCCATTTCATTAATTCCGTATCCCTCCTCAGAGCTTCTTGGACGTTCCCCTGGGATCCAGCAGAGTATACAAACAGGACACAGACAGTTTTGAAGCCAGCTAACTTAGTAGACTAGTAGCTAAGTAAGCAAAGTTGTGTCTCCACCACCACCCAGGCACTGGAAATGTACAAAGACGACTGGAACAAAGTATCAGAGCACGTTGGAAGCCGCACCCAGGATGAGTGCATCTTGCATTTTCTTCGTCTTCCCATTGAAGACCCTTACCTAGAGGACTCAGAGGCCTCGCTGGGCCCCCTGGCCTACCAGCCTATCCCCTTCAGTCAATCAGGCAATCCTGTCATGAGCACTGTTGCCTTCCTGGCATCTGTCGTTGATCCCCGAGTTGCCTCTGCTGCCGCGAAGTCAGCCCTAGGTAATGTGGCAGGACCCTGGCCTGCTTAGTTTGTATCTCAGGGGCTTGTCACTCAGACCTTGAAGCCCCATCAAGTTTCGGTGCCCTGCTGGCCTTGCCTGCTGCTGGCTCAGCGCACTCCCTGCTGGCCCAGGTGGCGAGATGGGCTTGTGAGGATGCTTTCCCAGGGATAGCCAGAACTTGCCCACTCCCTCTCATCCTCTCTGGTCTTGCAGAAGAGTTCTCCAAAATGAAGGAAGAGGTGCCCACAGCCTTGGTGGAGGCTCATGTTCGGAAAGTGGAAGAAGCAGCCAAAGTGACAGGCAAAGCAGATCCAGCCTTTGGCCTGGAGAGCAGTGGCATTGCAGGGACCACCTCTGATGAGCCTGAGCGGATTGGTAAGGCCCAGCAAGTGGCTCATTCCTCTCCTCACCCGGGGCCTGGCTCCGCTGTGCCATCCCTGCTCAGAGCTCCCCTCAGCGCAACGGGAATGGGGGGCATTGGTGGGTCCTTATTTCCCCACAGCTTTACCTAGGGACTGTGGTCCCCAGCTGGCCCTCTCACTGAGATGCTCTAGGAGGAGAGGCAGTGGGGAAGGTGTCGTAGAGACAGACTCTGTATCAGGCGTTCCCCATTTCCTCTTCCCACGGGCCCAGAGGAGAGTGGGACTGAAGAGGCGCGGGCAGAGGGCCAGGCCACGGAGGAGAAGAAGGAGCCCAAGGTACAGTGGCGCGCCCCGGGGCCGGGCGGGTGGGGGCCAGGCGCGGGGAGCTGCCGTGGTTGGCCTGCCTGCTGGAGCCAGATGGCCCCCGAGGAAGAGCCGGCCACCCTGACCTTCCCTGCTCTTCTTCCACTGGGACTTCAGGAGCCCCGAGAAGGAGTTGGGGCTGGCGAGGAAGAAGCAAAGGAAAAAGCCAGCGAGGCGCCCAAGAAGGATGAGGAGAAGGGGAAGGAGGGCGACAGTGAGAAGGAGTCAGAGAGGAGCGAGGGGGACCCGGCAGGTGAGCCTCCCGCCACAGCGCCGGCTCCAGGCGCAGGCCTGAGGATAACGCGGCCCTTTCTTGGCCCAGGTGACGCTGAGAAAGAGAAGGAGCCGAAGGACGGGCAGGAGGAAGTGCTGAAGGAAGTGGTGGAGTCGGAGGGAGAAAGGAAGACGAAGGTGGAGCGCGACATCGGGGAGGGCAATCTCTCCACTGCCGCCGCCGCCGCCCTGGCTGCCGCCGCCGTGAAGGCCAAGGTGATGCCGGCCCAGAAGCCCCCCGGGAAGGGGCTGCGCTGTCCCTGGCTCCCTCACCCGGAGCGCTTCCTCCCCCCTGACGCAGCACTGGCCTCTTGCGTTGGTTTCGGTCCCGAGTTGGTCTCTTTTCTAAGCTTTTTCCGGCTTTTGCCACTGAGCCTGTTTTCTCCCCTCTAATTACTTGAGCGTCTTACCCTTCGCCGCGCTCTGTTTCTCTGCGTTCTTTAAAAAATATCCTTCTTTACTACTCTCTCGCTCTGGGTTGTGACCACAGCAAGTTTTTCATAAAACCTGCCTGCCTTCCCCTCCCTGGGGAATGTCTTCAGTGGTGTCCCCACAATCACAAGCTGCCCCCCACTCACGTGCGTTCCTCCCCACTCACGTGCTGTTCCCTCCCACTCACGAGCTGTCCCGCCTGCCTTTCCTAGCACTTGGCTGCTGTTGAGGAGAGGAAGATCAAGTCCCTGGTGGCCCTGCTGGTGGAGACCCAGATGAAAAAGTTGGAGATCAAACTCCGGCACTTTGAGGAGTTGGAGACGATCATGGACCGGGAGCGAGAAGCAGTGAGTGGCCTCTCCCGCAGGTCTGTGGTGCCCAGGGAGCCCACCGTGACACCAGGGAGTGTCTCGGTTAGGAGGGTGACGTGGCAGCATAGAAATTCAAGACTGATGGAATGTCAGTAGCCCAGGAAGTAGCCCAGGGCAGGGGTCAGCCTCAGGTGTTATCAAGGACGCTGCCTAGATGAGCCTAGGCACTGAGGCCCACAGGGGCTTGGCTCCATACAGTGGATATTAGCCTGCGTTTGTTATTGTTTCATCTTCAGGGCTTTGACCAGTGCTTGTTAATTAATATTTATTTATTTATTCTAAAAAGATTTGTTTGTTTGTTTGTTTGTTTATTTATTTGTACAAGAACCGGGGTACAGGCCAGATGCACGGGAGGGTGAGAGGATTCACCAGAGACAGAGCAGGGAACAGAACAGGCAGACCGACGAAATACACTGCTGAGGGGAGCAGCGGGCCAGACAGGAGAGGTCTGCCTGCCATGTGGGACCCAGACCGGCCAGTGGGCCGGGATCGAACCCGTGCTGCAGAGGCTGCGGACAACTTCACAGCGCTGCACTCAACCGCCTGCACTACCAGGGGAGGCCCAATGGATATTTATTATTAATTTATTTAATATTAAGTCAGTGCATATCTGTTGAGTGATTGTGTAAGTTAAGGGGTGAGGAAATAGGTTAAGGGCAGGCCTCAGCTTCAGAGATAGACAGAGCATTGAACGATTTTAGTCTTTGAGAAAATCTAAAAGAAGTAGAAGACAGACAGAGACCCCCTATAGCAGCAGGACGGGCACGGAGCAGGATCTCCATGACTCTAGTAGATGGGGCAAAGGAGAGGAGTCCTAGGAGCCCTCGGTGGCTTTTTCAGCCTCCTAGTGAGTTTACCAGGTACACGGCAGGCAGGGGTGCCAGGGGGCTGGGAGGCTGGCAGGCCTCCCAGCCAGTCTTCACTTCCTGGGCTCTCTGGCCTTCTCTCATGGTCTCGTTTTCTCTCTTCTGCTCTCATTCTCTCTGCTCGCCTGGTGTCTCCATGACGCTGCCCTTTTAAGCTCGGTCTCTCAGCCCAGGTGTACCCACCTACACGTGCCCATACCTCACTTCAGGTGCCCACTATCAGGCATGCATTCAGGACAGCAGGGATCCATCATCAATTGTAATGGCGGGAGGGCAGAAAAGCCTGTTATTTTTTTACCTTACCCTACACCTGCTTTCAGCAAATTTAGTTTAATTGGAGACATCAAAAATATAACATTGAAACAGTTTGTTTAAAGTGTCTGACAAATTCAAATATAGAGTTTTCCAATCAAGAATGTAAGTCTTGGGGCCTCCCTGGTGGTGCAAGGGGTTAAGCACTGCACTATGGAGCAATCCACAGCCTCTGCAGCACGAGTTCGATCCCCAGCCAGCCAGGGAGCAACTCACATGGCGCAACAGACCTCTCCTGACTTGCCCGCTGCTCCCTTCAGCAGTGTATTTCAGTCAGTCTGCCTGTTCTGTTCCCCACTCTGTCTCTGGTGAATCCATTCAGCCCCTGTATCTCTGTCCTGTACCCCAGCTCTTGTATGCATAAATAAATAAATCTTAAAAAAAATAATAGGGCCTCCCCGGTGGCGCAGCAGTTGAGTGCTGGGTTGTGAAACTGCCTGCAGCCTCTGCAGCGCCGGTTCGATCCCCGGCTGCCGGGTGAGGGTCCCACATGGCACACAGACCTCTCCTGCCGCCTGCTATTCCCCTCAGCAGTGTACTTTGTCAGTCTGCCTGCTCTGCTCCCCGCTCTGACTCTGGTGAATTCTCTCGCCCTCCTGCGCTTCTGACTGTACCCAGTGCATGTATAAATAGATAAAATAAATCTTAAAAATAAATAAATAAATAAATCTTTAAATAAATACAAATCTTTTTTAAAAAAAGAATGTAAGACTTGAGCGACAGAAGAATAAATCTCAGGCTAGTGAGTTAATCTGGAATGGCTTCCTAAGAATGATGAGTTTTTAGCTAATTTTGTAAGAAGAAAATAACACAAATTGACAAGACAGGTTTTCCAGATCAAAGTAATAACAAGCTCAAAGCCACGGAGTTTAACTACCTCAGACAAACCCACTGTAGCCAGAAGCCCTTGGGCAGCCAGAGGACGCAGTGGTGGGAATTTACCAAGAGTAGGTAGAGGAAACCCAAGCACAAGATTTACAATACAGGAGCTGGGGTGCAGGCCAGAGGTGGTGGGGGCGGGATGAGAGGAGTCACCAGAGACAGAGTGGGGAGCAGAATAGGCAGATCTACTGAAATCCACTGCTGAGGGGAGCAGCGGGGAGACAGGAGAGGTCTGCCTCACTATGTGGGTAGCTCCCTTGCCGGGGATCGAACTCATGCAGCAGTGGCTGCTGATAGCTTCATAGTACTGAGACTTGACTCCTTGCACCACCAAGGAGACCCAAGACTTAGATTTGATGTGGGGAACCATCAGAATGAGAGGCTGGCTTTGTTGGAAGACAGAGCAGGGAGGGGCGAGGCATTTTCCTTTGGAGGTCTTCTGAACTTGAGTAACAGTGCTCCCTTGGCTCTGCTGGCAGCTGGAGTACCAGAGGCAGCAGCTCCTGGCAGACAGACAGGCCTTCCACATGGAGCAGCTGAAATATGCTGAGATGCGGGCCCGGCAGCAGCACTTCCAGCAAATGCACCAACAGCAGCAGCAGCCGCCGCAAGCCCTGCCCCCGGGCTCCCAGCCGATCCCACCCACGGGAGCTGCTGGGCCACCCCCAGTCCACAGCCTGGCTATGGCTCCCGCCTCTGTAGCCCCTGCGCCTGCTGGCAGTGGGGCCCCGCCTGGAAGCTTGGGCCCTTCTGAACAGATAGGGCAGGCAGGATCAACGGCAGTGCCACAGCAACAGCAGCCAGCTGGAGCCCCCCAGCCTGGGGCAATCCCACCAGGGGTACCCCCCCCTGGACCCCATGGTAAGTGGCGGTTTTGGAACTGTTCACAGCAGGGATCCGGGTGGGTGCTCTCGTCCCCTTCAATGGGGAGATGTGCTCGAACTGGAAACAGTCTCTGCAGACAGACCCATCTCTGTTCCAGCCCTAATCCTAAGCCCCGAGTAGGGGCCCGGCCCACACCTTGCTCTTGGGAACGTTGTCCCAAAGATTTCCCACTTCCTGCCGTGCCAGGAGATGGGAAGGTGGTGCCAGAGCAACTGGGTCACGCCCGCCGTGAAGGGCAGTTGGTCGACGAGCTCTTGTGCCCTAACCTCCTGGGTTTCTCTTTGTTCCCAGGCCCCTCACCGTTCCCCAACCAACAAACTCCTCCCTCCATGATGCCGGGGGCAGTGCCAGGCAGCGGGCACCCAGGCATGGCGGGTAATGCTCCTTTGGGTTTGCCGTTCGGCATGCCGCCTCCTCCTCCTCCTGCTCCATCCGTCATCCCATTCGGTAGTCTAGCCGACTCCATCGGTATTAACCTCCCCCCTCCTCCTAACCTGCATGGGCATCACCACCATCTCCCGTTTGGCCCGGGCACCCTCCCCCCACCTAACCTGCCTGTGTCCATGGCGAACCCTCTACATCCTAACCTGCCGGCGACCACCACCATGCCATCTTCCTTGCCTCTCGGGCCGGGGCTCGGATCCGCCGCAGCCCAGAGCCCTGCCATTGTGGCAGCTGTTCAGGGCAACCTCCTGCCCAGTGCCAGCCCGCTGCCAGGTGAGAAGGGTCCTGGAGGGGAGAAGGGTGAGGGAGAGGGTCCACACGGAGGGATGGAAGGCAGGTGGGGAACAGGTCAAGTACTAGAGCTCCCACAATCCTTTGTGAACTCTGTGATAAAATTAGAATACAGGAGGAAGGGCCTCTCTGGCTGTCCTCCGCCATCCCCAGCCTGGCAGCTGCCACCTCTGGGATGACGTTGGGGCCTCTCACTGGTGGGTCACGGAGGAGTCCTGTGGCACAGAGCATCTCAGTTGTAAACTTGGAACTAGCTGCCTGTTTGCATGATGATTGGCCTCCCCCTGCTTGTTCCCATCGTGTTCAGATGCCCCATTTAGAGTTCCCTTGGGGGCAGGAGGATGATTTGGGGCATCAGTTTCCCCAGTGTGAGGTGGAAGAGGGTGTTGGAAGTTATGGGTACCTCATTCATCTGCCCATCCATTGCATGCCACGCCCGTTCTGTTTGTCCGTGGAGGCCTGGGTCTGGAGCCCTCGCCTGTGACACTCACTCATCTTCCTTTTCTCCTCAGACCCAGGCACCCCCCTGCCTCCAGACCCCACGGCCCCAAGCCCAGGCACGGTCACCCCCGTGCCACCTCCGCAGTGAGGAGCCAGCCAGACAACTCTCCCTGACCCCCATGGAAATCAAGGTTCCAGGAACAGCCCTCCCCCCACCACGGGGACCCTTCCCCGCCTGGAGAGTTCATCACTACGTAAGGAACGCTCCTCTGCCCCTCCACAGCCCCCGCTCTGCCCGTGAGAGGCACGCGTTTTTATATCGGATGATCCAAGGACTTCTGTTTAAAAGATGTTTCTAATAATGTCTGGGAGAGAGAGGATAGGATGGGGGTGCCGCCCTCCAAGGTAGGGCCGGGGAGGGTGTTTATACAAGGCTCTAACTAACCACTTCTAGGGTGCACCCCCTCGAAACTACTGCTTTTTTTATGGGTAAAGTAAATTAAGCCCCTCAAAAGGAAGCAGACACAAAAAAGCCACATGGAGCGCTCTCCACCCACTAAAATATCCTTTTACATTGTTTTGAGGAGGGAAGTGAGTTTTAGGAAGGGGGGAGTTAGGGTTCGGGGATAGAATAGGGTGCAGACTCTGTCTCCTGCGGTCCCTTGTTAGTGACTGAGTCAATTTCTGAAGCCCTCCCCCAACCACCACCCGACCCATTTATTCCTACTAATCTCTCCCGCTGCTTCCTCCGTGTTGCCACGTAGGCCTCCCAGCTCAGCCAATGACACACACACACACACACACACACACCCCTGCCCTCTGAGTGTCATTTTTGTGTTTTTAAAAGCCACCTGCATAGTTGATGGCAACGTATGTGTATTTGGTGGGGAAGTGTATTTCGGGGGGTTCCTGTGGTAGGTGAGCGAGGAAGAGGAAGAGAAGGTACCGGGCTGTTCTTCCTCCCTCCCCTGGGCTCAGTGGGCGCCTGGAAGGCTGGAGCGGGGAGCTGTGAGAGGGTGGGGAGTTGTAAAAACCTGACATTTTCAAAAGCACTTAAGCACCTCCTCCTTAGGACTTGGTGGGCCACCCCCTCTGGCCTCTCCCCTCCTCCACCAAGGCCGGCAGAACCTTGACTGGTAGCCAGGGCTCCCCTGGGTGAGGACACAGGGGCCTGGGAGCAGCGGGGAGGCGCGCCTAGCCCAGGGTAGTGCGGACCTCAGCTTGCAGAGGGCCCCGGCCCGGATCCCAGAGCCTCCGCACCAGCTCTGCCTCTTGATCCTTGAAGCCCAGGCACACACACCCGCCCCCAGGCACCGCAGTGCTTCTCCGTCCCCCACCAGGCCCTTCCTCCCTCACGTCCGTTTCTCTTCCTCTGCGTCTTGGCACCTTTCTTCTGTTCAAGTTTCTGTAAATTTTCTTTTTCTTCCCCCCCCCCTTTTTTTTTATAAATTAATTTGCTTTCAGTTCCATCTTGTGGATGCCTTCTGTGTTCTCTTACCTGTGGCTAACAGCAGAGGGATTGGGCTGGGGGCAGCGCTCCGGAGAGTCCTTCAGGGGGTTCGCATGGGCCTAGACTCGGGCCTCAGTCCGCAGCAGGCTGCCCGCAGCACAGCTGTCGACGCTGGGATGGGGCAGAGGCTCTCACTTGGCCCAAAAATAGCTGTTACAGACTCAGAAGGATCTGCACAACCTGGGGAGTTTGTATATTTACCCTTTCAGAAGCAGTGGCTTCATTCCTTCCCTTATTAGGCAGGGAGAAGGCAGGCACCACTCACTGTTCTTGCTGGTCCCCAACCCTGCTGGGGGCAGGCTCAGGCGGTGCTAATGGAGCCTGGCTTTTAGTGCCAATAAACAATGTCAGCTTCCCACCACGAAAGGCCTTGAGTGGCTGGGGAATGAGAGGTAGGAGAGGCCTTAGCCTCTCCTAAGGATGGAACAAGGAGGAAATCAGATGGTAGGAGAGGGCAGTGCCAGGCCTTGGGTCCTGCAGGAATTCGTGGCTCCCCTAAGCCCCCAAGACGTACCCCTTTGTATAGCATCAGTGATGGGGCCAGTACTTCTCCAATGAGGCAAAGGTGGCCCCTGGAGGCCCTTCCCCACTCTCCCCACCCCCTGGTTCATTTGACCCTGGTCTGTCTCACCTTCAGCCCCTTCACCCTGCTCAGAAAGGAAAGCAGCACTGAACTGAAGGGCATAGAAAAGACAGTTTATTTGGTGAATGCTGACAGCAGACATCATCCGAGAGACAAGCTGGGGAAGGTGCCGTGACTAGCCGTGACTAGAGCCTAGGGAGCCTCTGGGGCCTCACAGGGGATGCAGTCTCACAGGGAACACTCTGGGCATACTGGGAATGTTCTTAGCCATTCAGCACCATGCGGACGAGCTCTGTGGAAAGGAGAGAGGGGTGAACCAGGGAGCAGGACCACGGGGAGGGTCCACCAGGGGCCAGGAGACCACAGACCACAAAGGTAGCCTAAGGAACTCGCCTACACAGCCAACCTTGAGGTTGGTTTGCTGGAGCCACCTTGAGTCTGACCAGCTCTCTGCCCCTAGCTTCCCTCCCGCCAGCTGTTAGTCCCCCCCCCACCACCACCCCGCCCCGCCTTGAGCAGCAGGAACACAGCAGAGGCAGAGAAGTTTTCAACTACACCTATAGCTACTGTCAGCCGCTGGCAGGAGAAGACGGGGTTTTGGGTTACGGTACCTCTAAGCTGCCCAGCAGAAGGAAGGGGAAAAGATTTCAGCTACAGCAGCAGAGTAGGCACAACCCACCCTCCTGTGCCAACCATGCTCTGGGCCAGGGGACCGCCCCGAAAGCAAGATGGGTACTCGCCTGTCCCCGGACACCAGCACCAGGTCCTCTCAGAGCCCGTTTTTAGTAGAGGAGGTACCATACCCCCAGGCCGCCTTCCTCTTGGAGCCCCCCACCCTCCACCCCAGTCAGCTCCATGCAGAAACATGCCGGGAGGAAGTCAGATGGTAGTAGGGGAGGGCAGGGCTAGAGAGCAAAGGCTGGGAAGAACACCGGGGAGGCCAACTAGAGAAGGGGAGGCTGGGAGGAGCCGTACCCGCCCCACAGGCCAGTCACCCCGACAGGATATGCCTCACAAACGCTGCAGGAAGGAAGAGACATTGATGGTGAAGACAAGACACAATGGGGTGAAGGGGTCAGGTGGTGGGAAGACAGACATTCCACTTACTCCCATTCCCCACCCTCCGCGCACACATCACCCTTTCCTGCCTCACCCCCACCCACCGCCCGCTCCCTGGGCTGCGCTGGGCCCTGCCCCTTGCCCCCTAGCACTTTTTGGAGCCCAAGCTGGGGGGCAAGGAAACCCCAAAATACTGCGCTTGGCCCGCCTCCTATGGCTGCCTTCTCCGCAGAAGCCCTGCTCATCCCTCACCTTCATAGTTGATACAACCATTGCTGTCCTCGTGCCCTGCCACCAGCATCTCCACTTCCTCCTCTGTCATCTTCTCGCCTGCAGAGGGAAAGGAAGCACTAAGCATTTTTTGGGATCGGGTGGCCAATGAGGTGTATCAGGTGGCACCTAAGCTCACTTTACCCAGTGTGACAAGAACATGGCGGATTTCAGCACCCATGACCGTGCCGTTCCCTTCTTTGTCGAACACCCGAAGGCCTTCCACGTAGTCTTCATAGGTGCCCTGGTCCTTGTTCTTGGCCACTGTCTGCAGCATGGGCAGGAAGTGCTCAAAGTCCAGCACCTTCACATTCATCTCTGCCATGGAGGAGGAGGGAAAAAAATCCCAGGCGTGAGGGGATCACAGGGGTCACCAAGCCAGTTTCCACACGCAGCGGGGGAAATCTGGGGAACTGGCTAGTTAAGAAGGGACCTGGTTTGGTTTGCGACCTAAGAACATAAAGGGAAGCTTTTAGCTTAAAAACGCTAGGCCCATTCCCAATTGAGGAGGTGCCCTTGAGGATCCTCACCATCACTCTTGGGGTTCCCCAGAACCTTGAGCACCTCGGCGTTGGTGGGGTTCTGGCCCAGGGCCCTCATGACATCCCCACACTGGCTGTACAGGATCTTGCCATCCCCTGTTCGGTCAAACAGCTGGAAGGCCTCCTTGAACTCTGAGGAGTCAGAGAAACATCAGCGCCTGGAGTTCAGAGTAACCCAAGCCCCGCCGCAGCCCTACTGCCACCTGACTTGGATCGGCTGAGGAAACCAGGTATCTGTACGCTGTACACCCAAGTCCATAAGAGGGATCGGTGCCCCTCCACACTCAGGTGTCCCAGGGAAAGGCAAAGCCTGCCTCCCCCACGCTGGCGGGGTACACACCCCCTCTGCCCGCTGCAAGCCTGCCCAGCCTCCCGCACTACTCGGGCAGGAATTTGCCACCGCCCAGTCCGGGCCTTGTCCTTATAAGGAAGTGGGAGCCGCGGCCTGCGCCTGGGGTCACTGCAGCCTGCCACCTCGCCCCCTTTATGTGCAGAAAAAGACTTTTCCGAGGCCACAGCTACAAAGACGTGTCCTCAGCAATCTGCCTGTCCCCATTTTCCCAAAACAGCTGCTCGCTGCTCTTAACAAGCTTCACAGTTCCAGGCTGGGGGGGGGGGCGCGCAGCTGGAGAGCAAAGGCAGGAGGAGCTGAAGAAGGGTCAGGCGCAGGCAGCTTAGTGCACAGCAGGCGTCAGGGGAGCGAGTTGTCACACACACACTCACACCCCTCAACTCACCAGTGCGGGGGGCCCAGATCTAGAGTGGAGAGGGAGGGTGGGAAGAACGTAAGAAAAGAAAACGGAAGATCCAGGAGGAGGGAGCAGGGCCCCCAGGGGTGCTCCCCTGGGGTGCGTAAGAGACGGCAGGAAGGCGTCAGGGAATAGGTGCGGGGGGGGGGGCTCTCCCTAAGCAGGGCCTCAGGGGGCGGGGATCGCCTACCTGCGGTCTGGTCCTCGGTGAAGTCGCACTGCCCAGAGAAGAGGGGCGGTCAGCGCGCGCGCCCACCCCAAGCGTCGCCCCCAGCCCCGCCAGCCCCGCTCCGTGCGGCGGACGCTTCCCCGCGGGGCGGGACGTCAGACTTCCGAGCCCCCGGCCCCCCGTCCAGGCCCAGGGTCGCCTCTGCCCTCCTCTGCCGTCTCCTCACCCCCACCCGCTCTGCCCGCGCCTCCTCCCGGGGCCCGGCTCCCACCATGTTGGCCGCTCCGCTCCGCGAGACCTTCCCCTGCAGAAATGGCTCCGACTCCGGCCCAGCCCTGGGCGCCGGTGACGTCACCGCGCGCCAGCCAATGGGCGCCCGGGCCCGGCCCGCGCGGGCGGGGCCGCCGCCGGGGAGCGCCGGGCGGGGCCGCGGCCTCCGCCCTTCCCGGCAGCCCCGCCTGAGGCGCGGGGCGGGGGGTGCGGCGGGGCCCGGGGTGCGGCGGGGCGCGGGGTCAGGGTGTCGAGGGGACCGGGGACGCGGGGGGTCGCGGGATCGGGGGTGGGCGGGTGCGGGGTCCTACCCCAGCGGCCGGCAGGGCGGCGCTGCGGGCCGGGGAAGGAGCGCCTGCCCCGCCCCGGCCCCGGCCCCGGCCCCGCCCCGGCGCCCCCGGCCCCCGCCCCCGCCCCGGCCCCGCCCCGGCGCCCCCGCCCCGGCGCCCCGGGCCCGCCCCGGCCCCCGCCCCCCCCGGGCCCGCCCCGGCGCGGAAGAAGGCCACAGTCTGCGGGGCGGGAGGGGCAGCTCTTTATTGCGCCGCGGCGGGCTCTGCGGCGGGCGCGGGAGGGGAGGTCGGCGCGCGGGGCCTCGGCCGCTCGGGGCCCGCCGCGCCCCCGCTTCTCCGCGCCGGGGGCGGGGTACAGCCGGGCCGGGGTACAGCCGGGGCGGGGGGCGCGGCCGCGGCGCTCAGACGCTCAGGATGTGCTTCAGGAAAGCTGCAGACAGAGCGGGGTCACAGCCCGCACCCGACAGGCACCTCCCTCAGCCCGGGCGGCCGGCCGCGCGCCACGCCGCGGCCCCCAACCCCACCCCCCACCCCCCACGCCCCCGGCCTCCCCGGGCCCCCCACGCCTCACCTTCGTAGTTGACACAGCCGTTGCTGTCTTCGTGTCCCGCCAGGACCGTGTCCACCTCCTCCTCAGTCATCTTCTCTCCTGAGCGCAGACGCAGCGGCTCAGCCCCGCCTGCACCTCCCCCGGCCTGTCCCCAGGACCCCCGGCCCGAGGGGTGCCCCTGACCCAGCTCCCGGCATTAGCCCTGGGCAGCCTGACCGCCGGGGCTGAGTCCCGGGGTCCAGTCACCCCGCCTCCCGGAACACGAGCCGCTCCCCTGAAGCGAGGGACCCGGCAGCCTGAGAGCCGCAGGCTCGGCTCCGGCCGCGCGGTCCGCGGTGGGAACCCCGCCTGTGTTAGACCAGGTACCCGCGAGGGGTGGCCCTGGGGTCCCGCGACCACTGACCCTTGACGCACCCTCGGTGTGCAGCCGTACGCCTCGCCTCTTGCTATGAGGCCCCGTCCTCTGCCCAGGCCCAGCTCAGTGCAAACCCCCCAACCTTGCGGAGCCTGAAGGTGCATCGAAGCCCCGACGTCCTGCAGACGGGCTCGGCCTCCCGATGCGAATCCGCTGAGTCAGCACCGGAGCTTTTTTTTTTTTTTTTTTTTTTTTTCCTTCCTTCTTTCTTTCTTTCTTTCAAAGATTTATTTATGTATGCATACAAGAGCTGGGGTGTAGGCCAGAGGTGTGTGGGGGTGAGAGGATTCACCAGAGCAGAGTGAGGAGAACGGGATCTACTGCTGAGGGGCGCAACAGGGAGACATGAGAGGTCTGTTGCGCCCTTGGGTCATCTCCCTGGCCTGGGATCAAAATCGCTGCCTCGAACTCGCTGCACTGGCTGCCTGTAGCTTGATAGCGCTGTGTCTCTAACCCCTGCACACCCAGGGAGGCCCAGCACTGGTGCACTAAACCTGCTGCTTGTTAGCCCTCGTGTGTGTCCACATCTCCCCTGTGCGTGTAACACTCCCACTACAGAAACAGATCTCCCTCCTCATCCCCTTTCCTCTGCCCCGCGGGACGCATCTGTGTGCCTCTCCGCCTTGGCCTCCACAGGAGGAAGCTCTTCAGATTCTGCCCCAGGGCTATGACTTCCATCTCTTGGCCACCACCGACAGGACAGTAATCCCTCCCTGGCCCCTCCTGTTTGGCCACCCCTCTTGTCCCTCCTCTTCTCCCCACAAGCTTGGCCCCTGCCTCACCCAGGGTGGTGAGGACGTGTCTGAGCTCTGCTCCCATGATTTTGCCGTTCCCTTCCTTGTCAAACACCCGAAGCCCCTCCAGGTAGTCTTCATATGTGCCTTGGTCCCGGTTCTTCGCCACCGCCTGGAGCATGGGCAGGAAAGTCTCAAAGTCTACACGCCGGGACTTCAGCTCTGGAGGTTTGAGAGGTGAGGGGGCGGTCACTGGGGCATCAACGGGAACCCAGCTCCCACCCCCGCCATGAAGGCTTCATCCTGTTCCACATTCAAGAGGCTTTCCTGACCCTGGTCGGTGTTTGAAGTCCTAAGATCCACCCCAGCATCCTTTGTCACCAAACCAACTTTCCTCAGTTCCACCACCCAAATGAAAATCCATGTTTTTCTAGGGATCTCCTTACCATCATTCTTGGGGTTCCCCAGGACCTTGTGCACCTCAGCATTCGTAGGATTCTGGCCCAGGGCCCTCATCAAGTCCCCACACTGGCTGTACAGGATCTTGCCATCCCCTACTCGGTCAAACAGCTCAAAGGCCTCCTTGAACTCTGAAGTAGAAAGGAGGGTCAACATTGGCCAGGGGTTCCCATCACCCCCAGACAGAAAGGAGGCTCAGAAACTATGTGCTAGCGATGAGCATAACAGAGGACTAGTGTGGGAGGTTTCAAGGTCAGGACCAAAGTTAGGGGACTAGAAAGAAGCTCCGACGAAGATCCGACGTGGGGCTTGATAGTGGGCTGAGGGGACCAGCTTCTCCTCACCTTCCAGCTGGTCCTTGTTAAACTCGATCTGTGGAAGAAAAGAGCAGGTGAGAAGGGATGACAGGGCTCGTTCAAATCTCTCCAGTGCTCCTCCCAGCCAAATGGCAGCCGCTTCTGGGGAGGGGCCTGAAGGGACCAGAATGGGAATCCAGCCACCTTAGTCCTAGTCCCAGCTCTGGACCTTGGGGAAATCCCAAGAGGAGGAATTATAGGGGGGAGGGTTTCCTGAGAACAGGCTTAATCCCATCCACCTGTTCCCCTCCCTCCAGTGCCCTGGGCCCTGCATCTCTCACATAACTGGGGGCTGAACAAAGGCTAAATTTACCCCTGGCCCCCAGCTGTGATTGTCTAACAAGTCTGTCCTCTTCAGCCTTCCCTTCTGGACTTCAGAGCTGTGGCCTTTAGAGCTGCATAGTCACGCAGCAGCTCCTTCCCTTCACCCTGAAACTAACTGTCCCCAGAACCCAGATGTTCCCCATCTCACCATCCCTGCCTCCAGCAGGGGATCAGTGGGAATGTGTGCGTGTGTGGTGCGCACACACACGAATCCGTGCTACAGGTTAGAGAAAACAACAGACTCCAGCAGAGTCACTAACCCCAATGCTTCCAAATGGAGGACGAAGAGGAGCCTCTAATATCATTCCACTGTTCACTGATACCCCACTTTCTAGATACCCCCTCATTCCCTAGGCTGTACCACCCCCTCCAAATTCTCTCCTCACTTTCTGGAGACTCACCGCCACTTTGGAGAGATCGATGGGGGGCTCTTGGGTTTTTCCGGGAGTCAGGGGGACAGCTGGCGTGGGCTCAGCCTTGCCCTTGGCTAGAGGGGTCCCTGGTGCTGGCCTGGCAGCAGGTTTGGAGACAGAGGGCCCTGCTGGTTTCTTCACGGGTACATCCTTCTTGGGAGGCATGATGTCCAGTGGCCAGAGGACAGTGTGACGATGGGGGCACCCATCTCTGTTTAAATAGTCAGGGAGTCTGGGATGTCAAGGGGCGGGGGCAGGGACAGAGAGCCAGCTGGCAGTGGGGAGGGAGAGGCAGAGGAGAGCTCCAGCCTGCCCTAGCTCCCCTGGCCTCCAACGGCTTAGTTCCCTCACCCAAGGTCTTTCTCTTCTGTCCACCCAGCCCAACGACTAGCCAGAACAATGGCCCCTTGGGGGTAGGGGGAGGAAGCCAGAGACTGCTCAGAGTAGGGGAGTTAAATTCCCCATGAGGATTAGGATGCTTGCCTGTGACAATGAGGTAGGAGGGAGGCAAAGAAGGGGATTCAGGCACGGGAGGCCCTTAACCCTGACTCAGAGCAGCCCTTAACTCTGGCACAGTAGGCCTTTTAGATTCATGAAAGCTAAGGCAGGGAAGGGCCTTGTGAGCTGGGATAAAGTGGGGTCTTGGAGCAGTAAAAGGTGAAGAACAATCAGCAGCTCATCCATACCCCCCCCCCCCATGAATGAGGAACAGGGGAACTGTTCCTGAACCCCAGCCTGATAATCCGGGATACTTAAGAGTCCTTAGCTCCCGCCCTCGCAGCCAGAACTGGAGCTGTGTGTGCACCACAGAGAAAGACATCCATGCTGCCCACCGCGGCTGCACCCCGTGTATCTTCAGGGGAGGGGGTGGGGGCAAGATCTCGTTTTACACCCACCACCCACACTTCGAGGAAGAAAACCTTTTCCAGAGACCGTGGTCTTGGAAGTCAAAGGGCGCCTGCTGAGCCCGAGGGACTCCGTGGTGTCACCAGGGGGATGGTCACACTAACAGGCAAAGGGTCTAAATTCTAAAATCTCTAATCCAAAAGGATGGGGAGGTCCTGTGGGCTCCAGGGGCGCGCACCCCCACCAGGTGCATATGAAAAACCCCGACTCAGAGTTGATGCTGGGTCTCCACTGGCACAAAGCATCTGAGTGTCATCACTGCAAATTGTCCCGTTTTAGGAAAATCACTCATCCCTCCTGCCCGGAGTGTGTGTGTGTGTCTCTCTCACACTCTCACACACACACACACCCCCCCCACCGCACCACACACACCACCACCACCCCTAAAACTCACCCTGCAGGTCCAGGTGAGGGGCAGAGGGGGTGGGGGGCGGTGCCAGGCGGCCGCGGGCCCTCAAGGGTTAACTGCGGCGGCCGCGGGGCTTGCCGGGAGTTGTAGTCCTCGGGCGCCCGGGGGCTCACGGGAAGCGCCTCTCCCCGGCCGGCGCAGGGCGGGTGCAGCGGCTTCCGGCAGCGGCGGCGGTTGGTGACTCAGGCGCCCCCGGCTGCGGCTCTTGTCCCGGAACTAAAAGGCAGTTACCGTCCTCACCCCTGACCCTGCGGCGCGCGGGGGCGCCCGGAGTCTCGTCCCGTCGGGCCCTCGAGCGTGGGCGGGCTGTCGCCTGGGGGCCCTGGGGCGAGAGCCCGGAGCCGGGCGGCTGGGCCTGCGGCGGGGGCCGGGGGGGGGGGGCGGCGCGGCCCCCCCGCGGGGAGTGGGGCGGTCTGTGGCTTCCTCTCGCGGCTTGACCAGGAACAGTGGCTGTGTGACTTGGAACACTAACTCCAAAGTTATTTTTTTTAAGTTTTTTTAAAAATATGCATACAAGAACGGGGGTGCAGGCCAGAGGTGCGGGGTGGGGGGTAAGAGGACCCACCAGAGACAGAGCGGGGAGCAGAACAGGCGGACGGACTGAAACCCACTGCGGAGGGGAGCAGCGGGGAGACAGGAGAGGTCTGCTCCGCCCTGTGGGGAGCTCCCTGGCTGGGGATCGAACTCGTGCTGCAGAGGCGCAACCCCTTGCGCCGCCAGGGAGGCCCCCAAAGTTACTTTTTAATGAGCTGGTAGTGGAAGTGGATATTAGGGTTTACAATGAAGCCCCGTTACTTTCCCAAGCCTCCCCCGGGAGGGCGCGTCCTCATACTCGACCGCAGCTGCCCTGCCAGGTCCTCACGGGGCTCCTTGGAACCCACTGGGCTCCCCAGCCCTTACCCTGAGCACCGGACAGCCCAGGACGCCTCCTTCCCCCACACGGTTATCAAAGGTCGCCGCCCCTGGAGGAAATCAGCCGCAGGCCCGCCATCCCTTGCCCTGGGGCGCAGCTCTTGCTGGGGCGCGGGGGTGCACGGTCCTGCTGGGAGTGGGTCAGAGTAGAAGACCGCGGAGGTCTGGGGGGTGAGTCACAGTGGATGTTATGGGCAGTAAGTGACGTTGCTCATTGGGCAGTTTCCTGGGAGACTAGAAATGGGTCGTGCAAAAAAATAGGAGGGGGAGGATGTTAGCCGTCCCTGGAGGCCTCGCACGCCAGCACTGCATGAAGGCGCTAAATTATCTCAGAGGCAGCATGGGGGGTGCTAATGCCTGGGCTCAGAGCAGAGCCCTCAGATTGGAAGCCAGGTTCTGCCAGGTGGTTGCTGGTAACCTCTTAACAAGTTAGTTCTCTCTGCCTCAGTAAAATAAGGACAAAACCGACCTCCTAGGGCTGTTGGGAGGATGGGATGTGTTCACGTTTGCAAGATCGAATGGGCTGGGCACGGAGTAAGTGGTTTATGTAAATAGGGCTCCTCTAATCTTGCTTACATAATGAGGTGCTTGGTATTTTCTGCTTTCCATCCACTAAGGATCACTAGGCATGAAGAGAGCAGAAAGGAATGCATTTCTCCTGTGTTTGGTTAGAAGACTCGTTGCCCCCACAGATGTCTTTCTGCGTCTTTCATTGCCTGCACAGAAGTTGATTTAAAGATAAGATCTATTTGGTTTTTTCCCCTCCTCCTCTCGCTGGAAACCGCTTTTGGCACTTTGCTAGTTAGAAGGGTTATGGTATCAGCTATACTTTCTAGCATTTTGGTCTGTTTTTGTAGAGAAGTAGTGCAAGGAGGAAAGATAGAGACCACTGGCAAATGCAAGGTGGAGAACTGTGCTTCATTTTCTGTGCTGTTCCTGTCTCTTAATCCTAATGCAGACTGAGCTGAACGTGATCTTAATTGGGCATAGGTGACTTAGCCTTCGTGAGTGTAGCTTTTCTGTAACAAATGCCTGCCCTTCCCCACCTGTGTGATTTCTGTGTTCTTAGGAATTGCATACTTACTTCTAATTTTAGTCTCAGTAACTTGAATTACTGTAGTTCATCCTATCCAGCTGAACTGACTCTTTAAGCACTAGTTAATATGTTTAGATAATCATTTCTGTAGAGAGAATACTGTTCCCTAAGTGAATAGGAAGGGATTTGTTAAGGAAGATGTCTGGCACTTTGACCAGCAAGTGGGTTCCCATGATAAAGAGAGAGGATGATGTGTTACGATATTTACGTAGCTTATAAATATAGTCCTTTCTAAGTGCCATTTTGAAGACCCTTATTAGATGCAAGATATAAACAAAAAAAAAAAACGTGTGTTAAGAATGTGTAGGGTAAATGATGGTCAGGCCTTCCTGCCCTCCCGCCATTAGGATGGATGATGGCGGCACCTGGAGGAGGGCGTGGGCGTGCGTAGGTGGGTACACCTGGGCTGAGAGACTGGGCTCCTGAGGGCGGCTTCACGGGACGCCAGAGGAACTGAACGAGCAGAACCACCAGAAGGAGAACAGTGACAGACAGCGGGGACGCCCCGGGAGAAGGCCGGAGAGCCCAGAAAGAGTGAAGACTCACCGGGGGCTGGGAGACCTGCCAGCCTGCCTGCCTGGTAAACACAATAAAACCCTGAAAAAGCCACCGAGGGCTCCAGGACTCCCCTCCTCCACCCGCCTGCACAGGATCATAGAGAACCTGACCTGTGCCCTTCCTGCCGCTACAGCGCGCTGCTCTCATTTTTGGAAATGTTCTAGAATAGTATTCTAAGCTATGTTCAAAATGTGATTCTCAGTCTTAACTGTCTACAGAATCTCCTAGGAGCTTTGTAAGCTCACAATCTTCCAGACTGTGCCTCAGAGATTCTGACTCTGTGTCTGTTGAAGGGCCAGGGAATCTGTTTGAAATATTTTTAGGCTACTGGAAAGCAGAGAGAAGAAGCTAACACAGGTCCTCCCAGCTTTCATAGTCGTATATTTGATCCTGTCATCTCCCTACTTAATATCCTTCCATGGAAGGATGTTTAGTCTTTTGATAAAGCCTAAACCTTACTGGCCCACAGAAGCTCGCACAGCTTGCAGCACTTGCCTGTACCCGCCAAACCCGTACGAGCCGCCCCTGCTCGCCTTCAGCTCTGCAAAGGGGTCCGATGTCCTCTGTGCTCAGGTTGTGGCCTCCATCTTTTATGCCTCTGCCCCTTCCCCCGCCTCACCCATGGTCTGCCAGGGCCAAGCGGAACACAGAGCTTGGCCTGTACCAAGAACTCAAATTACAAAATGCATGAGACTCTGGGTAAAAGGGAAGAGTTAAGGACAGACGCTTAACAGCACGATGTTGATGGGGAGATTCGTTAGGGATTCAAAAGACTGAAGATTCCTCTGTGTGTTTGTTTTTTTCAGTTTCGTTGTTTTATTCACACGATAGCGTCCACGCCAGCTGGCTGTTCGTGCTCCGCGGCGCGGCCTGGCGCTGGGGTTGGGCGTGGATGGCCAGTTGTGCTGCGCTTTCCACGGTAGCTTTGCGGTTCTTGGAGGAGCCGCCGTGAGCGACACCAGCACGGTAAGATTTGTTGCACATCAGCGACACTTCCACCTCCCTGATGTGACCAGGAACGTGTGGAAGCCACTGGACAGCATGGGCTTTATGTTCTTGTTTCTCCCATAACCAGTGTTGGGCATCAAGATCTGGCCCTGGAACCTTCTGCGCACCCTATTGTCAATGCCAGGGGCTTCTGCCAGCTACACTTTTTTTTAATATTTAAAGGGCATGTTTATTAGGGAAAGGGACAAAAGAGTAAAAGACACATGCATAGACACCAGCGGGCTGGGAGAGCTGCCCCAAAAGGGACAGGTTTGCTAAGAGAGAGGCCGCATGATTGCAGGCAGGCGGCCGTGAGGAGAGCTGCCTCTGCTGAGGGAGGTCAGTGAGAATTCCTGGCATGCTCAGGGGCAGGCAGGAAGGCTGCTGCCCTGCAGAGGGAGAGAGTTGGTGAAAAGAAGCACCTGCATAGTCACAGGTAGGCAGAGGGAGTGCTGCCTGCTACGCTTAATTTTGACATGTTGGTCTGACTGAAACTGGATGAATTTCTTGGTCCTCTTGTTGATGGTCTTGGGGTTCCTGAGGGGTCTGAGGGCAGCCCTGATGCCAGATGGGAGACAGCCATGTCCGTAGGCAGTGCCGAGGAAGAGAGTTCCCATGTATCAAACTCTTATTTTTATTTATTTTTACATTTCATTTATTTTTAAAGATTTATTTATGGGCCTCCCCGGTGGCGCAGCGGTTGAGCGCTGGGCTACGAGGCTGCCCATAGCCTCTGCAGCGCCGGTTCGATCCCCAGCCGCCGGCGAGGGTCCCACATGGCGTACAGACCTCTCCTGCTGCATCCGCTGCTCCCCTCAGCAGTGTACTTCGTCACTCTGCCTGTTCTGCTCCCTGCTCTGGCTCTGGTGAATTCTCTCACCCTCCCGCGCTTCTGACTGTACCCAGTGCTTGTATAAATAAATAAAAATAAATCTTTAAAAAAAAAAAAGAATCCTTAAAAAAAAAGATTTATTTATGCAGACAAGAACTGGGGTACAGGCCAGAGATGCGGGAGGGTGAGAGGATTCACCAGAGACAGAGTGGGGAGCAGAACAGGTGGATCTACCAAAATCCACTGCTGAGGGGAGCAGCGGGGGAGACAGAAGAGGTCTGCCGCGCCATGTGGGTATCTCCCTGGCCTGCCGGGAACTGAACCCGCGCTGTAGAGGCTGCGGACAGCTTCACAGAGCTGCGTTCAACCCCTGCACCATCAGGGAGGCCCAGAATTCTTATTTTAACTCTGAAGTGGGTGAGGTCATTCAATTTGCTATTAGAAGAGGAAGTAGGAGAAGGTAACTTGAGAAAGACGTGAAGGTTTGAGATGGGTGCTCTGAAGACGGGAGACAGCTTACTGGGTAGTAAGTACTCCTTGGGCCTATGCTGAGCCGCCTCTGTTCTCTGCACAGGAACGTGCTGAGCAGCATGGAGGTTGGTTGCAATGGAAGGTCATGAATTTGTAATGGCGCAGCCCACGGGTAGTGATTTCCTCCTTCCAGCAGCCAGCAGTACTCAGCTCCTCGAGCAGGAGAAAAGAGGCAGCTGGAGTGGCAGTGACTGGAGTTTTGTGGAATAAGGATAATGGATGAACATGGAAGTAAGGGAGCTGAGGGTCTGAGTGAAAGAGGATTTGTGGTCCAGGTCACATAAAGAAGGAGTAGGTATACAAGTTGCCTTTTATATTGAAAAAGTAGGGAAAATCTCTAAGAGGCTAGAGGCTCAGTGAGGTGAGAGTTGCAGAGCTCACAATTGGAGAAAATGACACTTTTGAGATGAAAATTTCAAGGGATAGAAAGACGGAGGCGGCCATGGGAATGCATGTTGAGGGTAGTTAGGTGAAGTTCAGTGGGTCTGAGGAGAGTTCATTCTGTTCTTCTGATTGCAAGAAGAAAAGAGGATTTATTGGTTTATGTTATTGAATAGGCACAAGGTAGGATGGTTCATTTTATTCCAGAAGTTCAGGGTAGTTTCTAATTCTCTTGCTACTGTTTGTTTGTTAGCTTCCCGGGTCCCCTCCAGGAGCCAGATGTGGCTCAGGTCCAGTGGTTCCGCGATCACAAACCACAAGAGGAAGAGAGTGAGCGTCTCTTGACCACTAGACTCGATTCTTCTCTTTGACTAGACCAACTTAGAGAAACGCACGCCCCATCCACCCTCAAAGTAGGCGCTGTGGGCCAGGAAATACCAGGCCTTGATTGGCCAAGTCCTGGGGCAAGGAGGGTTGATGAGGCCTCCAGGGATGTGTTCCTGCCCCCGGGGGTGGCTGGACTCCAGCTAACTGGGGCGGAGTGGAAAGGGCATGGGGAAGAAAACAGCAGTGTCCACAATGAGGAACTGTGCTGCTGTTTATTGAATGACTCACTGTGTACACTGAAGCCAACAGAACAATAGCAGCGGTCAGGGCGCCAGACCCTTCAGTAAATGCTGCGCGTCCACGTAGGAAGGAATGGCAGCGCTGAGAGAAGGCAGAGAGAGTCTACCAGGTGGGCATCATTTCCAAAACAACTGAGATTTTTACTGACAGTAACAATTGGGAAACAGGATTGGGGCCCCAAAACAATGCAGATCCCACCTCCCAGAATAGTATATGAAATTCAGAAACATTCGCCGCTAGAGGTTGCACTAGGTGAATAAGGTCTCCTGGGAGGTGAGCCAGGTTTCAGGGGAGGCCAGAGTGAGCTTTGTATAAATATGGGTACAGACAGTAGCATGGGCATGGGTGGGAAGTGTCACGTAGAACTAGGTTTGCAGAAAGGTTTGAGAGGGAGGGAGAGGAGCCGAGGAGAGAGTCAGGGCAGTCAGCGAGCCCTGGGATTCCCTGTACCTTCCTTATGTTCAATTATGTGTCGTATTAATAGTTATTCATGCGCCTGATCACTGTTCCTTCCTGGATTTTGAGTTCTTTAGGACATTTTTTTTAAAGATTGATTTATGCATGTAAGAGCTGGGGTACAGGCCAGAGGTGTGGGGAGTGAGAGGATTCACCAGAGACAGAGTGGGGAGCAGAACCGGTAGATTGAAATACACTGCAGACTTAACCCCTGCACCTCTAGGGAGGCCCTGCAATGGTCTCAGTGTCTGCAACCACAGTAGATTGCGACCACCAATTAAAACTGATGTGATTCAGGCCTCCCTGGTGGCACAAGGGGTTAAGATGCAGCACTAAGAAGCTGTCTGCAGCCACTGCAGCAAGAGTTCCATCCCCGGCCAGGGAGCTGACCCACATGGTGCGGCAGACCTCTCCTGTCTCCCCACTGCTCCCCTCAGCAGTGGATTTCAGTAGATCTGCCTGTTCTGCTCCCCACTCTGTCTCTGGTAAACACCCCCACCCACTCTGGCCTGCACACCAGTTCTTGTATGCATAAATAAACCTTCAAAAAAACAACAATAGCACACATTTGATGGGGAGACTGGATTCCCTGTCCCTAAGGAAGAGAGACACAGGCGGCTGAGTAGAATGTGGCTGAGCATGTTTCCGATACAGTGGAATGGCAGAGTTTTGCAAGATGAAGAGACTCAGTTCTAGTCAGTGAGTGAACAGCCAAGGCACTTGGACAAAAAACGACCCGGCTGGCCCGAGTCCTCCACGACTGCGGCACAGGTTAGAAGTTGGTCTCGGCTACTTGAAGGGGGAGACGTGTCCCCCCGTCCCAGAGTGAGTCACGAGGCTGCCCCGTCACCGCGGCAGGTGCAGCTTTCAGGACAGGCTTGAGGAGGGTGGGAGGCACCTGGACGAGGGGCCGGGCCGCGCCGCCCGCGCAGCTCCCCACCCACGGCTTTCCTGCCCGGCTGTTCCCAGTAGGGGAGACTGTCCAGTGAAAGAAAAAATACTCCCAAAAGCTGTATTTGGCATAAGCTGATGCCACTGCTAGTGCTGCCAGTGGCCAGGCACAGGCGCGGAAGGCCCTGAGGAGTTGGGAGGACGGGAGAAAGGGCGCAGGCAGGTGGGAGCGGCCAGCTCAGGCCCCTGCTCCAGAGCCCGGGAGGGTAAAGGCTGTGCAGTTTCTTTGGCTAGGTCAGAGACCCCATGTGGGCCTGGGAGGTGAGCGGGCTGAGGGGCGCAGGCTCCCCCAGGAGCCTTAGCTTTAGGCTCATTCACATTGAGGCGGTGATGCAGCGAGAGGCAAGGCAAGGTGACAGCATCAGGCTGGTAACCCCTGGCTCCTAGGAGCTGCCCTTCTCCTTGTCATCGGTGAGGTCATACCTGCGAGGACAAGCAGAGAAGGCCCACACACAGGTGATTCCGCGTCCTCTTGTCAACGAGGCACGACCCGAGGGCTTGTATCCTTCCGTCCCTCCCGTGACCGCCCCAGTGTCCAGGCCCGCCCGGCCCGTCAGACACTCACCACTGGGCCGCGCCCTGGGAAAGGTCTATCTCCGCGAGGTCCAGCTGCACCTGTGCGTAGAGGGCGGGAGGGACGAGGGGTTGTTTTCTCCCAAGACCACATCCACTATCAGCCCCACCCCACCCCACCCCCGGTCCCAAGCCAGTGCGGAGGGGAGTCCGCCTGAAAGCTGTGTCGCTCAGCTGCGTCCTCCCTGGTGGGGCCACAGCCCTGGTTCCGGCAACTTCATTTATTCACTTATTCATTTATTTATACAAGCACTGGGAAGCGCGGGAGGGTGAGAGAATTCACCAGAGCCAGAGTGGGGAGCAGAGCAGGCAGAAGGACTGAAGCACACTGCTGAGGGGAGCAGCGGGCAGCGTGTGGGACCCTCCTCCGGTGGCCAGGGAGCAGCCGGGGATCGAAACGGCCACAGGCGGCCCTGCAACCCAGCGCTCAACCGCTGAGCCACTGGGGAGGCCCAGGAGGTCTGCGCGCCATCGTGGGACCCTCCTCCAGTGCCCGGGGAGCAGCCGGGGATCGAACCGGCGCCGCAGAGGCCGCGGGCAACCCTGCAACCCAGGGCTCAACCACTGAGCCACTGAGGAGGCCCAGGAGGTCTGGGCGCCATGCGGGACCCTCCTCCGGAGGCCGGGGAGCAGCCGGGGATCGAACCGGCGCCGCAGAGGCCGCTGGCAGCTTCGCAACCCAGCGCTCAACCGCTGCGCCACCTGGGAGGCCCAGGTCTGGCAACTTCTAACTCTCACCTTTATCCACCCGCCCGTGCCTTTTTTTTTCTCCCCACGTCAGAAGGGTAACGTGCTGACGTCGTAACAAGGTTTAAGGGAGGCACGTCTCACACAGCCGCGTGAACACCCAGTCATCATGCTTATGAAGCGGAAAAGGATCGCCCGCCCGTGCCCTTTTACCTTCCCCAGCAGCTCACGTTCTCTGGACATGAAGGAGGAGTTAGACTTCACAGAGACGTCCAGCTTTCGCCGGAGGGCCTCATCCAGGGGCAGTTCCCACTCAAACCTGGCGCGGGACAGGCTGTCAGGGCCGGGCTTCGCCCCGAGCCTGCCGTCCCCCCTGGACTGCCCACCGACTGACCGTTCGTTGAATTCGGGATTTAAGGTCCTTTTCTTCTGGGAGGTCTTCCTCTTCGTGCCCCGGTTCTTGTCTGGCGGCAGCAACAGTGACACGTAGGGGTCGGGGGGGTCCCGTCCGCTTTGTCGAAGGACCCTGCAGCAGACGGTGAACGTCATGAGGCGGCCCCGGGGAGGGAGGGGGACACCTGGGAGATGGGGCAGGCGGGGGCTCACCGGCAGCCGTGAACGATGCTGACCAGCTTCCGCTCCTCGCTGTAGTACCAGACGGTGAGCTTCACCTGGCCCAGAGGCCCGGCCGGAGCCTCCGGCGGACTGTGGCGAGACGGGGACGGGTCTGGGGGAAGCCGGGACCTAGGGCACCCGCAGCTTCTCCTTTCTATTCCTGACTGCACCCCATCTCTCTGCCCCACCCTTTACCTGTCGCCGTGCGTCAGGCGCTGCCGGAGCTCCGGGGCCGAGGATGTGATGTGAGAGAGCCCCCCCCAGAGCTCTGGCTCTTCACTGAGAGTTGAGGAGCTGTGGCTGTAGGTGTGGCTGTGCGCCTCCACGCCCGAGTGCTGGGACACCAGGATCTAGGTGGGCAACGAAGCAGTGAGCCTGGGGGGGTGGGGGGCGCCGGGGACACGCACACGCGCGCGCACGGCTCTGAACACACTCTGCTTCCACCCTGCCCTCCTCCTGCCCCCCATCTCCCGGCACTCACCCCCAACTGTGCTCTCAGGAGCACCTGTCCTTGCCCGTTGCTGAGCGAAAACCAGCGGTCCAGGCAGAGCTGGTCGGCCCCGAGGAGCTCCGAGAGGGGCAGGGATAACGAGCCCAGCGTGCCCGTCCCCTCGCCCCGAACCTGTGGGGCAACAGGGCTGTCATCAGGACGCAAGCCGCCTGCCAATACATCAGTGTATCCTGGCGTTGCGGGCCAAGATGGGGTGGATTTAATGAGACCCGTCCCCCTCTGTGCCGGCAGGGAGCCGTGGCACGCTGCCGGCCCCCGCTTCCCTTCCCTTTTCATCCAGGGAAGACGAGCCGTACGCCCCAAGAGCGCGCACACTATTCTAGAACTATCTGGAGAGTGGAGAAAACAGAAAAATGGAAAATGCCTATCCTACCCCCGTTTCCGTATTCCAAATGGAACAGTCTTTAACCCTGCCTGTGTCCTTTGTCTCAGCAGCCTCCTAATATGCCCATCCGCGTTCCTGATTTGCCAACTTCAGTATCTACCCCTGCCTTGAAAGATGATAAGTTCATCTGCATCTCTTCCCTACCTCTGCGAGTGTTGCTCATAGTTACATTAAATTCTGCTGGTTTCTACTCATGAAATTCTCTATTTCCTGTTCTGCTTTTTTTTTTTTTTTTAATTTATTTACTTATGCATGCAAGAACTGGGGTACAGCCCAGAGGTACAGGGGGTGAGAGGATTCACCAGAGACAGATCAACTGAAATCCACTGCTGAGGGGAACAAAGGGGAGACAGGAGAGGTCCGCTGTGCCACGCGGGTCACCTCCCTGGCCAGGGATGGAACTCGGGCTGCAGTGGCTGGAGACAGCTTCATAGTGCTGAGACTAACCCCTGTGCCACCAGGGAGGCCCCAATTTCTATCAACTTCAGAAGGTATTTCTTGACTCCTCGCTCCTAAGTCTCAGCATTCCTATTGCCTTCCATCTCTCCTCTCCCCCCCCTCCCTTCTCTCTTCACTTTCTGTGCCACCTTCAACCCACAGAAATTTGGTTTCTACTCCAGTTATGCCCTGAAGTTTCCCCAATCATCAGTGACCTCCAAGTTCCACAGGCAACGAATCGTTTTCAGTCATCTGATTTTACCCTCTTGGCAACATCTGGTCGCTTGCTTGCTTTTGGCTTCCATTCCCACTCTGTCCTGGCAAGTGTCCTAAAGCTCCACTTCGGCTGCTGTGAGGGGCTCTGCTTCCTCCCTTGCCCTTTCCCCGCTGGAGTCCCACCACGGCCCCCCTTCACTGTCTGCACTCTGACTGCAGCTGCCTCCTCTTTGCTTGCTCGTGATGGTCAAACGGGAGGGAGGACCGCCCCAGTGGGCTGCAGGCTGACCTCTGGGTGGTTATTCCTCACAGATTGCAAATTCAAAAACTCCTGCTTTGGGCCTCCCTCGTGGCGCAAGGGGTTAAGTCTCGGCACTGTGACGCTGTCTCCAGCTACTGCAACACAAGTTCGATCCCCGGCCAGGGAGGTGACCCACATGGCGCAGTAGACCTCTCCTGTCTCCCCATGGCTCCCCTCAGCAGTGTGTTTTGGTCAATCTACCTGTTCTGCTCCCCACTCTGTCTCTGGGGAATCCTCACCCCAGCTCTTGTATGCATAAATACATCTTTTTTTTAAAATTTAAAAAAAAAAAAGCACCCGTTTTGTGAGTTCTCTGTGTCAGCAGTGGCACCGTTTTCTGTTCAGTCACCCCACGGTAAAGACTCAGGAGCCAGCAACTAGGCTGTCGCTTATTCTTTCCGCTGCCATGTTAAAATCACCACCAAATACCACCTGACCTTTGTCATTTCTTTGCTTCAGTGACTAACAGCCTCTTAACTGATCCGCCTGCCTGCAGTGCTGTCCCTCCCCGTCCGCCCTGTCCCTGGCGATCAGCAGGATCTTCCTGAAATGCACGTACAGGTCTGTCCGCCCTCCCTCCTCACGTTTCCCTGGCCCCCTGGAAGTAGTCCCCATGCTCAGCGAGATGTTCCAGAGCCGCTGTCCCTTCCTCCCCGCCTCTCTAATCTAAAAGTTGTCTCTTTGTTCTTTATTCTTTTCTCCACCTGAAGAGTTTTCCTGCCCTTCTTTTCTTGTCAGATCCTAATGAACCTGCAGCTCAGAGGTCATTTTAAGGACGCCGGCCTCGCTACCCCTGCCTGGTCAGCTCGTCCGCGTTAGGACCTCCTTTCCCCACACAGCGCCTTTTCCCTCGGCCCTTTCCAGCCTGGAAGTGCTCGACGGTCATTTTTCTCCCCGAAGAACGCGAGCGCCACAAGGATGAGAACTAGACCTTTTCTCGCGCGCGCCCCGCGCCTGGGTCAGCGCAGAGGCCCGCGAGAGCAGTGGCAGTACCTGCAGCTCCAGGCTCTCCGCGTTCGGTTTCCTGACGAGGAAGGAGGCGCTCTCGTCCCAGATGGGAGCTGCGGTCTGGGCCACCGTCTGGTGGAGACGAGGGGTAGTTACCGTCAGTAGCTGACACTTCTCCTTCAACTCTTACCCTCCCAGTCTTAGCCCTGCAGGGGCATTTCCGCATACCTTAGTCTTGTGAGAAGTGTCTCCCACGGTGAGGGTAGCGTAAGAGCTGGGAGGCTTGGTGCCTTTCCGGAGCTAGACAGAGGATATTGTGTTAAGTATGAAAAACCGTCTTAAATGTGGACTTAGTGGGGTAGATCCCGCCTCTCGCCTCAGTAATTACATCCCCAGCCAGCAGCCATGTCCCCACTGTCACATGACAGCCACCGCCTTCCTGGCCTTGAGCAGATGATTCTTCCCACCCCAGCAACACCCCAGGAAAGAGGAGTTGGAATGTATTATTCCAAATCCACCCGGAGGATCTGCGCCTGAGAGAGGTGGGGAAAGGGCGGGGGGCTCTGGGGGTGGGGGCAGGTCTCACCGGCAGGTCCTCAGCCCGCTCCAGGTAGACGGACAGCAGGGCCGCCGCCAGCTCCGCACTCTTCTGCGTCTGGATCAAACTGTTCACCTGCAGCACCTGGCGGGGGACCCACGGGGAGTTGGGGAGCAGTAACTGACGCCCCGGGATCTGGCATATGCTTGGAGTTGACAGGAAAGCTTACTCCGACCCACCCAGGGCCCCGTCTCACCTCCTCTAACTCCGCAGCAGTGGGACGGGGGCTCAGACGTTCCAGGCGCAAGTGCAGGCGGCCAGACGGGACGTCCTCCAGCGTCAGCCACTGCAAGTCGGCAGGGTTAAGGGGAGAGACTGTTAAGAGAATGGGGCGTGGGGACAGAAAGACCATGAGGTCGAGACTCGGTCTCCGTGCTCACCTAATTCCATACGCACCTCATCAAGGAAGCCGCTGTTCAGGACTGTGGTGAGGCTCACTTTACACCTGTGGAGGAGGACGATTTGGGCAAGAGGTGGATGGTTGGAGCCAAGTCCGTCTCCCCGAGGCCAGCCCTGGACTCCTGGGCTCTCACCCGCTCACCTGCCCAGAAAGTCGTCCTTGTCTAGGTCCTTGTCAAAAACCTCAATGTCTAGCTCTTGGCCTGGAATTGATGTGACGATCACCTAGTGCAGACGAAAGGGCAGTTCTCTCCTCAGAAGCAGTCAGTGGCCCTTCTCAAAACGACTGAACCCCTTCCCAATCTCTTGAGCCCCAGACATTTTTCCAACTACTCTCAGAGCTAGGGGAGTAAAGGGGCAGGATGGGGCCTGCCCGGTGGCGCAGCGGTTGAGCGCTGGGTTGCGAGGCTGCCCGCAGCCTCTGCAGCACCGGTTCGATCCCCGGCTGCTCCCCGGCCACCGGAGGAGGGTCCCACATGGCGCGCAGACCTCTCCCGCCGCCCGCTGCTCCCCTCAGCAGTGTGCTTCGAATCCTTCTGCCTGCTCTGCTCCCCGCTCTGTTTCTGGTGAATCCTCTCACCCTCCCGCGCTTCTGACTGTGCCCAGTGCATGTGTAAATAAATAAACAAATAAATAAATAAAAAGGGCAGGATGGAGGGGAGTCTCCACCACACAATTCTAACCTCAAAAACCTCATTCCAGTGGGGATTGAGGTCTTCCCGAACGACACGGCTCCGGAAGCTTCGACCTGCCAGCTTTAGTTTGACGTAAGGGTCTGACTTGCCCTTCACCAGTCCCCCCAGGAAACGGTCTTTGGCAATCAGGTCCTGGGCCTCTAACACGTGGATCCGAAGCACATTCTGCAAAGGGCGAGGCACCAGATGGCCGTCAGAGAGAAACCAGTCAGAACCAGCCTGACACGGGCTTGCGCACAAGCAGAGCCTAGTGCTTCCCAGAGAGACTCACCTCAGTTCCAAAGTGACCGTCAGGAGTAGTGAGACTGGGTCGCGGTGGGGCGTCCACGCTGCTGCCCTTCTGGGAGCTCTCGCTGTCCGCATCCCAAGCACCGAGGGTCCCGGGGTCAGTGGGGAAGCGCACGTCAGAGGAATCCAAGTACAAGACCTGGAGGGTGGGCGGTCGGGAAGCAAAGCACAGCTAGTCGGGGTGGTGGGCAGAGCCAGGGCTCTGGCAGGGTGTGGCTGGGCTCACCTCTACCTGAAGGGTGCCCTCTGCACTCACCCCACCCGTACAGCGTTTCTCCCCCAGCCAGAGGAGCAGACTGTCCTGTGTGCCTGCTGGCTGCTGCCACCTTGGGGGAAGCTCATTTCATCTGAGAGGATGCCCCTTCCTTGCTCTTAGTTCCAGGGCCCCTCCCCGCCCAGCGCGCCCTCCTACCCGCATGACCAGTTTCATGTAGAGCCTGGAATTTAGGCCAGAGCTGCTGAGCTGGAACCACTGGTCCAGGGTGAGCTCAGAGGCAGTCAGCAGGCGAGCCAGCGGCAGGGTCAGAGCCCCGAGTGTCAGGGCCCTAGAGTCATCCTTCACCTGGGAGCAGGGGGTGCAGTGAAGAGATTGGGGGAAGGGGGAGCACATTGGGGAAGTTAATGCGACTCTCGCTTCACTCTGTCAACCGCACGCCTGTTGCTGTTTCCATTACCTGGAAAGTTCTCATTCTTCTCCCTTCTGCTTTTTTCTCCTCCCTCCCCCCACCTATTTAAATCCTATTTAGTCCTCAAAGTCCACTTAAAATTCTACTTTCTTGGGTCTCCCCTGATGGCACAGCGGTTGAGTGCTGGGCTGCCAGGGAGGGCCCCACATGGCATGACAGACCTCTCCTGCCGCCCGCTGCTCCCCTCAGCAGTGTGCTTCGGTCCTTCTGCCTGCTCTGCTCCCCACTCTGACTCTGGTGAATTCTCTCACCCTCCCGCGCTTCTGACTCTACCCAGTGCTTGTATAAATAAATAAATAAATCTTTAAAAAAAAATCTTACTTTCTTCACTAACACTCTGTTACTCCAGCCTTTCTCTGGTCATCCTTAGCAGCACGCCTCCGCATCTTATTCCCTCTAGTTAATATTTAATCATTCATGGTTTTATATGTGTGTCCTGTTTATGAAAGCAGCTGATAAGCTTTGTGAAGAAGAGACAGTATTTCATACTTTCTGTGATCTTTAAAAATGGTGTTGAGGGGCCTCCCTGGTGGCACAAAGGGGTAGGCACTGCACTATGAGGCAATCCTCAGCCTGTGCAGCATGAGTTCGATCCCCGGCCGGCCAGGGAGAAACCCACAGGGCGCAGCAGACCTCTCCTGCTCGCCCGCTGCCCCCCTCAGCAGTGTACTTCAGTCAGTCTGCCTGTTCTGCTCCCCACTCTGTCTCTGGTGAATCCTCTCACCCCCCCACATTAAATAAATTTTTTAAAATAAACAAAAATAAAACACAATTCTGGACTCATACATGGGTAGTGAAGAAAGACAGAGGATGTGCAGAGTCTAGGTAGTTGGATGGAAAATGGAGATCCGAGGAGAAAGTGGAGACAAGAAATGGAACACATCCGGGAAAAGAGCATATTCAGGTGCTCAGGGGCTGACATGGTGATTGACTCACCTGCACCTCAAGCTCCTGGCTTCGAGGGTCTTGCAGGAAGAACCGGAAGGCCTCCTCCCACACGGGGCAGTTGGTGCTGTAGACCGCCTGCGGTGCACAGGGTGGGATTAAGGGCACATGCCTCAGCACATTCCTGTTTCTCCAGAAAATGCTTGTCTTACAGGCATTCCAAAAAGGACACTTCTCCCAAGAGCAGCCTCTCCGGGCCCCGCCTCCTCCCACAGCCCCTAACACATACAACTTCTCCCACAACCCAGCGTGGCCCGCACCTTGCTCTCCCGAGTCACGTCCTGAATTGACAGCTGCACCATGGGGTTTGGTTCCTTGTTTCCCTTCTTTAGCTGCAGGGGGTAGAATTCAGGGGTCACCATTTCAGGTGTTTGGGGTTTTGTTTCGGCGAAGGAAGGTGGGTTCCCCTCCTGGGAACCCTCGCACTACATGTCGCTGCCGCGGGAGCACAGCAGGCAGTGGCAAAAGCGGGTGTGGGAAAACTGCTCCAGGCTGCCCCTTCACCTGCCCTCAGAAGCCACTCACAGGGAGATCCTGGGCCCGATCCAGATAGACCACTAAGATGGCTGCTGATGGGGGCTCTGGCCGGGAGGAGACGCCGCGATTCCACTGTAGAACCTGGTGGAAAGTGGCAGTAGTCAGACCTTGGCCCCCCAGTCTCTTATGCTTCCAGCTACCTGCTGCTCCCCCGCCAGCTTCCTGTCTGCTGTGGTGGTCACCTGCTCCAGTTTTCCTGCATCTGGCAAAAGCGACAGCCATTCCAACCTTAAGTGAACTTGGCCTTGCCCTCCTTGGAGAAGGAACCACTGGAATGAGAGGCAGAAAAAAGCGAGGTTCAGATTCCCATTCAAACTCTCTCCCGTCAGGACAGCAAAGCAACAGTTGTCTGCTCAGCGGGTGAGAACACCCCACCTTCCTCTGCTCTCAACTTACATCATCCAGCACTCCAGCCTGCAACACCTTCCCTACGTCCAGCTTCATTCTGGGGAGGGCGAGAGGGAGAGATGGGAGGAGGTTGTGATCAGTAGCAGGTCATTGGCTTCTACTCATCTACCCAGAAAAACCTGGCAGCTCTCACTCCCCCTTTTCTCGAGAGACTTGTCTGTGCACACCTGTAGGGGGCGAGAGGGGGGGCGCCTGGGAAGGGGGTGACACAATTGACAGGCCCAGAACAGGTTACAATTACCTCTGGGACTCTGGTAGCATGGGGGCTTTACAACCCCAACATAGACCGTCTCACCTGCCCAGAAAGTCATCTTTGTCAGGATCCTTGTCAAACACCTCCACCTCGATCTCCTGCCCTGGCACCTCGTGTACCATCACCTGCAATGCACAGAGGCATAAGGCTTTCATGAGCTACAGCTGTGAGGAGCATCTTTGCTCACAGCCTCCTGGGGCCTCCCCATTTCACACCGCCCCACTCCTCAGCTCTCCCACCTCATATGTCTCTCCCCACTGGGGGTTGAGATCCTCATCAATGACACGACTGCAGAATGTCTGGGTGCCCACGCGCACGAGCGCATAGGGGTCTGACTTGCCCTCAATCAGGCCCTTCACATATTTGTCCTTGGAGCTTAGCCCTCGAGCAGCCAGCAGGTGGATCCGAATAATGCCCTGGGGGAGCAATCAGAGAAACTTCAGGAGCCAGCACAGGGTGCCTGAGAAAGGGGCCTACCTCATGGGGAGCGGCCATACCCGGGGAAGAGGAGAACGCAGCTGGGCCACGTCTTGGAGATCGGGCACGAGCGGCACCAGGAGCCGGTTGGGCAGCACGAGGAAGGCGGCAATGGAGTCCATGATCATGGTGTCAGAGAGTGAGCTGAACGGGCAGAGGAGGTGAGTGGGGCCCTAACTTCCAATATCCTCCCACCCCAACTGTGTTTTCCATAACCAAAAGAGCAGGAAAGCTAGAGCGAAGTCCTTTTTTTTTTTTAAGATTTATTTATTTATTTATTTATACAAGCACTGGGTACAGTCAGAAGCGCGGGAGGGTGAGAGAATTCACCAGAGCCAGAGCGGGGAGCAGAGCAGGCAGAAGGACCGAGGTACACTGCTGAGGGGAGCAGCGGGCGGCAGGAGAGGTCTGCGTGTCACGTGGGGCCCTCCTCCGGTGGCTGGGGAGCAGCCGGGGATGGAACCGGCACTGCAGAGGCAGCGCTGCAAGCAGCTTCACAACCCAGCAATCAACCGCTGTGCCACCGGGGAGGCCCGCAAAGTTCTTTCTTGAAAATTCTTTTCTGGGGCCTCCCCTGTGGTGCAGTGGGTTGAACACCTCGCTGTGAAGCTGTCCGCAGCCTCTGCAGCGCAGGTTCAATCCCGGCCAGCCCACATGGCGCAGCAGACCTCTCCTGTCTCGCCCACTGCTCCCCTCAACAGTGTATTTCGTCAGTCTGCCTGTTCTGCTCCCCGCTCTGTCTCTGGTGAATCCTCTCACCCTCCCGCGCCTCTGGCCTGTACCCCGGTTCTTGTATAAATAAATAATCTTTAATTAAAAAAAAGAAAAACCTTTTCTGTTACTTTTACCCTGATTTCCCCCTCACTGACCTACTTTCAACCCGCTTCCTGCTCTCCTTCCTCTCTCTGCCGCTGCCGTGCACCTCGCAGCCCTCTCTATCCTCTCCCTAGTCCGTGCTCCCCACAAGAAAAGCCAAAGTATCCAACCGCCACGGTTCTGTGTAATCTCCCAACTCAACTCCCGGCGGGCGCCCACTGCTTATTGTACTGCGGGAACAGGCAGCAGGTGCGCAATAAAGCCTCGATACCTGAGTCCTGGGATATCGAGCAAGTTGGTCATCCCCGTCCAGTTGATATCGAGGGTCTGCAAGAGCAGAGCAAGGAGATGAGCAGAGACCACACAGTGCGGTCACGCCACCCGGCCGCCTCTAATCTAACAGCCCCTCAGCCTTCTTGCCACACCCCCCATCCCCAGGGCCGGCCACCCGCTCCTCCCAGTTCTGTTTCCCCACCCCTCTCCGTGTTTCCCTTACCGGGCGTCTGATAAAGAACATGGACACAGCCCCCACAATAGGGAGATCCCCAACGAGTGGCTCAAGAATCACCCGCAAGACACCATGTAGCTGGACAAGAGAAGATGAAAGTCTTCCTCAGGAAGGGCCGTCTCCCCCTCCAGACTCCCGCTTCCCCAAGTCCAACAAAACTTAGGGCAAAGGCCCCCTCCATGGGGACCCTTGACATTCGCCCCACCTGCATGCCCTTGAGTCCGGCTTTGCAGAAATACTTCTTCACTTCCACATCGATCTGCACATCACCTACATAGCTGGCGGGTGGCGAGAAAAGGGTCAGCCCGAGGCTCAAGTGGGCAGGGGAGTGAAGTGGGGAGACTGACCAGGACCCCGATGAAGGAGAAGCAGGAAGTGTTACCTGACGCTCAAGTCCAGCAGGATCTGGTCTTTTCTCTGACCAGTGTGAACCTTGACCCCGAGGATGCGCAAGGGCTGGAGAGAGATGAGCTTCTGAGGCAGGGGTTTGGGGGGGGGTACCTCAGCCCCCCTGGCCACCCACCTTCTCCTGCTCCATCTCCTCCTTCCATGACTTTCCCTTCAGCGCACAAACCTTTTCACCCAGTTCCACCCGCGTGAATGTGAACGTCTGCAGGTGGGGGTTAGAGCCACGAACCGCAGGGGCCACAGTTTCAGCCAGAAGCTTCTCCATATACTGGCCAAGGAAGGGCCAGACCTGGGCCACGATCTGAGAGGACAGGGCGGTGTCACGGGAGGCCCGGCCACCCTTCGAGGGCCAGACAGGGTCCCCCTGCAAGGAGGCTGGGGCCGGGCCGCGCCGGGGTGAAGCTCTGGCAAGGACGAACCCGGCTCCACCCGTGGAGAAGAAAATGCAGACAATCTGTCCTCACCTTGTTCAGCCACTCCGCCTTTTCCACATCCGGGAAACTGACCTGCGGGCGGGAAAGGCAGGGGGTGAGCACACCCCGCCGCGGCCCCCAGAGCCCGGCGGGTGTCGGCAGAAGGGAAACCAGCTTCCTCACAGCCAGGCTGCGGCAGGGCTGGGCACCCCAGGGTGTCGGTCTCCCTTGGGGTGTGGTACTGACAGGGCAGTGGGCGGGGCGGCTGTGGCAAGGAGGGGAGGGCGGCGGCACATTCTTGGGGGGGTCCTGTCAACCACAGCTGGGGAAATCCGGCCCCTCTCCCCACCTTCCACCTCCCGGGGCTCCAGGCCGAGGCGGGGCGGGGAGCGGGAGCGGCCTCTGGGGGCGGGGAGGGGCCCCGCGGGGTCGCCTCTCCTCAGTGAGGCGCCGTGGGCGGCCCGGGACCAGCTCCCCGATGGCAGGCGGAGGACAGAGGCCGCGCGGGCTCCGGGGCTCCAGGAACTTTCCTCCGCATGTCGCGGGGCGGGCGAGCGGCCGCGCCTGCCACCGTCGACTCCGACTCCACGGCCGGGCGCCCGCGGCAGCGAGGAAGGGAGGGGCCGGGTAACGGGCCGGGCGCGCGGGAGGCCCCAGCCGGGCCGGCGGGGGCGCAGACAGCGGGGTCCTGGCGCGAGTCCGGAAAGGGTGTGGCCGCGGGCGTGGGCAGCGCCACTGCAGCAGCCGCGCCGCACTGCCCCGCACTGCCCGCCCGCACTGCCCGCCCGCACTGCCCGCCCGCGGCGCCCCCGGTTCCCCGCCGCCGCCCCCAGCGCCCCCAGCTCCCCGCCGCCGCCCCCAGCTCCCCTCCCGCAGCTCCCCGCCCTCGGGCCAGCGGCCGCCTCCGCGGTGCTGCGGGGCAGGGTCCCGGGCCGCGTCCCAAGGTCCCGGCGGGAAAAGGGAGAACTTGGTGGCCCTCAAAGGGCTTGAAACAAACAAGCCCAAGGGGGCGCGGGGCTGCCCGAGGGGCGCACGCACGGCGCCCGGGCGAGGGGCCACCCAACGGCCGGCCGGGGGGCGCCCGCGCCGGGACGGGCCCCCAGGGGTCCCGGCCGCCGCCGGCCGGCCCGGAGGGGGAGTCCCGGGCCGCGGGGCGCGGGGGGCGGGGGGCGGGGGCCGGGCCGGGCCGGGCGCTCACCCAGGCGGGCAGCTCGCGCTGGCTGAGGAGCAGCGTCCGCGCCGTGAGCCGCTCCTCGTCGTCCAGCAGGCGCCGCGCGGCCCGCAGGCTGCGCTCCTTCCCGTCGCGGACGCGGCGCCAGCCCAGGTAGAGCGCGAGCCCGAGCAGCACGAAGCCCACGCTGAGCCCCGCCGCGCCGGCCAGGTACACGGGCACCAGCACCAGCAGCCGCCGCCCGAACGCGCCCAGCGCCGCCAGGGCCTCGCCCGCCGCGCCGGGGCCGGCCGCCCGCTGCCCCGCGCTCGGGGCCGGCGTCGCGTCGGGCGCGGGGGGCGGCGCGGGGGCCGCGGGCGGCCCGGCGGGGCGGGGGCCGGCTCCGGCGGGGCGCTCCATGCCGCCCGCCTGCGGGGTCCCGCCGACTGGAGGCCGCCGGGGTGGCGCCTCCGCGAGGAGCCCCCCCAGGAAACCGTAACCCCCGGCGGGGAGGGGCCCCAGGCCCCGCCCCCGCGCCCGGCCCCGCCGGGTTGGCCCGGGCCGGGCCGAGGTGGAGCCAGAGGCGCGAGGCCCTGCCCCCTCCCCCGGGCGCGGCCCCGCGCGGGGCGCCCCCGATTGGGCCCGAGCGCCGGGGGGCGGCCGCCGCGGCGGGGCCCGGAGGCAGGAAGCTCAGGGGCGGCCCCCGACGGGCGGACGGAGGGGGGTGCCGGGCCTGCGGACGGGGGCGCCCGGGCCCCGCGGGCGGCGCGCCCGCCGTGTGACGTCACCAGCGCCCGCGCGGCCCCCGAGCCGCGAAGCTGGGGGTCCCGCGGCCGGGGTGTCCCTGCGCGCCGCTCGGACGCTCGGCCCGGACTCCCGCGCGCGCCCCCGGCCGCCCCCGCCCCGAGCGCCGGCCTCTCCCCGCGCCCCGCGGGAGGGAAACGGCCTGTGCGGAACCCAAGTGCCGCCCCGGCCCGGCCCGGCCGGCCCGTCTCTGCGGTGCCGCGGCAGACGCTGGACACGCCTGGCGAGTCAGAGTCGCACCGTTGGGGTAGCCCAGCCCTCAGGTGAGGGCCGCGGAGGAGGTGACGAGGACGCGAGGTTTTATTCCTCCAGAACCTCCGGGAGGTCCTCGTCTGTGGGAGGGGACGAATTAAAAGGAAGTCGGCTCCCTGGGGCGGGGCGGGGTCCACGGTCGCAGAATTACATTTTCCAAGACTCTGACCCTGAGCAACTCCTCGGGCACTAGAAAGAACCCCAGAGCGATGAGGCGAGTGTTGACCACTGCCCGGGGCTGGGCCGCGCAGGGCCGGGGAAGGAGGCGCAGCTCACACGGACCGACCGGTCACTGGGCTTCGCCTGGAAGACTGGCCGGGACTGGAAACTAGATCAACTGGACACCCAGGAGGGCACCACTGGCCAAAGATGAGTGTCTCTTAGTGCAGTGAGATGAGACAGTATTCCACTTCGTGCAGAGGGGGAGCTCGTGTTGATTGTTGGGGGAGAAGCAGGTCTGCGGCTGATGAATCTTCTCTAGCTCTGCAAGGCGTAGATTTCATCCTGCTGTGTTTCATCAAAGCTGCTTAAAGCCTGTCCCTGCCCAGCCTTCCTCCCGTGGTCCTAAACTTTCTTACTTCCCTTTCTCTACTTCTCGGGGGGCTCACTGTTCTTCCAGACTGCTTCATACTGCAGAGTAAAGAACAACAGTCTATCTTCCTCCTGTGTCCTTCATATTTTCAAAGGTGAGTAGGTAGACGAGGTCAGGGTCTGGGGGAGGGAAGATAATCAGCCCGCGGACTGATGAAGCAGGACTACAGCAGGAAAACTAGTGAATCTCCACAGCAGGACGCTATGAACTGAAACTTGCCGAGCAATGGCATGGGGGAGGGCGCCCCCTTACTTGGGGGATGCAGAGGGTACTCATGGAGGTTCTTTTCCAAACTTCCCCCTTTTCTCACCCCAGCTAGCTCATCAGATCCTCCTTCTGAGGACAGTATACGGAGGATGACAGCGCCTCCTCAGGAAGGTCTCTTCCCACCTGGGACCCTGGAACCACATTAGCAGCAGCTGCAATGCAGGCACCAGAACAAGTAAACAGGGTGGGTCCCCGCCCACGACAATTCTGCTGCCCAGGTGCCACCTGCTGGTGATAGCAGTAAGTAGGTAACGGAAAAGAAAGGCCATTTGTTACAGGGAGTCTCTGAGCGCAGAGAGAAGCCAGACTTACTGGATTTGCAGGCTGCGTTTGTATGTGAACGACAGCGCTTCCTGGCGGAGGCCGAGGAAAAGAGGTGGTAATCAAGCGACTCTCCGAGCGGAAAGGTCCCAACCTGCTCTCCAAAGGATTTGAGGAAATTTCTGTATTAATCCCCAAAAGTTACTACAAAGCATGGTCCCGGTTTTTGTGTTGTGTGTCCCCATTCTTGGGTGGCTCTACTATTAGAACTTTCTTATGCCAAGTCTGGGTTCAGGATGCCTGAAGAGGTTCTTGGCTTCTCTTACCAGTTGTGGAACCCTGCATTGATTACTCTCCCTAAACCTTCTCTGCAAAACGCGTATGACAATAGTACCCGTCACGTCAATGAGATACTGTATGTGAAGAACCCAGCAGAGTGCCTTGGTGTCTACTAACTACCCAAAGATGTTAGCTATTATTCCAGAACTCTTATGCAGCAAGACAGGATCGTTCCTCCACTGGGCAGCCCTTCAAGTATTTGAGCACATCTATTAGGTCTCCCCTTAGTCTTCTCTTGCTAAGTTTTTCAACTATCCCACTGGTTTGTCAATGATCCGCCTTAAAAACTACATTTAGAAGAACACACAATACTTTAGGAGTGACTCCGCTCATACACACACGGCAGAACTGCTGTATTTACAACGCCTAACGTTGGTTCTGGTACTCTATGGAGCGCCTAGATGCCTAGCACACAGCAGTTAACATGTATGAATTGACATATTCTGAGGACTAAGATCTTGTTTTGCAGCCAGTTGAAAGTTCTGTGTTGTCCTCATGTAACTATTGCTAATGCAGATCTCTGCTTTTCTTTCTCAGATAAGTGTAAGCAATTTTTAGGTGGGGTGGGTCAATTCAAATGGATCCAGATTTACTCCTTGGATAAATTTAGTCAGTCCAAGTTCCACTTTCAGTATTACTTAGTATTTCCTTAACATGGCTTTTCATATTTTTACACCTTTTAAAAAAGTGAAACATGGCCTGTGGTGTATCACCGGACACTAGAGGTTTCTAACGTTAGTGCACACATCAACATTTACCAGACACAAATGTTCAGTTTTGGATTACACCAAACTCTATTAACTGACCTGTAGTTATTCCCTTATCTGTCGTGACTTAGTGGTTAAGAAAGAGGAAAGCAGTGCCTGCCATCTGGGAACTGGCCTGAGAACAGCTAGACTTGAGTGAGGAGCTAAGATGGGGCTCCTAGCTAGGAAATTATGTTCTCCTGTCAGACACAACTGCACAAAACACCAACAGCAGACAGTCAGTGGTGACTATTATGAAGTGAGGCACAAAACAAGATCATTTCACAAGATCACTTTGTTAAAAGTAAAAAACAGGGCCTCCCTGGTGGCACAGGCGGTTGAGCGCAGCGCCCTGAAGCTGTCCGCAGCCTCTGCAGTGCCAGTTCGATCCCCGCCGGCCACGGAGCAGCCCACGTTTCCGTCATTCTGCCTGTTCTGTTCCCCGCTTGGTCTCTGGTGAATCCTCTCACCCTCCCACACATCTGGCCTGTACCCCGGTTCTTGTATAAATAAAAAAATCTTTAAAAAAATCAAACTGCAATTTAAAAAAAAAAATAAAAAACAAGGTCTGTGTGTAAACCACAGAAGAGCAAACACCCCTCGCTCCTAGCTAATGACTGTTGCTTCATTACTAGTTACCAAGAGCAAACAGCTTCCGCTTCACTCTGCCCTCGTACTAGATAAGCTGAAGAATTATTCCTGCTTCTCCGGTGGCACCTATTCCAGAGCTAAGCCCCACTTCATGAATGTTGCTTCTCCCAAATCACTTGAAGTCTAAATCCTGTAAGTTCTTTTTTAACACCCCTTGCTGAGACACACCGGTTGCCAGTGGCACGGGCTGCAGTGAACAGTAAACACAGTCTGCTCAACTACAGGTGTCCTGGTGGTCTTTAGCTGCAGCACGATCATAAAGGACCTACCACGTCCAGTTTCCCAAATCTACGTCTTTAGAAATACCTGGCAAAGAAAACAGTTTGTCAGGACTTGGCTGGAATGAATTCACCTTGGTATCTGTGATCACAGGTTCATATCTAAGTGTTCATAAACCATCTCTTTTAATAATCCAGAATTATGTCAGAAAGTCAACATTACGTTCACCAATGTGTGCTTCCTGAAACCCACAAACAATATTTCGGTGTTTGCCCACTTTCAGTCTTCAGACCCATTTGTGTTTTAAATGGCCATCTTGACAGCCCACGTCTCCAAGCCCAGGTGCGCCCTGGGTGATCAACCAGACAAGCAAGCAAGAGGTAGCAGGAGGTCCAATGGGGAACCCCGCCTAGGATCACTTTCTCTACCCCCAAATCCACTGTCCCTTTAGACACCTGAGTTGTCTCCCTGACATCAGCCAGGGGCTGCGGAGGAACCGACCCCTTAGGAGTCTTAACTGACTCCTAACTGGATCTAGAGTGCTGCAGTCCTCTGCGGAGGCCCGAGAAGAAAGGGATGAACTCTGAGACTCGTGTCCCTAGAGGAACTCCCCTGTCCCAGCCCCTCCCGAGCCTTGAAGGATTAAGGCATTGGTAACCAAGGAAGGGATGGGGTAGGAGGGACACTAATTGCCATCAACACTCAGAGAGCAAAAGCCACCTGCTCTGCTGTTTGAATAGGGAAGGATCTGTCAATACATATCCCATTCCCATTTGCCAGCACACACACCTGCCCCCCTGAATGACCCTAGGAGCCCTGGTTACTACGGCAACCTGGGAATAGCACATGCAGGGAGAAAGCAGAAACAGATGGGCCTATTTTTAAACTAGACTAGGTGGCTCCAGTTCTTTTACCCCACAAAGTGCCTTCCTCAAAGCCCCAATTGGTCTTGTTCTGGGCCCCAACCCCTCTTCCACTGGCGTCTGTCCATTCCAACCCAAGCTGATGAGGGTGGGCTCTTTATCCCATTTTGGCATGAATTCTATTTACTGCTTCCATCTTCCACACAGAATATCTAAGCAAGTTCTCACTGCCTTCGCTTGTTTAAAAATAATTTTTTTTTTATTTCTTTGGAAAGTTGTGGGCCCTGCCCTATGGACTTCCAGGCCAAGCCAAGGTAATGAATCCTCCCTAGTCTCTGGGCTGGAGTATTATGGTCCCCGCCTTCCAAGGACCAGGAAGAGTTCCTGTATTGTACAACTCAACTAGGCCCCAAATTGCCTGAAGGCTCCTGTTAGGCCTTCTCTCCTTGCCGCCCACTTCCCAATCTTGCCTGGCTTTCCCCTTGGGCAGGGTATCTTTTTCTTCCAAAGCCAGTGCTGAAACCTGTGCTGTGCATGAGGGACAAGGACAGGGATGTCCCCAGCTTCCCCTCAGTCAGTCCTTCCTCTGTGCTGGCTTCAGTCTGCACTCCTAGCAAGCCCCTTCTCTGAGGCTTGACGGAAGATGGACAAGAGGACCCTCACAAGGGGAGGTGAGAGAAACCACATTGCTCAACCCCTTCTCAGAAGCAAACTCCTCATAGTCTCTTGTCCTAGTTCTTGCGTGAGCCCTTCAGACAGGGCCTGGGAGGGCTAGGCAAGTGGGTAAGGGCCCTCGACCCCAGCCCTGGGAGGCTATACCAGAGGAGTGTCCATGAGTCCCCATCAGTGTGGCATGGCTGTGATACGCATGCTCTGGGACGCGATGGGGTAAGTCACCATGGGAGTGGTGGTGTGGCTCATTGTGATTCCTGCCAAGGGCTGGGCCATCGAAACAGCCACAGGGGCCACAGGAGCCACCGACACAGCCACAGGAGCCATGGAGACAGGTGGGGGTGCCATTCCCTGGGCGATTGTTTGAGCCAGAGCAGCTGAGAGTGGCGTGATCTCTGGGTTCAAATGTGGGGGTGGGGGGGGTGGAGCAGCGGGAGGTGCAGCATTAGTTGGGGGAGCGGCTGGAGCCCCAGCGGGAGCCACCAGTTCTTGCTGGGACACGGGGCGAGGCTGGAGAGCCTGGCTGCTGAGTGTAGTGTGAGTCTGGGCAATGCCATGGTTAAAAGTGGCAACAGTGCCCACGGTGGGGGCCAGAGTCTGCTCAGTCGCTGGTGCAGTAGAGCTCAGGGTCATGACCTTGGCCTGATTGCGGAACTGGGCGTTTTGTTCCAGCAGTACCTCGTTAGTGGCCAACAGGTTGCTGACCTGCTTCTTCAGCTCCTCTACTCGCTTCCTGAGCATGGCATTCTCCTCCTCCAGCAGTCTGCACTCCACTCCGCGTGGTGGGGCCAGGCTATAATCGTAGGATTCATAATGGGGGCCATCGGGGGGGCAGCACCCACCTCGCCGGCGCTTGGGGCCTGGCTCATGGTCCTCAAAGCCCCTGTCAGGGAGGTCATAGATGTCATAGAGATCATGACGTCGTCCTGGGGGGACTGGGCCGGCGGAGCCCCCACCGCCAGCACCTCCTCCGCCACGGGCATCAAACTCAAAATCCCGCTGCAGGTGACGGAACTTGCACTTGGCGCCTCTCTGGCAGTCACCCTTGAGAAAGTCGCGGCAGATCGGGACTTCCTCCTTGCCATTTGGTAGGTCAGCTGGTGAAAGGCCCAGGCCGGCTGCCACTTTCTGCCGCAGCCGAGGGGGAAGCTCTCCTGTCTTCTTATATCCATCCTCATCTTCCTTGGAGCCATGGATAAATCGGCAGTTCGGGCGACTACACTCCTTGTTCTGGAAGTCATGGCAGAAGATGAACTCGTTTTTGCTCACCCCCAAGTTGGACACCTCACTCATGTCTGGATGACGGTAGCGGCAACGCTTGCCTCTTTTGCACACGTTCCTCAGGAAGTCTCTACAGATGGCATCCGAGCTGGCCCCGCCACTGCCTGCCCCTGCCCCACTGGCCTCCTCGTTGCCACCACCTCCAGGGCCTCCGCCGCTGCTCCCAGTGCCGTTGGCATAGCTGTCCCGGTCAGGCATCCTGGTCCCCCCCAACTCAGGGCTTTCTTCCTTTTCTTGCCACCCTTGGTGACTGCTGGAAAGAGGAGAACTGTGTCAAACAGGAGCCCTCCAAAGCGGCCACACTCTTCCCGACTATAAAGCAGGCAGTCAGGCAAGAGGCAGGCCAAAGAGGCAACGGCTTTGGAGATGGAGAATCTATGAGATGAGAACTCGGCCTGGACTGGTTAGCTTGTCAGAAGTCCCGCCCAGGCCCTTGTGCACCTGGTCTGGGTCAGACTGATTCACACTTGCCTGGCTAATGGAAGAGGGAGGGAGTTGGGGTGAAGCCACCTCATCTCACTAACGATAATAGGACAAGGAGGGGGTAGGGAAAGAATAGAGTTGGATTTTATTTCCCGCTCTGAACTGACCTTATCATAGTCATGGAAGTGAAGCAGCTAAAGAGAGCCTGGGAACCGCGGCCATAGCGAGGCGGTGAGCTACTAGGTCTCTGGGTAATGGAACATCGGTGCCAAAACTTTCCTTAAGCCTCTTCCAAGGGATTTCAGGTGAGAACTCTGTGACGCGTCAGGTCTCTAGGCTCCAGGACGCCTGAGTGGAGAGAGGGCAGACCCTAACCCTGTCATTTCTTGCTACTCGTTCCCAGCTCGCCGCCACTCGCAATCCCAGCAGGGGCCCCCACCCCTCCCCTCCAGGGGAGAGTTCTACAGCCGGGAGCTCCAAATAAGAGACTCCCGGAGGACGAAATCATTTGGGGCAAGGTCAAGATGGAGCAAGGAGCTAATTTTACAGAACCCCTCCTCTCCCCATCCTGCACCCTCCTAAGCCTCCATGGGAAGATCCCACTGACTTCAAACCACACCGTTCCTCACCCTGCAAAGATCCTCTTTATTTATAGACTCCATAAAAGCTTTTTAAGCCTCCTCTTTCCCAAGAGAGCTCTGGAATGTCAGTCCACTGCCCTGGTTCTGGCCCTCCTCTCCCCGCCCCCCAACTAGATGGGGAGTCCCTGCTACCACGTGTCTGTCCGGCGAAGCCTCTCCCGGCCAGTGCTGAGGCTCCCCCTGCAGTTCAACCAGGAACATTTCACACTGCTCCCCCTTAAGTTAAGGGACTCTCCTGTTTGGCCTAGATGGCCCCCAACAACGCACTCATGGCCTTCCAATCCTCTCAGATGGACGGACCAGAGGCCAGAGTTACAAGAGAATCCGTAAAAGAGGGGTCCTCTTCCTCCAAAGCGATGCAGTCCCAGTCAGTACAAATAACCAAGGGAAAAAGCAGCAGTGAAAGACACAAACTTTTACTAAAAGGGAAATGACCGGAGGGAAAGTAAGTGCCATCTGTCCAGGTCTGACCCACGCAGGTCCCACCAGACACAAATAAGCGAATCCGCCTTCCCACCCAGCTGTCCCAGCTTTGTTCGATACCTGAGGTAGCTCAGGTGAAGTCCGGGGCTCCTGTGGGTCTCCACCTCCACATCACTGCTGGGTTCTGAACAGGAAAAAAACAGAGTCTGGGTGGGAGAAGGGGAAAGCAAGACGAGAGAACTACGGGGGGCTGGTACGAGAAAGATGTCTGACAAACGGCAAGAGCTCTGGGCACTTTAGGGTTTCCCTAGGACTCCCCCTGGATTTCCTCTAGCAAAAGGACAAGTTGTCAGTAGGAAGGGTGAGGGGCAGAACTCCTCTGGAGAGGCGAGGAGGGCGGGTTGAAAACGAGTCGAGTCCACAAAGAAGGGCGAGGGGCGCCCCGCCTCGAGCGCCAGAGCCCGGCCTGCGGTCCGGACTAGAGGCGCCGCAGGGGGATCCGTGCGGGGGCAGCGACTGACAGTGCAATGGGACGGCAGATTAGACTTGGGGGCGGTGATTGTGACGCTTCGCAACACCCCAGAGTTTGCGGAGAAAGTCCGACGAGTTTGCCGCGCCGAGTCTTCGAGCGTGGCCGACTCCGCGCGGCGCGCCGGGCTCGCCCGGGACAGGTGACTAGGGCACCAGCGGAGCGCGACGTCAGGAGGGGAAGGGACTCCAGGTGACATCAGGCTGAGGGGATGGGCAGGGCTGTGACGTCACGGAGCTGGCGTTTGCTCACTAAGCGGGGTCAGTCAGAAAGGGGGCTCGGTCCACGGGCGTGAGAAGGCGCCAGCCAGGTCCTGGGGGGCTGGTGTATCCCGGCCGGGCGCAGCCGCTGGGCCGGCCCCGACTCCTCCCCTCCGGGCGCGGCCTCCGCCTAAGTCTCCCGCCTCCCTCACCTGCCGCCGCCGCCGTAGTTGCTGCTGCCGCCTGCCGGTCCTCTAGCTTCGACAAAGAGCCGCCTACCCAGTCGCTCTTCCGCTTCCTGCGGAAGAAACGACGCTCTGGGCGCCGGACCCGGAATCATACTCTATGGTCGCGAGGCGTCCGGGCGCCCAGCCGCAGGAAGCTCCCAGCAAGCTTTGCGCGTCACCATGGCAACCCAACCGCACAGCGCGGTACGGAGCGCACGAGGCGGAACTCCGCGTCGGCCCCGAGAGGAGCGAGCAGGGGCGGAACCAGCTTTGCCACTAACCTGCCCGCCAGCCCCTTGCAATGCTAGCGGGCGCTACCTCCTCTGCAGGACCTAAAGGCCGCCCAATGCTCTGCCGGCTCCCAGGTGCGAGGACCACCTGTTGGCCAGGGGCGGGAGCCGCGCCCCACACTGCAGCCCAGGCAGCTCGGCACTCTCTGTAGCATGGGGGTAGCAACCCCCGGGTTGCACTCACAAGAACCCACACACCTAACGGAGCCATAAAAACCACGTAACAGACAGGATAATTTTTTTCTTCAGCCAAGACAGCAGAAGGGATGGTTTATTGTGCACGTGTTACATTCAGCCAACTGAGAACAGAACTAGTCCAGAATGTCACAGGTCCAGGGCAAAGGACCAAAAGGGACTGGTTTTGGTACGAGCACGGTGGGTCTCTCAAAGGTGTTCGCAGCGACCAGATGGTGATGGATGTTCTAGATTCACTGAGACAAAGTTCTAGACAGTAGCATGCAGTCCAACAATTTGTACCAGCGTCCCTGGCCTCCGGCTTTCCTTACTTCTGTTTCTGTGGCTTCATGGGTGTTACTAGTTTACTTGGACCTCTGCCTCATCTTTCTTCTTTTGCGCTTCAGCCTGAAAAGCAGACGTAAGAATGCATCTCCCCACCAGCTCGAGTTTTCCCCGCCAACCTTCAACGTGCACAAATACGGGCTCGTGAAAGGACGAGCACGGCATGTGTTCAATCCCACGGCTGAGTCAATACTCCGCGTTTTTCACAGCAATTTTAGTTTCCAAACCAAATGTTCCTCCCAAGGTTGGCTCAGGTGTACGCTCCCTTCCCGCCTCCCGTGCCGCTAACATTGTAACATACCTGCGCATTCGCTTCTTCCTCCACTGGTAACCGAGCACGACCAGAGGCAGAGTATGAAACAACAAAAGGTTATGAGTTTTGGCAACGGCTTATGTGCGGTTATACTAAGGGCTAAGCAGGTTCTTGCCCGAGTGTAAGTGCAGGAAGCAGCAGCCGTCTAAGGACCCCCGCCCCAGACGTAAACACCAAAAGTCGGGTGGGGCTCCCCGACTGCCGCCCTCCCTCCCCACAGCACTGAGCCCCTCCTACTATGCTTCTCACAAGCTCTGCTCCCCTTTTCCACTAAGTGCTCGTAACACTTACGAACCCAGAGGTGTGGGAGCCATGGCGGGCTTCCCTCGCCTAGGTTTCCTCCCTACTCTTAACTCCTACAGCTCCTGCCAGGGGAACGCTTACCTTGGCTCTCATGGCGCGGAGGCTTCTATGGGCAAAGAGAAAAAGACCACAATTAATTTGCGATAGTGATGGTTAGTACGAAGGGCAGATGTTAATGGATTGTAAACGGCATCTGAACGCAGCCGGCAGTAACACTCACCCGGGAAGATGGCGCTAAGGCCGAGAGAGGGCCCGCGGCCCGCCTATGGCTATTTAATGGGACGCGCGGTGTCGTCACTTCCGCTCTCCACTCCTTCCCGGGGGCGGGGCTTTCTAGGGAGCGTAACAATGGGTTTTGGCCTCTCTCCGCCAAAAGATCAGCGATAGGATTAGGAGTTTTCACGGGATGGAAGGGGACTTTGACTTTGAGTTGCAAACTCCCCTCCCCCCGGTTTTATCGTAAGGACATGACATTATTTCCACGTGAACTCGTTTCCAATGGGAACGGCAGGCGCAGGAGTGACGGGGCGCTTCCGCCTTTCCTCGCAGTGCCTCACGGGAGTTGCAGTTTTCTGAGGAAACCCTCCATCTTACCCTGGAGAGGTGCGGATGGTTCGAAACTAGCTGGTTTCACTGGTTTGCTCTATTTCTGAACAAAATTGCTGCAGGAAGATTCGATCTCGGAACTTCCGAAGGTCCTAAGATTCCAGAATATGAATGTAAAGTGCGAGTCGAGAAAGCTGTCATGCTACAAAAAGGTACATTTGTCATGATTTCCTTAGCTCAAGGTTTTTCCCTAATGTCCTTCCCCACAGTCTCAGGCCGAATATCTGATTCCTGGCCACAGTGCATCTTGTTCAGAAAATACTTTAGTGATTCCCCTCTAACTAGTGGTGAGGATAAAACCAGTGGACTGAGAGGAAGCAAGATGAGCTCTCTTCTCTAAGGCAAAAATGCTGTGTTAAGAACTTACCGGTGTCTCGGTAAGGTCAAGAAGCACGTTTTCAAAATGCCCAACATTTCGCTACGGAAAATTTTTGCTCTGAAGAATGAAAAACAATACCTAATCAGACTTCATCTTATTTAACGTACTTTTAAGTTTTCGTTATAATCCCTTTTGGATTCACTTTTATGTATTTCACTTTTAACTTTAGGGCTTTTGTTTCAAGTACTTAAATAGTTCTAAGTATTACCAAGAATGTAAGGTTCTTAAAAACAAAAAGAAACCCTAGCAGAATTGAGTTGGGGTTTGGAAAAAAAAAAGTCCACAAGGATCCCACCTGTTGATTGCCCATTATTTATACAATCTTGTGAAGGACCTGCGTTCAGTTCTGATCTGTATTATTTCCAAATACAGCAATGCTTTTTTAACATTTAAGATACTCAAAGCTCAGTAACTATTCATCCAGTCTGGGCCTGGCTCTGGAAAATTGCCTATCACAAAAGGCATTCTCCCTTGTTTCCTAATCAAGATAAACACTTATATATCGTGTTTTTATTTTTTAATAGGACACATTAAACATGTTAGTCATGAACAATGCATCAGCAGCAACTTTAGAAAATTAAGTCACAAACTCCCATAGAAAATATACTCTATCAATTCAGAGGATCCAGGATTTGTCTTAACCTAACTCATAGTATTCCTAGCTTTAAGACAGTAGAATATGGCAATATAGAAAAAAGTTCCAGGGGCCTCAGGGTTAAAGACAGCGCAATCAAGCTGTAGTCAGCCACTACAGCAAGAGTTCCATCCAGGATCCAGGCCAGCCAGGGAGCTGACCCCCATGGCACAGCAGACTACTTCTGTCTCACTACTTCCCTCAGGAGTGTATTTTGGTCAATCCGCCTGTTCTGCTCCCCACTCATCTCTGGTGAAACACATCACCCCCTGCACCTCTGGCCTACTCCCCAGTTCTTCTATGCATAAATAAAAATAAAACTTAAAAAAAAAATTCAAAGTGATTACATTGACATTCCCCACCTCCATCAAGTAAGCAGCAGACAAAGGGACATGATTGAGTAAATCCAAATTTATTTTAATGCCATGTCATTTTCAATGTGTTTAAAAACCTCATAAATTAGTGGGAGCCCTAGTTCCCTGGAACAGCATGCCAGAGGTACTGAAATTCGTCAGTTTTCACTCCAAACCCCTAGCAATTCACCCAATCCAAGTCCGCAGCCTCAGAAAGCCAGGAGTTGCCTCTTCAGTCAGTCTGCTCCTCTGGTTCCTGGTCTTTCTTTCAAGGGAGGGAAGTCAAAATATTTCAAACAGGGAACAAAACCACAGTTGAGCTTCCAGCTCATATTTGTAAGATGGAGCAAAGAAAAACCCCAATGACTCCAAAGAAATGGACATGGTTGAGATGGATTACTTCTTTACAACTTTGTGGAATTAAAAAAAAAAAAAAAAAAAAACCTTAAGAACAAAGTTACTAAAAAAGATTTACAGATGAGGATCCATTTGGTAGATGAGAATCCCTTGATAAATGCAGGCTCCACTCCTAAAAACGGGAGGGGCCTACCCAGACAGCTTGGATCAAAAAGGAGCCACATGTAAATAAAAACAATCTGAAGAATTACTCCCCTCTATTTTGAGGCCAGATAAAATACTTGGGGAGGGTGGGGAAGAGAGAAATAAGCCCCAATAGATGGTAAAATGTTGACAGTGGAGTGGTATAAAAACCTCAGCAGTGTTGTTAGAGGCGGTGGCTACGTCACCCCCTCCCTGTGGTAGGGGCCGTGACCAAGCAGAGGGTAGTAGAAAAAGGCTAGAAAGAGGGGCTTGAAGACGGTGGGTTTTGACTCCTGATTTTATTATTCAATTTCTCTTTGCTATTTAAAGTAGTCTTCGGTGGTTGGGAAGCCTGGCTTCCCAAGACCAGAGTCAGTTGGAGCTGGTTGTTGTTGGAAGGGGACTGGGTTGGGGGACTGAGATGGGGGCAGGGAAACCCCCGCTCTGCTGGCCATCCTGGGTGGAGAAGACGAACTGCACTTCACAGAGCCTGGGGTGTGGTGGGAAGGGGATGAGGCAGGAACGGCAAGCTGGGGAGATGGGACCCACCTCAGTCCCCAGCTTCATTCTCTTCTAATGTTTCCCCACTGGTGGCATTCTCTGCAGTCTTGGAAGCCTATATTCAAGGCAAGGAGAGAGAGAAGACTACTTGCAATAGTTTGATGAGGCTGAGAAGGGAGGAAGAAGGATGAACAGAAATCTCTACTTGCTACCACAATCCAGGAGGGTGAAATAAAGAGGAATCAGGTCCACCCTGCCAGAGAGAGGGATAACTATTAACACACCTTCTTTTTTTTCTTTTTCTGAGTTTTCCGACTTGCAGAACTCTGGAGGAGGGCCTGGAAGAAGGAAAACAAAATTTGAGGAATGTAGACGAAACACAAAGTGTTACTCATAGCACTGCAGCTTGTTTCAGGACCTTGCTCACATTTAGTCTTCACTCTCAGGACAGGTACCACATGCTCCCTACTTCCCACTCCCTACTAACCTTTAGCTCTGCATCCTGGACCTCCATCTCAGACTTGTAAAGATCTGGCTCAAAGGGACCACTGGTTATCCTCATGGGGCCATTGGGCATGAGCAGAACTGTAAATTTAAACTGGGCAACAAATTCACCTATGGGAAAAGCAAAGTGTTTTGACAGAATGTTCCTTTGCCATACTCTTTTCAGTAAGCTTTGGGAGAAGATCTCAGAAAATCACGGACTCCAAGGTCAAACTCTTGGAACTCACCCTCCTTCTCATAGAGAACATTAAATGGTTGCAGCAGTTCATGTTTGGCGCACTCTACTACACCCATTCGGGCCTTCTTCTCATCTTCAAATGCCCTAGGTAGGGGAAGACAAATTCAAGTATCCTTAACTCCCCTACAATCTTACCATTTTACTCATGTCTTAAAAGAGCTCCTACAGAAATCCTACTTCCTACTGCTCTTTTACATTCCTCAGTGAGGGAGCTGGGGAGAGTGAGTACATGCAGACCAGGGCTACAAGTCTTGGTGAAAGGGGGGAAGAGGAAAGAGTGTCCCTGGGCACATGGTCAATGAGTCAGACTGTCCTGTCCAATTCCAGTCCTGGGAAGCTGCGGCTGTACCTTAAAGTAAATGGCATGGCATCAAAACGCCTTTCAACCTCACTGAAAAAGGCACGTGATGTTTTCATTTTCAGGCCATATTGTTTAGAAGGATCTCGTTTGTAAATGGTGGTTCTTTGTCCTGCATCCTTGGCCTAAAAGAGTAAGTTAGGTCGCATCGGTTTGCTGTTCTTAAACATACCCTCAGTCACCCCTCTGTGCTACAACTAGTTTCCTCACCTTGCCTTCTCCTGAGCTTACGAGAACATCCACAGCATATACTTCATGTACCTCAAATTCAGCTTTTTCATGGTCCTTCCTAAAAAAAAAAGAAAAAAAAAAAAGAAAAGAAAAGAAAAAAAGAAAACCATAAAAAGCAGTAAGTAGTTTCTGGTGCTTGGAATAAAAGGTAGACAAGATGAGGCTGGCTATATGAAAGAAAAGAACATTCACAGGACTAGTCTGGTACGATGCAAGGTGAAGACTGGGGCTGGCACTTACTTCTGCTGGTCTGTGGGGTTCTGGATAATGGTTTTCTCTCCATCAATGACATGCTGCTTCAATTGGTGTGATAGCATACCTGTAAGATGGCACGAAACCTATGATACCAGCCACCTGGCGTCCCAAAAAGCTTCCAAAGTATTTTGCTGGGGTAGGCAATGAAAGTCAAGTGCCTGGCTATGGAATCCAGGGCAGGCGCAGGAGCCATGGAGACAGGGAATTATGGTTTTGGCTCAGACTGCTAGAGCCAGGATGGACACTCAATGGAACAAGAGTACAATTATGCTAAACCGCTCACACTTAAACCCTCAACCCAATTATCTGAGTTCTTACCTTCTATTGGTGTGCAATTAAATGAGTGGGCAACTTTATTCCAGGCTTCTGTCACTTGTGTGTTCTAGAAGTACAAGACCAAATAATAGGTGAGATACCAAAGGTTAGTAAATTTTCTCTATCATGAGACTAAGCATGGAAGAACAGAGTTCTAATATCTTCCATCTACCAAGGAGAGTGATTCACATTTCGCAGTCCTATGAACCCTGCAAGTCAAACATACGTTATGTTTGCTATCACTTCACAAAAAAACTTTCAAAGGATGGTCTAATTTGACAATTCTAAAAGGTGAACAGGGTAGATTCAGATTCTAATTTTTAGAGGAAACAGGCTCAGAAAGGTTAAGTGATTTACCCAGGGTTAAACATGTATTAATTGAAAGAACCTGGGAAAAGCCCAAGTTTTCCAATGGGTAATTCCAGTGTTTATTCCATTGTACCTAGAATTCTAACCTGAGAAGGGACAGTGAACTTTTATTTCCCCCTCCTTACTTCTTTCAAACATGATTTGATCCTCTAAGCTATAGTTTTTAGGCAAAAAAGTAAACAGCCACAGTTAATATTATTGAACTACGTGCTGAGTACCATGATAATCACTTTACAAACATTATCTCAATCGTCACAACAATCCTATGAGAATAAGGCACAATTTTTCTTTCTTTCTTTTTTCTTTTTTTTACAAAAAAAATTTTTTACAGATGAGGAAACTTGAAGCTTAAGTTATTTTTAAACAGTAAGGGTCATGATAATAGACTGAGAACCCAGAAAGTCTGATTTCATAGCTGTACAATACTACCTCCAGTGATGATACACAATAGTAATTATATAAGTAATAAATATGCAAAATTACTATAGCTAACTCAAGTGTTTGCTATGCACCAGGCTCTATTTCAAAGTGCCTTGTAACAGCTCTATGAAGTAGGTCTTATAAGGAAACTAGGAGAGGTTTAAATGAAAATGATGTAATTAAGTAATAATGGAAATATAGCAAATTAAAAGGATAAAGAAAAAGAAAGCCCAAAAAAGGAGAAAGCAAAATGAAAGACAATGTTTTATGTACTGAACACGTCTCTGGAAATTCAAGTTATTTTATGACGTTTGGCCTTTTTAATATTGTTGTGCAAGGTACAACTCTTGGCCTCTTTACCACCAGTTTACTAGTGCCATTTATGCTCTCCTGTCCTTTTTATGATGTTTGTTTTTATTATATATGTTTAAAACTGAATCTTTATTTTCCATGTTTTATTGTAAACTACTTCAAATTATCTTGCACATCTAAAACATGAAAAATAAGATTCCCTATAAAGTTGGCAAGGAAGGGGCCATGTACTCTTAATCATCTAACCTGGAACTGTTTAGCACTGAACTCTTTAGTTCCTGCCTCTTTCAGAAATCCCACCCTCGGCAACTTAAATAAGCTATCTGTATTACAAGGCAACTGTGGGAGAAGTTAGCAGTTCAATATAGAATAGCTACAGATGCCTAATGTATCTTTGGCTCTATTAAGCTTTGTAGTTGAAATAAACAGCTTATGGGCCTCCCCTGGTGGCGCAGCGGTTGAGCACTGGGCTGTGAAGCTGCCCACAGCCTCTGCAGTGCCAGTTCGATCCCCGGCCACCAGCGAGGGTCCCACATGGCGTGATAGACCTCTCCTGTCTCGCCCGCTGCTCCCCTCAGCAGTGTATTTCGTTGGTCTGCCTGCTCTGGCTCTGGTGAATTCTCTCACCCTCCTGTGCTTCTGACTGTACCCAGTGCTTATATAAATAAATAAATTAATTAATTAATTAATTAAAAAAAAAAGAAAAAAGAAAAAGAAAGAAACAGCTTACCTGGTTTCCAGGTTTGACCAGGCGTAGGGCAGCTTCTGCGCAAAGATGAGCTGCCTTAATGACATCTGCTTTTCGCCCCGTTACTTGGGTCCCCTGTAGATAAGGAACAACAATCAGTACTTTCCTAGCAAACTCTTAGTTGGTTCATCCAGTAAGTATCTGTGTGCCCAAAATACAACGCAGGCAAATGAGCAGGAGAAAAAACAGCCTTTCTCCTTTTATGTCTCTAGAGACTATCTCAAAAATTTAAGTGATGGCAGGAGAAGGGGTAGAAATAAAAATTAAACAGTGAAACCTCCACCCCCACCTACCTGAACTACACCAACCACAAAAGTATGAGCCACATTAGCTATGAAACCATCCACGTGGACCCCAAGGTCACTGAAAGACAGGCAAGGGTAGAATACAGCATAAGGAACGGACACGATGCAAATGGAAAAAGACAAGTGCTCTAAACTGACTTGAGCTTACATTTTTACTAAGTCACCTTCCTTGAGAATATAGTCCTGGTCGCTCTTCAAAGGGGAGAAGTGACATACACAGTTATTTACCGAAATGCTGGTGGGAAAGGCAATACCTGTAAAGACAGAATTGTCAGCAACTCATTGCTGGGCTCTCTCAGGAGTCCTGTTGCCCAGCAGAAAAAATGGAAGACGTTTCCTCAGGTCTTGGTTTAACTGGCCTGGATTGGGTCAAAAACTGTCTCCCACTTATCCCAGAGAGTGCGCCCAGAGCTGTGGTGGGGGTTCCATCATTTACAATAAACAAAAAGGACAGAATAAGGGTCAAACTTGGGAATCAGTAGGGGATTTATTACCTTTTTTCATTTCCTTTTCTTTCTTGAAAATTTTCCCCGTTTCTTCCATAATCATGGAATCCCCTTTCTCACACAGGCTCAGTACCGACACCCCTGAGCTGGATGCTTCCACCAAAGACCGCAGCACCCCTGGGGACAGAAGCCAGCCCTGTCAGCCTTCCATGTGTTCGCTGAGTTACCAGCCAAATACTGTACTCCCTGGTGTCACTGCCCTGGTGCCACTGCCCCAGGCTGCCAGAGGGAACAATGCTGCCTCTTGGAAAGGCAATCTCTACATTGTCTACCTTTCTGTCCTAAAACAAAAAGGTAAACACTCCCTTTCCTCGCTTATATGGGAGGCTGGAGATACACAATCCGTCTCCTCAGACAAGGATGACTTTCCAGACATGGAATCTGTGATAGATATGTGAACTTCAACCACCAGAGCTCTTTCAAAGTATCCCACATAAGGGGAATATTAACTACAGAACAATGACCCATGAGGTAAGAAAATAAAAAATTTTTTTAAAAAAGTACCCCACATACATGCCAAGCAGACCTGAAGAAATTTATAGGCGTTTGGGACAACAGGAGGGTAGCTGCGGAACTGCTGACTCAAAGCTGATGCATTGTTAAATGCTACCTTCTTCCCTTCTCAGACACACCAATTAGGTGTCAGTAACCTCAATTTATGTAGATTTATTTCCTCATAAACAAGCCAGGGAACTTAATCTAAGGTCCCTGAGCACGACTTCTTGCTTTCAGACAGTCTCAAAGAGGTGTTGTGACCCAAAAGTTTCAAAACTGGTATCTGGGATCACAAGCGCCTCAGAAGTTATAAAGTGCACAGGGAAGTTTTCCTCTCCTGAGTCAAACCACTAATACCAAATGCTAAAATGTACCCAAGATGGAGGTATTATACTAAACGTCCATCATGTCATAAAGCATTGTTCTGTTCACTGGAGGCTCCCTCCGTGTCCATCCTGAACTTCAGGCTCGATTTCTGAGATCTAAGTTTTGGTGATTCCTTAGAATTCTGAAAAAAACCAACATCTCAGACACAGGACCAAAGGCATCCAAAATACATCCTCCCCAACTATCTTTACTGTCAAGGTAATTTAAAAACCCAAAGACTAGCATTTTCTATCCTCCTAACCTGGCGTAAAAGTGAGAAGGTGATTTAGAAAAAACAGAAAAGGAAACATCTGCCCTGAGAGGTAAGCAGCTGCTGAGGAAGGTGAGGCACAGCTGCAGCAAGGATGACTTCTGATCATACTAGATTCAGTCCCCCGGCTTTTCCAGCACAGCCCACTAGTTTGCCTAGTTGAAAAGTTAGGGGGACCCTAGAGCTGTGAAACCCCTAGGCTCAAATCTGAAGGCTCACTATGGCCACCTGCACAGACCGGAGGGGTGGTGGCTACGAGCAACTTCAAGAAAAGCCAGCTGCGTCTCCAAGAGCTGTGCGAGGCGCTCCAGGGGCGCCTCCAACGGTCCCCCGAGCCGGCCCGAGAATAAAAGGGAGCCCCCGCCAGGGAGGGTGGTGAAGCAGCGGCCGGGCGGCTCCCGCAAAGCACGTGGCGGGGAGGCGGCCGGGACGCGGCGGCCGGCGGGCGCCCCGGGACCCCGCGACACGTGCCGGCGGCGAGCGCGCCCCGGCGGAGGGGCGCCTCCCCTCGCGGGGGCCCCGCCGCTGCGGGCCGGAGGGAAGGGCAGGGGTGCACCTGCCGCCCGCCCAACGGCCGAAGGGCCGGCCCGCCGCGCCCCGCTCCGCGCCCGCCGCGGCACCCCCGGACCCGGTCCAGGCCGCGCCGTCGCGCCCCGCGGCGACAGTCCGCCCACCGCGCCGCCGCGGGGTCCGCGAGGGGCCCCCGGAGCCGGCGCCGCACGGCCCCGCCGCCCCAGGCCCTCGGGGCCAGCCCCGCAGCGCCCCCGCCCGCCCGCGCACCCCATCCCGGGACCCCCGAGGCCGCACTCACGGTTGGCAATGTCGCCCCCCATCTTATACTTGGTCACGACCAGGTCTTCGGCGATAGTTTGCTCCTGCTGCTCGTCCTCGCCCGACATCTTCCCAGCGCCAGCAGCACCCCGCGGTCCTGGTCCCCCCGAGCCGCCGCCTCGGTCCCCGTCCCCGCGCGGGCTGCGCGCAGAACCCCTCAACCCGCGAGGAGAGCGCGAGCTACAGGGGAGCGGGCAGGCGAGAGCGAGAAAGTGCGAGCGCGCGGGCTGAGCGCAAGGCACGCTGGGATAACGAGTTCTTTTCACCGCCAGCCTCCAGCCGCTCCTGCGCACCCGCGAACTACAATTCCCAGGCTGCCTTTCGCGGCCCTAAGCCAGGCCCTGGGGCCTTGCCCTCGGAGGGCCTAGCACGCCGAATCGCCGGGCACGCCGGGAAGGGTCGGGCTCCGGCGGGAAGGCGGAGCCGTTGGGAGCTTGAGGGGAAGCGTGGTCCCTGCCGGGGAAACCGCGTCCTCCAGCGGCGTGGGGAGCGCGAATACTGCGGGGCGGGCTGAGGGCGGGGCCACGGCGGGGAAAATGGGTTAGGAGGCTGCGGGGCAAGGTGGAGCCGCGGCGCGCGGGGCGAGACCCAGCGAAGGGCGGGAGGCGGCCGCGCCCCAGCCCGGTCGTCGGGCCTGCCGGGACCGGCTCGGCCGGTCCGGGTGTGCTGGGAGGACCGGGACGGGCAGGGCCGAGCGCGTGTGGACGGAAACTGGGAGAGCCAGGAGCAGGGACTGACCGGGCAGCCGGGCTCCGGAGAGATTATCCGTGCTCAGCCTCCCCGCTGGGAGGGCGGCCGCACTGCAGAGGGCACTCGTGCTCAGCGGTGGACCTTGGCTGCACCCACGGGAAGTATTCACTTAGGAGAATTGTACCGAGACGTCGGGCTTTCAGTATTCCGCCTCTTGAGGGAGCACATCGATAGGACTTTCTCTAACTTCCCCACACGTGCTGTCGTGTGATTGTTCCTCTTATTCTCAGCTGGTTGCCCCGTAGAGATTTGTAGGAAACCCTTTAAACGCAAGGAACGGTGCACCCTGCTTGTCTTAAAAGACTACCAGGAAAAGTAAGGCAGGAGAAAGCTGCTTGGGACCGAGGATTGTCAGAAAACAGCAGCATACTGTGAGCAGAGAAAGGGGGTGGGTGATGTCTCATTAAAACTTTTCATTTGACAGACAAGAAGCTAAAAGAATTGGCAATTTTATTCAGACACGTATAAAAACAAAACAAAAAAACGAGTGAAACAACAGATACCCCCGGTTTCCCATCTAAGGGAACAGAGGTCTGAAGTTGGGTCTTCTTTCCACCCCAACTGGAAGCTTCCCAACTACTAAATGAGAAAAGCTCCTAAAAGTGGCTCTTGGGACCTTTGTGAATCTGTCCCTTGGGTAAGAAGTGAAGATCCTTTACAGCATGTGTAGATCATGATTTACACAAAGATGTCCAATTATTTTTCCTTCTGACTAACCCACCCTCCTACTCCTTCCTGAGATGAAAAGCTGGGTATAGAAAGAGGCTGTGGTTGTTGGATTTAGACTTGTTTCAGTGCAAAAACAAGAAAATGCCCCTTACAAGAACTTCTGGTTTTCCTTGCTAACTTACAGTAAGAGCACATATTAGAAGATAATGAATACTGGATCTGCCACTACATTTACTTAATCTCTTTAAGGCTCATTTTTCCTATATGTAAAAATGAGATGATACTCAGCTCAGAATTGCTTTTCAAACAGAATTGTTGTAAGGATTCAATGAGATAATAGTAGTAAAGTTCAGCATGATGCTTTTTGCACACAGTGTTTCATTAACGGTAATCACTATCTACTCCTAACCTCTTCATTCCCCAAAACTTTAAGCCAAAATTTCCTTCTAGGGGGTTAAGAGTCATAAGCCACAATTTTACTTTCCCTGCTGAGTTTCTCCCCTTTCCTCTTCCTTAGGAGTCTGATGAGAAACAAAGGCACATTTGAAAGGCTAGTCTCAACAAGCCAGAGCCTGAGAGAAAGGGAACGGGGAGTGGAGTAATCCTTCATATCTCCAGGGAGTTTGCCTGAGGAAACTGAGGAATGGGGTTGGGAAAGCACATAAAATAGGGGAAAACCTTCTCCTTTCCCAGGGTTGGGCAAGAGAAGAAAGTGCACAGCTGGTTACATACCACAAACATTTTGTGTCAAAGTGTTAAAAGCCTCCAAAGGTTGACTGGAATTGTCTAGGACTAGGGAAATGGAGCTGGGACCTGGAGAGAGAGGGGCTCGGGAGAAGAGGGGTACCCTCTAGAGGCACTAGCTGCCATTAAATGTTCCCTGAGTGCCTCAGGGAGCAGGGGTTATGTTCTTTGGGCGTTAGCCTTGGGGAAAAGCCTGCTATGCCAGTAATCAGGGTTATCGAAGGCAGAGTCAGTCGCTTCTAAACTACGTAGAGTTTTGAGGCGGGCATAATGGACATGGGGGGCATGGTGTCCAGGCCCCTGGAAAGCTCTCATCTCTTCATAGCCTTGCTCTGCTGCTGGGGAGGCCCCCATGGCTGCATAATCTCCCCCAGCACTGCCGCCACCACGCCGCCGGTTCATGTATTCATAGTCCTCGTCTGGAGTTGTGCCGGCACTGGGCGTGATGGGCACAGGGTTGAGTGGGCAGCTCTGCGTGCTGCCCAGAGAAGCACTGAGGTCGGAGCCCACATCCATGTACTCATAACCCAGCTCCTCGAGGGAGCTCGGCCTCGGGTGCCGAGGTAGACTGTGCCTTCTCCGGTTCATGTATTCATACTCCTCATCTTCATCATCTTCTTCAGTACCCAGGACAGAGCTGAGGCCCACCGAAGAAAGGGTGCCTTCCCGGGAGGAGGGAGTACCTGGGTGTTGAGAGGGTGGGTATATGAAGAAAGTCATGGTAATAGGCAGTGGGGAGGAGGGGACAGTTGGGAAAAAATGACTAGGGAGGGCCTCCCCGGTGGCGCAAGGGGTTAAGACACAACCTATGAAGCTGTCCGAAGCCTCCGCAGCACAAGTTCGATCCCCGGGCTGGCCAGGGAGCTACCCACATAGCGCAGCAGACCTCTCCTGACTCACCCGCTGCTCCCCTCAGCAATCTGCTTCCGTCAATCTGCCTGTTCTGTTCCCCACTCTGTCTCTGGTGAATCCTCTCACCCCCCCCCACACACCTCCGGCCTGTACCCAGTTCTTGTATGCATAAATAAATCAATCTTTGAAAAAAAAAATGACTAGGGAGGGTTATAATGAGAGAATAAAGAAGGATTAAGAGGACCCTGGAAAAGGATTAGAGACACTTAGAAGGAGGGAAAGCCCCAGCAAGAGTCAGGCACCTTTGAGGTGTGCGTCTGGCATGACATAACCATTGACATCCTCCTCCTCCAAGCCTGGTGGGGACAGTGGGGTGACAGGAGTAAGCAGGCTGTGGCGCTGGGAGTGGTAGGCGCTGTCTCCGCGCGGCCGCGGGCTCCGGCTCCGACTTCTGCACATCGACACTTTCTCCTGCAGCTCAGCCTCTGAGCCGGTCACGTGGCCCTCGGATGACTCTGATGCCAGGCGGCCCCGTGGCACTGGGTGCAGAGAGGCTGGACGCGGGCACCGTTCACTCCCCCCACAAACTGCCGGCTCCTAAGGAGGAAAATACATAGAGATTAACACACAGGAGAGAACAGATACTTACTAGGGAGAGACTGGTTATTCCTCAATGCCTTCTTTTTTTATAGGACATTGATTAAGCCTCGAGGGTTCCTGAAGTCTCCCACACTACCCCCTATTGGCCCAAGACACCCTGCTACCCACCCTCTCAGCAGCTTCTTAGAAAGATGAGCCTTACCTGGCAAGCCTCCCCAAGATTACCCTGGTTCATAGGCATGTATCCAGAAGATGGACTTAGAAGGTTCTGGTTCTAGAATGAAAAAAAAAAAAGGAAGTTTAGATTAAGGGAGAAATCTACTCTCCACGGGCATCATACTTAATTTAGATATCCGTAGGGTTTAGGAGGGCTCAGACACGCAGAGGACAAGGGTGCCAGGACAGTGCCTTACCCCACGTGGCCGGGTAAGTGTTCCAACCGGCAGGCTGAGCGCAGAGCCCAGTGCTGCTAGGTTGTCTTCCTCCGCCTCCAGGTCCAGGTCCAGATCCAGGTCCAACTCTGGCTCCAGCTCTACCTCCTCCAGTTCCTTGTCTGTCAGAGCAGGGGCCTCCGCCCCAGGGGGAATGCCAGACCCACTCTCTCTCTGCAGGGGCAGGTGATTATTAAGGTAGAGATCCTGGTTCCAGCCAAGCCCCCTTTTCTCCAATCTCACTCACACCCCTTAGTCCCTACTCACCTTTATGACCAGGTACCGTGGTGGATCTCGGGCCATCCTGGTGAACTCATTGGCTAATTCTTTAAAGGTGGGGCGGATGTTCTCATCGATCATCCAACCTGGAGGGAAGGTTTCGGCAGTAAAGCCATAAGCAGCGTGAAAAGCAGAGAGGGAAGTTAGTTACAAAATGGTTGGGATTGGTAGGTGACTCACACTTGACCATGACCATGTAGACATCGATGGTACAGATCTGGGGCTGTGACAACCTCTCCCCCTTCTCCAGTAGGTCTGGGACTTCAGCCAATCGCAGTCCTGCATACGGCTCTGCCCCAAAGGTCATCAGCTCCCAAACCGTGACACCTGGCATGGGAAGACATGTCCAGTTGATGGTAAAATAGTAGATAAGGTGGAACTTGATCTGACACAAGGATCTGAAGGGCTTGGAGATCCTAAAGGGTCTCAAAAGCTAACTACAGACTCTGGGACAGCGCTGCACGGGGGGCATCCGGATGGACTGACCGTAGCTCCAGACGTCACTCTGATGTGTGTATTTCCCAAAATGGATACTCTCAAGGGCCATCCACTTAATTGGAGTCTGGAGAGTAAAGACAGAGGTTGGTTTCCACAAATTTCTTAGCACTTCTAAACACCAAGTGCTCCATCCTCCTTTTATGCAGCACCAACTTGTCTCTGAAAGAGCCCACGGACCCCTGCCTCTGCCGTGCCTGGCCCCCACCTCCTACCGCAGCCCTTATGTCACCTCACCTTGGCCTCACTGTGTAGCAGCTGCTTATCATCAGGGGGCAGCAGGTCAGCCACCCCAAAATCTGCCACCTGAACCTGACTCGGTGACTTGAGTAGCACATTTCGGGCAGCCAGGTTCCTGTGCACCATACCGTGCTCCTCCAGATAGTACATACCCTAAAAAGGAAGACATATTCTCAGTGTTCTCAGTGTTGGGGGAAGGCAGAATCACCCCTAACCCCAAAGACACCTCAGAACTTCAAGGTCCCTGCTGACTCCCAGCAGCCCCCAGCCAGGCAGTCCCATCAGAGCACTCCAGGCTCCTCTCACCTTGGCGATCTGCACTCCCCAGTTGAGCAGCAGCTGTGGCCCCAGCGCCGCTTGATGTTGCCTCACGTGATCCAGCAGGGAACCCAGTGGCAAGTACTGAGTGACGAGCTGCAGAGAGGACCCCGGGCACAGCCCCAACAGCCGGACAATGTGGGCATGGTCTAGGCTGCCAATGGCCAGCATATGCTAGAAGACACAAAGGGTCAAACAGGTTCACATACACTCAGACCAGGGGTCCCCCAACAATTACATACATCAACACACGGCTAACAGTATCTGTTAACTACGCTTCTACAGGATTATTCTGGTCTCAGCCGCTCTCCTATGGCACACGCAGCCCCCCTCCTTCACTTACATCTGTCACAGATTGAAAACTCTGCCGTCCGCTCTTGTCCTCGATGACTTTAATGCAGACTGGAATTTTGATTGATTCCCCCTCAGGGATCCACACTCCCTGAAAAGTTATGGGCAGGAAGAAGTCCAAGGTTGAGGGTAGTCCTTTCCCTAATCGTTCTTCCCTTTGCCCTGGGTCCTGCCCCCGCCTGCCCAGATTCCCGTGGGCCACTTACTTTGTGCACAGTTCCAAAGACGCCCGAACCAAGAACCTTAAGCTTCCGCAGCTCTGTCTCTTTGAAGATTCTGGCCAAGACTTTGTTAGCTTTCTCGCTGGGGTCCAGAGGTTCTATGCTCTAAGAAGCAGGGGGAGAGACTCAGGAAAGTCCACGCCTACATCCCACTCCAACCCCTCCCCACAGGGGGATGCCAACAGCAGCAGAACCCAAAAGGATAGGGGCAGGAAGAGAAACTGTCTTTAGTCTTTGAAAGCATTACAAGCACATTGCGGATTAACCCTAACTTTGAAGAACTCTTTTGTGCTCCAGAGATCGAGTATCAAGAGGTGTTCCCTTTGATGGGGGAGAGTTGATAGTGTCAGCCCCTTGGGGACATTTATACGATTCACTTTTCAAAGTGCTTTCATGTATATCATCTCCTTTCACCCTTATGGCCATCCTGTCAGGATGATTGTTAAGATTTCCTTTTATACATGCAGAAATTGAGATACGTGAAGGAAGGTAATTTTTAAGTTGTGGCAAATTAATGACAAAATCAGGAATAGGTGGCCTCCCTGGTGGCGCAAGGGGGTGAGCACTGCACCATGAAGCAATCCGCAGACTCTGCAGCACGAGTTCAATCCCCAGCCGGCCAGGGAGATACCCACACGGCACGGCAGACCTCTCCTGTCTCGCCCGCTCCTCCCCAGCAGTGTGTTTCAGTCAGTCTGCCTGTTCTGTTCCCCACTCTGTCTCTGGTGAATCCTCTCACCCCCCACATCTCTGGCCTGTGCCCCAACTCTTGTATGCATAAATAAATAAATCTTTAAAAAAAAAACTTTAAAAAAAAATCAGGACTAGAATGTGTGCCTCCCATTTCTCAGGCCAGAGTTCTTCTAGTGTGCCATATTACCTCCTTGAAGAAAGGGATCAAGTCTCAGGGGAAGGAAGAGGCGCTGAAAGAGTGAGGATACAGGGTACTTTCAAGAATAAGCAGGGCACTCACCTCACCCCTTTCCAGGTAGCGCCGCATAGCCCTTTTATTCTGAATCCGGCGACCACGCCAATAGAGAAAAGTGCCTCCCAGGATCAGGAAAATCACTGCCAAACCTCCTACCACTGTTAAAGCCATCGCTAGATGGGTTTTGCTGTGGGACAGGGAATCCAGCATTATCTTGGGCTCATACCTCCCTTACAAATGTCATTTACACCAGTACCGAAAGTATGTTGCAGGTCTGGGGCAAGAAGAGAGCATTCACATAACCCGGACCCTTGACACTGGAGAAATTAACCTAAATCTGGATCCCTGTGGGCTAGAAGTGAATTTTAAGAAAGGAAGGCCAGGGCCTCCCTGGTGGCACAAGGGGTTAAGCCTCAGCACTATGAAACTATCAGCAGCCACTGCAGCATGAGTTCAATCCCCGGCCAGGTTGATGACCCACAGGGCGCAGCAGACCTCTCCTGTCTCGCCTACTGCTCCCCTCAGCAGTGTATTTCAGCCGGTCTGCCTGTTCTGCTCCCCACTCTGTCTTTCTTGTAGGCATATATAAATAAATCTCGAAGGAAAAAAACAGGAAGGCCAAAGCCTGGACTCTTGTGTCACCGAGGCCAGCGATAAGAGATTCAACTCCTGTCAGCAGGAAACCGCCCTCTCCCGTTTCTCCCCCAAATGTCCCCAGTTTTCTGATGCTCTACGCTCTTCCTACCTGATCAGCACAGGTGTTTGGCCTGAACAGTCTTGCAGTTCTGGTCCTTTACACCTAGGGAAGAAAGTCACGTTCTTAAGCGGGGGAGCTTGGGATACCCCCACAGGAGGCTCAGTTCCAACAGCCTCAACATACAGCACTGTTTCAGGCCCGACTCTGCTAACCCGTCCTGCAGCCCACAGCATATTCTAAGGCCAAGTGATCTCCATTTCTCACTCACCAGCCTTTCATGAGCCCCTCTCGTGAATGAAACTTCCCTGATTTGAGATTATTCCAGGTTCCCAAAATTGTGGTTTAATTTTGTGCTGAATTGCCCCTTCTTCTACACAGCTGGGATGATTTTTAAATCATAGTTCCTTTTTTCTGCTGCCCTCGCCCTACCTCTCCCCCTAGTTCTATGCTTCTACTCGCCCCAAGCCCCTCTTCTTCACATGCCATCACTGACCCCTGGGTGCAGTTCTCATGACAGGGTCGACATTCATTCAGAGCATCTGGGTACTTGTAGATGGGGCCCTTGGCACCAAGGACTCCATTGGGGCAGCTGCTCACACAGTGGGGTCCATCCCGGAAGTGGGCACAGTGGGCACAAGCATCAGAACCCTGGGTGGAAAAGAAGGTCAGGAAGAATTGGACCCCAACGTCAATTCCATAAATACTTCCAGAAAGACCCACCCAGCCATTCAGGATCCTCTGTCCACAAACCCTAGATGATCTGGCCTCCTTGTGCCAGCCTTGAGATTTGGCCATATCCTTCTTTAGATCCTCCAGTGTTGCCCCCACCCGCCCTTCCCTCGAGGTTCTGGGGCTACTACTGTACCGAGCCATTGCACGTGGCAGTGCCCTCCATGGGCTGGCATTCCGGGTGGCAGGAAAAGCATTCCGCCTCATGGGCAAACTCACGAGGCTCCCTGGAGTGGGCGGTAAAGGGAGGTCACTTCCAAGTCCTGAGCTTTATACCCTGATCCCCCACGCACAGGGCCTCATTCCCACCTCAGCACATGCAGGTAGTTCTCTAAAGGCTTTCAGTTGCCACCTGAACAGCTCCATCCCAGGGGCACACCCTCACCCCCTCTTGACTCTATCTCCCCTCACTGTACCCATTCAGAAAGTTGCAGTGGGTCACACAGACACCTCCTCGGCTGAAGTTTCGACAAGACAGGCACTGGCCAGGGCCAGGGCCCCAACATCCTCCAGAGCAGAGTGGGTCACACACTTTGCCCTCTGCCACTGGAAAGGAAGGGGTGGGTTAGGAAGGTGAAGTTTCCTAACAAGCACTCTCCTGAACGCCTCATTATTGCTTTCAGCCTAACCTCCCTCCCAAGCCTCCATCTCCCATCCCGACTCCTACTTCCAGGGCAGAAGTTTCCTCACTGCCGCCTTCCTGACTCCCACTCGCCACCACCCAGCGGGCCCTGTCCCTTACTGCAGTCTTTGGGGGCCCGATTATCCTTGATCTCTAGTCTCTCCTCTGCAGGACCCCGAAGCAGCCTGGTCCAGTTCAGAGAATGGTGGTAGCAAAGCTGACGATTGGAACTTATGTAAATACGCCCAGCACTTATTTCTTTCAAAGATCGGAGGCCTAGAGATGTTACATTCAAGTTCTTCATGATCAGCAGTGAGAAGCCCCGGCTGAGAACAAGGAGACAGGATGAGACGACAAAGGGAAAGTTGACCGTGCAACACCCCAGCTCTTGTATGCATAAGTAAGTAAATCTTTAAGGGCCTCCCTGGTGGCACAAGGGGTTAAGCACAGCACTATGAAGCTGTCGGCAGCCTCTGCAGCCCGAGTTCCATCCCCGGCTGGCCAGGGAGCTACCCACATGGCACAGCAGACCTCTCCTGTCTCCCCACTGCTCCCCTCAGCAGTGGATTTCAGTCAATCTGCCTGTTCTGCTCCCCGCTCTGTCTCTGGTGACTCCTCTCACCACCACTCCTCCCGCCGCACCTCTGCCCAGTACCCCAGTTCTTGCATAAATAAGCCAATCTCTGAAAATAAATAAATAAATCTTTTAAAAAAAGAAAAGAAAATTGACTGTGCAGTGGGTTCATTCAACAGATTTGCTCTGGGATAGTCAGACCAACCAAGAGGGACTCCCTCCTCCTTTTCCCCATCAAACTCAGACCCTTGAGGCCTGCTAGATGGAAGAATGCCTTGTATTTCACTCAAGGATGCCTAAGAAACAGGGCCATTGGCCTGGAGAGGTTACCACCTCCGCCCTTACTTACTTGTACAGGCTTCTGCCCCCAATGGTTGTCAGGTTGGAAAAGACACTGAAGTTGTGCATGTGGGGAGGCCAGGACTGGATGTTCAGGTAACCTGAGGGGTTGGAGGGAGGCACATGAACAGGGAGTCTTCTCCCCTTCCTCTTTCTCTGGTTCTCTTGCTCCCTTCCCCATCGCTTGAGATGTGATTTTACACGTAGTCATACTGCAACTTGTGCCAATGGTTCATCTGTTCCTCTCAAAAAAGGCAGCTTCTCCTCCTACTCACCTGTGATCTCCCGAACTGTCCGGAAGATATTGAGCTTCTCAGGGTCCAAGGCAGGGATCTTGTGCCAGGGATCTCTGAGAGAATAGCAAAAACCAGTCAAAAGGGTAAAGGTAGGGGCCTCCCTGGTGGTGCAAGGGGTTAAGTCTCAGCACTATGACGCTATCCACAGCTACTACAGCAGGGGTTAGAGCCCTGGCCAGGGAGCTATCCACTGGCACAGCAGACCTCTCCTGACTCGCCCGCTGCTCCCCTCAGCAGTATATTTCAGTGGATCTGCCTGTTCTGCTCCCCACTCTGTCTCTGGTGAATCCTCTCATCCTCCCGTGTCTCTGGCCTACACCCAGCCCTTATGTGCATAAATAAATAAATAAGTAAAAATAAATCTTAAAAAAAAGCACTGTCAGGTCCTTTGCAGCCTCTAAAATGTTAACATTTAGATTCCTAATCAGCTCCACATGGGAAAGGTTGAGCAATGCAGTGACCAGCGAGGGCGAGGGGACAGAAGGAGTCGGGGATCAAGGAAGGAAATCTCTAACCCATTGAGGCCAGTGATAAGAAAGTCCAGGTTGCCCAGGATCTTGGTGCAGTTCACAAATCCATCAATGTTGCTGGAGTCCACAGTCTGCAAGCGGCTGCCCGCACCTGTCCCCTCACAGGCTACAAACACAAAAGAGGTTCAGAGAGGGAGCTAAGAAGCCTTGGGATGTGTCTTCACCAACTCCTTGCATCTCTTACTCACCTTTGGGGCAAAGCCCCCCGCAAGGTTCACATATCTTGAGTCCATGTTTATCTACTTCCATCTTGTCAGGAGGACAGGCCCTGACACAAGATGTCTGATCCACCACAAAGTTATCTAGGAGAAAGGAGAGCACCACTGGCGGTGAGGGAAACTGCCAGCTTCCCACTGAGCCCCTCAGCCGGCCTCTGGCTCCCTCCTTTTCTGAACTGGATTTGCCCTAACCTACCATCTAAAGATTTCTTGAATGCTGGGCCTCCCTGGTGGCACATGGGGTTAAGTCTCAGCCTGTGCTATCCGCAGCCACTGCAGCACAAGTTTAGTCCCGGCCAGAGGGCTACCCACATGGCACAGCAGACCTCTCCTGCCTCCCCGCTGCTCCCCTCAGCAGTGGATTTCAGTAGATCTGCCTGTTCAGCTCCCTACTCTGTCTCTGGTGAATCCTCTCACCCCCCACATCTCTGGCCTGTACCCCAGCTCTTGTATGCATAAATATTTAAAAAATAAATAAATAAAAATAAATAAAGACTTCTTAAGTACTGCCCTACAGAATAGAAAGTCCCTTGCTCTCTGCTGCTGTAAAGAGCAGAACTAGGAACAGTCGCTGAAAGTTACGGAAGTAGGTGGAGGGAAGGACAATGGGGCTCTCTCTGGCCATGGTTGGATGATCACAACCACTGCCCTGTATATCCCCCATTTACCACCCAACTTGATCCCTCTGCTTCCTAAAAATGTCTATAATCCTGGTTCCATGACCACAGTTACTTCCCTCTGGACACTTACGAGGACAACTGGCTACACAAACTCCTCCATATTGATACTTGGTGTGCGGATTGGGCTCCAGCTGGAAGGTCAGCTTGTTGTAGACAAGAGGCTGTGGACACTGGCGCACACAAGCTCCGCTGTCATTGAAAAGGCGACAGGCCTAGAGACACAGATCCACAAAACTCACGTTATGTGTGCCCCTACTTCTTCCCCAAAGCCAACACCCCCATCTCAGAGCCCAGAAAATAGTAAGAGTACGTACAAAGCAGTCCGTGTCCTGAGGGCCTGAGCAGCCCCCTGCACACTCATCATGACAACACTGGTTGGGGTTGGGCCCAAAGCAGTGACCATTACACTGAGGGGCACAGATGGTCTTGGTCACTATGGAAGGAGAGAAAGCAAGACCGTCAGGGCGTCTACTGCTGTATTCTGAGGCCCCCGCTCACCCCTCCCTCTCCCCACACACCCCACCAGTGTCGACAAGTGATAAGCAGGGACACGAAAGGGTATGAGTCTGAAGAACTTAGAAGCAAGGAACCCACATGTCTGGCAGTCTTCCGGTCCAGGACCCCAGCATCGCCCCTTGCAGGCCTCATGACAAGGGGAACCTGTGGGAATGGGGGGGGGGGGAGGAAAGCAACATAAGGGGCCATCAGGGCCCAGAAAAACTTGCTCGAATCAACAGGCTATGATGTCAGCACACAGGCACCCCAGTCCCCGGAAGGGAAGAGCCAGGCAGTGTCCCTCCTAGCCCTGCAGAACTGGGCTGGGCTCAAGTGAACCTGTCAACAAGGGGTGGGGCCCCGCCCCCACACCACCCACAGGGCAGGGTGAAGGGGAGGCGCTGGGGCTTCGCCAGGCTCAGCTTCAGCCCCAGCCCAGGAACCTGGTTCCTCCTTAGCAAACTGAGTGTGTGTGTGTGTGTGTGTGTGTGTGTGTGTGTGTGTGTGTGTGTGTGTGAGTGGACAGGGGCAGCAGCTTAAAGGTGGGGTCAGTAGGTCCCCAGGAAAAGAGCATGTTACAGTGGAGACAGAAATGGATGTGGCGACTAAACATCTGAGGACAGAGATCTTTTGCTCCCTTTCTGGACACAGTGCTGTGATTTAGATCTGGGGGGCTTATCTGCTCCCTCCTGCCAGGCGCCTAGGGTCTAGGGTACGAGGTGTCTGTTCGGTGGAGCGGGTGGCTCCGCTGAGGGATAGAAGGACAGCGGGAAAGGAATCAGCCTGGCTTGCCGGGTCGGGGAATGTCTTGGGTGCAGCCACTCACAGATCTTGCCATTGTCTTTCACCACTATTTCCGCATCTCGGTCTCTCACGATGTCCCTCCAGTCGATTGTATCCATGTGGCAAAGTTTATCGTTCTTCTCAATGTAAACACCCCCTGACAGAATCTCTGTGGCAGGGAAGAGAAGTGACGGGGCTAAGGACTACAGCAGGCCTCCTCTGCCCGACCTGCCCGCCAGTCCAGAAGGACACCTGAGACTCAGGTGCCTGGGGAAGGGGCAGACAAATAATCCAGTTAAATTCAAACTGCAGAGAAGCCTTGCCTAGTAAGACAGAGGAGGAGCCAGGAGGAAAGAAATTCCTGCCTCCTCAGACACCTGTCCGGATCCGGTTTAGCCAGTGGGGGAGGGGACGGGGAAGGAGAGGCTGCTCCTGACTCAACACCCCCTACCCCAGCACTACCTGTGTGTTTTCAAACCAACTGGGTTTGGGGGATGGGGGTTAGTAAACAGCGCCCGGGTGGCTGGGTGGTATTTATCCCCCACTTCCTTCGGTTCCTGGGGGGTAGGGAGGTAGGATTCCCATGAGAAGAGAAAGAGGGACATCCAGGAAAACCACACTTTAACATTTAAGGCACAGGGAACAGCTCCAGTTCTGGCCCCATCAAACAAAAGACCCTCCCCGCTGGGGCAGAGACCCCAAACCTCCTACTGGGGCCCTCTCGTTTGAGGAGTCATGGCCTCCAGACCACAGCGGTCAAGGCGGTGGGCACCTTGAAGGGGCACTTAGAGCAGTCTGGGTCCCTGTCGAGGAGGTGCCTGCCAGGAGGCTGGCTGAAGGGCAAGACCCCAGGAAGCATCGGGAACTGACCGGTGAGCTGGGTAAAGCGAAGCTGGCGCAGCGCGTGGCTGGAGTTGGTGTTATAGTTCAACATGACAAAGATGGCGAACTTCCCATCGTAGACTTGGGTCCCGCGCACCACTCGAAGGTTGGGCAGCGGCAGGGTAGAGAACTCATTCATGGCCACGAGGACGTAGCCTGTCACCTCTCGGATCCACTGGGATGGGACAGAGTGTGTCAGGGAGGGGGCGAGAGGCAACGGCCTCAGCCCCCCTCCCTCCCTAAAGCATCGCAGAATCCCCGGCTCCAACTCTTATTTTTTTTTGGGGGGGGGAGGCAGCACGGTCACGTGGCTGCGTCCCTGCTGCCGTGAAGACAGCAGCAGAAATGATGGAGGCGTCCTAGTCTCCGACCCTTTCCTCCTCAGAGCTCCTGGTGTCAGTGTTAGGGGGAAAGGCTGTCCTAAAGCTGATTCCACACAGGCTTCGTGGACTCCTCCCCCACCCCAGGCCAAGCCAAAGACACTGGGAACTCCAAACCCCATCCCCACCCAAGGGAAGGTGGCTGGGACCTGAGGGTGGGGTGAAGCAGCCAGGTTGGTATAAAGCCAGACACGTGGGCTTTGGAGGGGGGGTCCCCCATTTTGGCTCTCCACCAGCTCCCAGCGTCCGGCCAGCTCTGAGAGTGCCTTTGGGTTTCCAGGTCATCGGATCGGGTAGGACGCATTAAAGACTTTATTTCCCTATTTTCTCCCTGAGTTGTCCATTTTCCTTATTTCCCTTTCCCTTGTCAATAAACCTTTTATGAACCTTTTGTGTGTGCCTGCAGTGGAGTATTCATAAGTCCCTTATAAGCGCGCGGGTGAGGACCCACAGCCAGGAACGCGTTCAAAGTCGGGGCTGCTCTGTAACAGCTGGAGGACTCTTGCTTCTTTAGGTTGTCTCCCCAGGTGACTCTCTGCTTTAGTCCCTGGTGCTCCCGGCCCTGCCCCTCCCGCTTCCCGGGCCAGGCCCTGAGTCTCCCAGGCTATGACTCCGCTGCAGGCCCCCAGAACACACAGGTCTGGACCTTGGGAAGGCTGAACTCCAGCTGGGGGTAGCCCTGAGGAGGGGGAGGCGGCTGCCCTGGGGACTAAGAGCAGAGCAGGCGCACGAAGGGAAGGGGGTCGGGCATGCAAACCTGCAGGAAGGAGAGGTCGGCGTTGTGTCCTGTGAGCACAATCTCCAGGTTCCCCATCACCACCTCACACCTATCGTAGAGCTTCTGCAGCGTCAGGTATTGATTCTCCGCATCGCCAGTCACGCTCAGCCCGTTCAGAGTCCCGGGACACACTGGCAAAAGCGGAGGTAACCATGGCTGAGGGCGCCACGTGCGTTTCCAGCCCCCTGCCCGCCTCCCCCGAGACCCCTCCGTTGCCTCTCAGTCACATGCAACGGGGTCAGAAGATGGTTGCTTCCACCCTCAGCCCTGGGGGTCTGCATGACGGTCTGTGTTGGACTGAGAACCTGCACCTCCACTCTCCTCAGAATCCCATCCCCCTGGACAAGAAGGTGAAAAGGTTTCCCTTTTCCAGCAAGGCCTCTTTCAGATGCTGTTTTGGGTACTAAGGGGTTAATCAACAAGGCGGTGGAGTTTTTTCCTCTCCCTAGAAAGAACTTAGAAAAGGACCACAACTGGGTTACCCTCCACTCCCCTCCCCCCTACAACTAGGGCATTTACTCCTCTCCCCCCCACCCTGCCTCTCTCTAGGTCCTGGAATAAATATCTCTTTGGGGCTAACACACAGCCCCTATTGTGTCTCCTGAGGGTGGGATGGGGGCAGAGGGTGGGGGCAGTGCCTGGGGCCACAGGCGGGCCCACAATGAGGCAATTCTGTCTAGGAGGAGGGGGCTGCCCCACCCTATCCCCAGACACCCAGTCCTCAGCAGCACCCCCTCCAACCTCAAACCTTGGGCTCAGACAAGTGACCTCACTAGAGGGGGGAGCTTTGGCTGGAGGGGGGGTGTTTCAATGTGAGCTTTGTCTTTAAAACTGGAAGATAAGGAGTTAGTTGCCTCCCCACTCCAGCTCTGGCGTCCCTTTTCTCTGCCCCTATTCCAGCTCACTCCATCCCCCTCAGCATCACACTTTCCAACCCTAAAGTATTTTTCAGCAAATACAGAGCAGCCTGGATGGAAACAGCAGCGGACTCTCTGCATTCTAAGTCTTCCAGCCAATGTCATTGTCAGAGGAGATTCAGGGCCTCCCTGGTGGCGCAAGGGGTTAAGACACAACCCATGAAGCTCTCCGCAGCCACTGCAGCACGAGTTCGATCCCCAGCCAGGGAGCTACCCACAGGGCATGGCAGACCTCTCCTGTCTCGCCCACGGCCTCCCTCAGCAGTGGATTTCAATACATCTGCCTGTTCTGTTCCCCATTCTGTCTCTGGTGAATCCTCTCACCCCCCAAACCTCTGGCCTGTGCCCCAGTTCTTGTATGCATAAATAAATCTTTAAAAAAAAAAAGAGCTTCATTAACAAGGCTTCCCCATGGCAATCCTCATTTGCATCAGGAAGAGCCTAGTAGACCCAAGGTGCTAGAGGTATGTCAGTCTTGGGGGTTCACTTGACCTAGTGAGTATGGCAGACGTGGGACCATGGGAAATCCTGAAGCCTGAATCCTGAAGCCTGTCCTCTGGCTCAGTGAAGAGCTGAGAGGGGGATGGGGGTTAGTAAACAGCACCTGTTCCAAACACCACCCTTCCCCGGGGCAGTGGCAGCCTAGTGGGAGGCAACAGTGGGAATGGGAGGGAAAGGGTGAGGGTAAGACTCCAACTTCTCATCCTCCTTATACCCCTGTCTGACCACTTGGCCTGTAAGGGCTCCCAATCCCTATCCCGCCCCACAAAAGCAAGCAGGTGGGTCAGACCCAGCAGAAGGGTAGGCCCAGCAGGAGTTAACGGGCTGGAGCTCCCAGAGGAGGCTGGGAACTCCAGGGTCCTAGGGCTGAAAAGAAAGCGACTAGGACTAGGACGGTTAGTCATTTCTCCAACAGCCCCACCCTGTGCCCCTTCCTGGCAGGACACCCTCTCTTCCAAGTTGAGGTGCCAATCATTCTGCCCAGATAGAGGAACCAAGATTTCTGTACAAGGAAGTGGTGTGTGTGTGTGCGCGTGTGTGCATGCACGCACGTGTGTACATGCACATACTCCCAAGACACAGACACACACACACACACACACACTGACGAACATGTACACTTCTGTGCTGGCCCAGAAATCTGTGTTAGTTCTGTCCCTGGGGTTCCCTGTTGGGAGTACTGGAAGTATTTCAGTGGCCACTTCCATCTGTCTGTCCGTAGGTGTCTGGGCAGACTTTGTGCTGGGAAGGCTACAGTGTTGGAGGGCCCAGCTCCGCCACCCTAAGGGTAAAGTCCGTACAATTCTTTTACACAAACAGGGAGCAAAGGCCTGGGCGGGAAGAGAATATGAATGCCTCTGAGGAAGAACCAGGCAGCCTGGGGCGGACGCAGGAGAAAGGGAATCCTAAAAATCCCTGCAGTACCCAAGGCCGGGACACAAGGACGGACAGAGTCATGCACAGACCCTCCTTTGGTAGAGCGCACTGGGGTGGGTCAGAGCAAGAATCTCCAGCCCCTCCTCAAGCAGAGGCCTCCCTCCAAGATCCCCCACCCCCATCACAGCCAGGACAAAGGGGCTATAGAAGCGCTGAGACAGGGCCGGATGCCCAGAGGCTGCAGGACCCAGATAAAGGGTACAGAGACCCAACCAAGCCTGCCTCCTGTCTCCTTGGGGAGGGTGGCCAGGATCTGGGACGCCCGGGTTCCAGGTTGAGGATTCCAGGGGTCTGGCTGGGACAGTGTGACAGTCACTCTACTGGCCCCTCCCACTCCGGTCCCCAGACCCCCGCCCTTCCCCAGCTGGGAGTGTTCACTTCCCCAGATCCAGGGTCTAAATTTAGGCCCAGCAACTGTGGGGCAAGCACAGGTGTTTCTCCCACTCCCACCCTGGCCAAGGGGCCCTGGCTGTGCCAACCCCCAAGCAGAGGTCTGGGGGGAGGGGAGGAAGTCAACAAATTCCTCCAAGGCCAGCAAGGCCAGCACCCCTCAGGTGCCTGTGGTCCCAGGACACCCCCAAGGCTGGGCTCGGATGTCCTGGGAGCGGGAGAAAGACCAGAAGAGCAATCTGACCCTTGCGAGATGCCGACACACAGCCTCAGACAAGCAGGGGAGGGGTGGGGAGGGCCAGAGGTGCTGGGCCCGGGACACACTCCCAGGGCAAGTCTGAGACGTGGGCTGAGAAGGTGCCCTGCTGGCTACCAGTCAGGGGCGAGGAGAGAGAAGCACCTACTGGAAGCAAACCCTCCAGCTTGGGCCCAAGCCACGGCAGATGCTCAGCGAGCGGAAGCGGGCGCCGTCCAGGCGCTGCCACAGACCGGCTGGTCAAAGGGGGGACCCAGGCAGACGGATCCTGAGGAAAAGGTGTTTTGAGGCCGGCGCCCGGCCTCGCCCTGATGCCACCTGTACTTGGCCCTCGGGTTCACCGCAGTCGTGCCCGGGGCAGGCCACTCACGGAAGGGGAGGCGCCACCCCTGTTTTCCAACATCAGAAAACAACAACTCCCTCAACCCTTCCACAGCTCCGCCCTGTCGGCAAAACAACGAAACTGGAGGTTGCCGAAACCAGGGGGGAGGGGGCCGGGGCGCAAACCGAGCCTCCCCCTAGGGCCAGGGACGCTCCCTCCAAGCCTCTCCTCACGCACCCCGAGCGGAGGTCCCGGCCCCTCGGGCACAGCTCCGGGGCGCGCGGGCTGCGTCCGCCCCTTCCAGTGCGCCCTCCGGGGAGACGCTCGGGGGTCGCCGCGCGCCGGGAGGTGACAGCGTCTGGGTGGCGGGGAGGGTCCGGGACGCGCCCCCCGCGCGGAAAACGGCGCAAACCCACACAGCCGGGGCGGCCCCGGGGGTCCCCGTGGGCCCGGAGTCAGCACCCCCGCCCGGCGCCGCCGAGCGCCCGCCCGGCCCTCCCGACGCCGCGCGCCCCGCTCGGGTCCGGGCTCGGAGCCGCCGGGCGCCCGCGCCGCTTACCTGCCTGCGAGCTGCCCACCTCGGAGCCGCGGGCCAGGCCGAGCAGCAAGCCCAGCACCTGCAGCGCGCGGCCCGCCCTCATGGCGCCCGGCGGCGCGCAGGTGGTCGCCCCGGCGGGGCCGCCGCGCTGGGGCTCGCGGGGCCACCTGAGCCGCGGCGGGCGGAGGCGGCGGCCGCGAGCGGCGAAGTGCGCCCGAGCCGGAGCCGGAGCCGGAGTCCGGGGCGGGCCGGCCGGGGCGGGGTGAGCGGGCGCGAGCGCGGCGGGGCGCGCGGGGGAGGGGAGCCGGCCGCGCCCCCTCCGGCGCGGGTCCGGCCCCGAGCCCGCCCCCGGCCGCGCGCGGCCCACGGGCCCGCGGGACCCGCCCCGGGGGTCGGGCCGCGGGAGGGCGCGGCTCCGCGCGCCCCCAGACGCCCCCGAGGGGGAGCGGTGCGGGGGGTGGGGAGACGCCGAGGCCCGGCCCCCAGACCGCCGCCGCGCCCATCCGCCACCCGCTCGACTCCCCGAGCCGGTCGGGCCACTTGGGGTTTTCTCTGCGCGCGCGAGCGCCGCTCCCGGGGCGTCTGAGGGGCGGGTTCGGCGGGCGCCGGGGCCACCCCGGCTTCCCCGGGCGCCCCCGACCCCGTCGCCCCTCCGCGCCGCGGGAACCCGAGCCCCGAGGCCGCGTGAAATCGCGCCGTCTCCGGCCGCGTCCGCCCCCAGCCCGGCGCCGGCGCGGCCTCCCGGGGGGATTTGGCGGGGGGCGGGGGTGGCTTCCAGCCTGGGAACAGACCCCGAATCCCGCCTTTTTGTTTCCCCCCGGGGGGCTCCCGCACCTGTCGCTGTCCCCTCTGCTGCCCCCCACGGCCGCCTGGGAGAACAGCTGCCTCCGCGGGTCCGCCCGCGCCGTCGGGGCGGCGGGAGCCCCTGCCGCTGAGGGGGGCCCGCGTGGGCCCGCGCCCCGCCTTCGGCGCCTTGCGAACCCCCGCGCGCTGGAGAGAAGGGGCGAGCGACGAAGGGCCCGCGGAGAGAACGCTGGGCCTGAGTCCCCGGCACCGCCGCGTCGGATCCCGACCCTGCCCGGAGCGGCCCGACGCCCCAGAACCTTGCCGAGCCCCAGTCCGATCCAGCGGGCACCCCCTGGGGCCAGCGGGCTAGGGAGACCCCACAGGGCGTTGCTTTCCAAATCCCTTCAACTGGCAGTCGGCATCTCCCAGAGTCTAATTTTTTTTTTAAGATTTATTTATGCATGCAAGAGCTGGGGTACAGGCCAGAGACGCGGGGGTTGAGAGGACTCGCCAGAGACAGAGTGGGGAGCAGAACAGGCAGACTGGCTGCAACATGCTGCCGAGGGGAGCAGCGGGGAGACAGGAGAGGTCTGCTGCTCCTTGTGGGTAGCTCCCTGGCTGGGGATCGAACTCGTGCTGCAGTGGCTGCGGACAGCTTCATAGGTCACGTCTTAAGCCACCAGGGAGGCCCCCGAGTCTAATTTTTACCCCCGATTTTCAAGCCTTAAGACTTCCAAGAACTGTCGAAGCTCGATAAAACGCTGCGACCTTCACCCTTAAGCCCAGACTGGGGCTGAAACCCTTTAAACGGGCCGGGTGTTGATATGCAGCCTGGAGGACGCACTCCCAGCCCGGGCTTGCCTTTGCCCCCGGGGTGTTGGCGGGACCCGACCACTTGCAAAGGGATCACGGTAGTAATAGCCACAGCAAAATCATTAACCTACATTCATTAATACTTCATTTAGTAGCACTTCCTCAAAGAATGTGCCAGATCAGGTACAAGTTACCTGCACTAGGCGACGTCGTCTTCCATTTCACAGAACGGGGAGTGTGTGGCTTCCCAGGGAATGAGGGGTCAGGTGGAAAGAGGCAGGGGTCCGCTTTTCGTCTAGGGCTGCTCACCTCACACAAAGCCTGAGTCTGACCTGCTTGGAATCAAATTCCCGTCGTGTAGCTGAGCTAATACCTCCTACCTATGGGGACTTGCATTTTACTCCTCTCTTCAAGCTGTGTCCCAGGTCCTCCTTGTGAAGGAAGAAGCCCTCCTTAATTTCCTTGTTTATAAAACAGTTATATTTACTTATAAGATTGTTGTTTGAATTTAATGAGTAAAGGCCGGGAGAGCTCATAATTATCCTGTTGTGCTTGACCTACAAGAAGCATTCAAAGAATGCTAGTGTATTAATTCCTATTATTACCAATCTCAACTCCCTTCCCCATTAGAGCCCCAAGGTATGTTGCTGGTATCCATTCTTCAATACTTAGGGAAATTTCATGCTAAACATCAGGGATATAAACACCGGATAAGTAAGAGTCCATCTCTGCTGGTGTCTGCCCTGATGGAACAAGAGAATATAAATGAATGGAACCGTATCAAAACAAAAAGCTTCTGCACTGTGAAACCCATCATTAAAATAAAAAGACAGGGGCCTCCCTGGTGGCCCAAGGGGTTAAGACACAACCTATGGGGCCTCCCTGGTGGCGCCAAGGGGTTAAGACACAACCTATGAAGCTGTCTGCAGCCTCTGCAGCACGAGTTCGATTCCCGGCCAGCCAGGGAGCTACCCACATGGCTCAGCAGACCTCTCCTGACTCGCCCGCTGCTCCCCCCAGCAGTGTATTTCAGTTCATCTGCCTGTTCTGTTCCCTACTCTGTCTCTGGTGAATCCTCTCACCCCCCCCATACCTCTGGCCTGTACCCCAGTTCTTATGTGCATACATAAATAAATCTTTTTTAAAAAAAATAAAAAGATACATACACACCCATGTTCATATGTATTTACAATAGCTAGGATATGGAAACAACTGGAGTGCCTGACAGAGGTTGAGCAGATTAAGAAGACGTGCTATATACACACAGGTGAATACTACTTGGCCATGAAAAAAGATAAAATCTTGCCATATTCATGGATGGAACTTGTGTCTAGTAATTTCTCACTTTCACTCTGTATTTTGTTTACTGGCATCTTTTTTTCTTAGCCATGCTAACTAGAATTTTCTTTCTGTTTCTGTTTGGCTCATTAATTATATTATTCTCATTATCCTTATGTCTTCCCTATGTTTCTAAATAGATTTAGCATGGTAGCTGTACCTTTTAGACTTCTGCATTGCAGCGTACTGTTTGTCTGCATGGTGCATCAATTCCTGAGAGGATGTATTAAAATCTGTAGATGTCACAGTTGATTCATTTTTGAGCTGAATGCGTTGTTCATTAGTTTCCAAACTTTTTGTTTCTTACAAATGTATTTAACATTCTACATTTATAATTAAAGTTTTAGTTGTATCCTAGAAATGTTTATAAGCTTTTATCTAGTTTTAAGTTTTTAATCATTCTTTTTTAAACACAGGGTTTACTAATGGCATGTTTTTAGTTTCCAGGTATTTGGATATTTAAAAAACAAATTAGCAATTCTTTGTGTTACTGCATTAGTCATAGAAAACAGGTTGTGTAATACTTATTTATTTCACAACTTACAGTGGTTCTAACAATAGTCACCATGTTATACATTACCTTCTTAGTATTTATTTTTCTTACAGCTGGAAGTTTGTACCTTCTGACTATCTTCATCCAATTCTCCCACCCCCACCCCCCACCTCCTGCCTTAAATCTGATCTCTTTTTCTTTGAGACTTTTTCTTACGAAACCTTGAAGTTTAATTCCTTGTAATCCTAACTATCTTTTGCGATATTGCATATCAGGGGGGTACATCTGAAAAGGCAGTGAGCACAGTGTAAAGTGAGCTTTCTCCTGTATAACCCTTTCTTCTGCACTCAAGGACATCGTGAAATGCAGTGAATTATTATGACACATTTACTTTTCCTAATTAACGGCCTCTAAGTCAGGAGAAAGCTATTTCCCCCACTAACAACCCTTTGATCCCTTCTCCCTACTCCATCCTCTTAACCTCAGGAACATCATTTGGATTATCACTCTCTGCTGGTTTAGAATTGTTTTGCTTCATCAACTTATCAGCTTTGATGCTTTATTTTACTCCTATATGTGAAATTGTCCAATATTTGTCTTTACCTTTCTGACTTTTTTTTTTTTTGAAGGTTTATTTATTTATGCATACAAGAACTGGGGTGCAGGCCAGAGGTGCGGGAGGTGAGAGGATTCACCAGAGACAGAGTGAGGAGCAGAACACGCAGTTCTACTGAAATACACTGCTGAGGGGAGCAGCGGGGAGACAGGAGAGGTTTGCTGTGCCATGTGGGTTGCTCCCTGGCCTCCAGGGATTGAACTTGTGCGGCAGTGGCTGGCAATAGCTTGATAGCGCTGTCTTTAACCCCTGAACCACCAGGGAGACCCATAAATAAATAAATCTTAAAAAAAAAAAAAGAAGATACCCAGGGGGCCTGGTGGTGCAAGGGGTTAAGATGCAACCTATGAAGTTCATCGCAGCCACTGCAGCACAAGTTCGATCCCCAACCAGGGAGCTGACCTACATGGTGCAGCAGACCTCTCCCGACTTGTCTGCTGCTCCCCCCAGCAGTATATTTCGGTTGATCTGCCTGTTCTGTTCCCTGCTCTGTCTCTGTGAGTCCTCCTACCCCCCAAAACTCTGGCCTGTACCCCAGTTCTTGTATCTAGAAACAAATAAATCTTTAAAAAAAAATACCCAAGTTGGGGTGGGGAAGGGTCTACAGTGACAACCCCCACCCACCCCCACCCACCCACACAGGCGAATTCCTCAGTGAAAGCATCCTGATTAATGTGGCAGCTCCAAGTTCTCAGGGTGGTTCTGCTCGGTCCGCAGGTTCCGTGACCAGTCACACAAGAACACACCGGGATAGAGTCACAGATCAAACTTGTTCCTTTCACCTTTGGACTATAGAACCTTGCCCAGGGGTGCTGCACTTGCTGGTTGGCAGCAACCATGCATTTTGAACGCTGGTTCACAGCAGTGTATGGCCGTATACCATTTATTTACATCTACGCTGTGACCCTGGGTGAGGGTGAGGGCGAGGGCGAGGCCGGTGTTGAGCTTAACAGCCATCAAGGGCAGAGGAGCTTCTCTGCTCCTCTTCTGTGCGGAGACACAGGTGAGCCCGTCTCGCCCTCACCAGCTCAGGCTTCAGAATATTCCCGTCTGGGTG